GTCCCGTCCTAGTACCAAGACCGGTAATGGATTGGTGTTTCACATTCGGTAACCCCTTTTGTTTCTGCAGTCAGCCGGCTCACAAATCATCAGCATGTTTACTGCGGACAGAACCCTCCCCCATTTATCGTGGGAGTCGGAATATGTTTGTTAGCGGAGCAGGTTCTACCATGGCACATTCATAGGTCCGAGGCCGGTACCTCACGGGCTATTTAGCGTGAATTAGACGGTCCGAACTTTAGACTCGCAACTAGTCTTACTACATTTCCGAGATGTTAGGTGCTTAACTTATAATGAGTAACTTGCTATAATCTCCAAAATATAAATAGGAGAAAAATCAAAATGAGAATGCTCAACTTGCAAAGATGCTAACATCTCTTGGTGGCCGCGATGCTACAATGTCGTCACATCATAATAATAGTCACAAACTCCTTCAATGGGAGCCTAGGTTTGCAGACATTGATTCCTATGAATCAAACAACTCAAATTTCTCGCAGTATATCTCATAGGGCATATCTTAGCACAAATATACAGAACCAATCGAGTAACTGGATAGCGGATAAATAACGATGCCCGTCAAAGGCTACAATACAGATCATAACTTGAAGCAGCTAAAGCGTAAGATCAGGACAAATGGAGGTGTTGCAGTTACAAATGGAATTAAACTAAGGGTCAATACGATCTGATATTGAAACTGGCATGTGTCGGATAATGGAACAAGATGCGACGAGCGGAAGGAAGTCAGACATGGTTCTCCCTAGTCATGGGGAGAAGTAGGTATCTGGCCCTCGACGTTTTGTGTCCAACATCCAATCGTTTGGGTGTTCGATGCCTGCAGTTGATGTATTACCTTGATCAGATTGAGAATGTGTGGCTTGGTTGATAGCCGGTGCGTATCACAGACGCAGGATGTAGTAAAAAGAATACTGGTAGCTGAACAATGAGCATGCAGAACTGTTGACAAACCATCAATTAATCACTTCACACTGGCATGGGGATAGTAAACGGGGTGACGTTCCAGACGTTCCTCAAACCCGGTCATTATGACAGAAAGTGTCTAGGTAAAATACTCTACGCCCTCATGCTACGGTGACAACGAACTTATTAGTTTTGGGCGACATGGCCATCGAGACCAAGAGCGTGTCATTCCAGCCGTTGCCACTATAGGAAGGCACCTGAGAAAGCACATAGCTTGTGGCGAACGAGCCAGCCGCCCACCCAATGTAGCCGAGGATAACTACAAATAAGACATGTCGATTTGTGTAAGGGCACAGTAAGGTGTGAAATACGTACCATCAGATTGAGAAGCCTGGTAGGTGATCGCCTGCGACACGTAGTTAATGCAAGATTCTACGTTCCCACCGCCAGTCTCCGTATTGAGGGCCTTCCGACCGTTTGCACGGAGCCAGGTGGCCAGAGGGGTCCATGTGTCATCAATGCCGTTGGTCACGCACTCAGCGTTGGTGCCACTAAGTGATATTAGCGGAGACATAGACAAGGGAACAATTTTACTGACGAGCCATCGGAGTCAAGGTACCTGTGGACGTCCATAATGAGGTTGGTGAATGTGCCGTCAGGGTTCTTCACCTCGCCAAGGGCATCAGCAGAACCACTGGATACGAAAGTCTTCGCAGAAGCATAGTCCGTCCCAGGGAGAAGAATCATCTGAGTGCTAGCGCCAGCTTCCCTGAACACAGAATATTAATTAAGATACTCTGCAGAAATAGTCGAACATGCTGACCGAATGGCTGTAACTGCACTCTAGTTCCCAAGAGTTCTCAGTATCATCTTAAACCTGCGAACAAGGAGCACATACCTGAACTGTAATCGTAAAATAATATTGTCAGAGGTCAAAAAAAGAACGTTCATCAAGAGATATCATACCGGACTCTGCCCAAGCGCTGATATCCTAGGTTTCAGCAATCTCAGCATGGTCTCTTGAAGATTTTTTCGAGAGACTCACCGGGATATTATGTGGTTCGTTCATGCTGATTGTCAATAAGTCAGTAGTCCCTACTTGTAACGGCCATCACATACACCCCAAAGATGACTTTCGTCTCGTTCTTCCAGTACGAGGCGATATTGGACCAGAGCTCAGCGAAGACTTCGTTGCTTGGACCGCCTTGACCGATAACCTATTATCAGATTGAGCATTGTTGACGATAACAGAAATACGGTCACTGACCTGCCCATTGTACCTGGCGTAATTGTGGATATCAATTACACAGTAAGCGCCAATGTTCAGACAGTCGGACACCAGCGTGTTATAGTTGGCAAACTGAGTCTCATCCAAGACGCCAGTCATTTGGTCATTGGTGAGATACTGCCAACCAACAGGGAGACGGAACACATTGTAGCCGTCATCGAAAAAGTGTTGCATTTGGCCCACGCCATCAATACCTAACGGGTATGTTAGAGTTGTGAGAAAGCGCTCCAAAATAAACCATACCAGATAATTGTTGAATAGGGGGAATAGCACCTGAAGCACTGCAAGTGCCATCTGTGCTACAACCGAAATCTGGAACAGGAGTCTAGGCATGACAAGTAACGGTGGTAGTATTGCACTCACCAAAGCCTGCAATATTCACACCTGCGAACTGGAGCGGCGCAGATGTCTGGGCGTTAACAAGGACTGTTGTGGTGCTGAGAACGGCAGCGACAAAGGAATGTAAAAGTTTGATGGCCATTTCACGCGAAAAGAAACAGGAAATCTAGTGAGTGTTCATCCGATAATATGGTTGTCTTTATGTATGAATTGAAACATTAATTATGAAAGCTTTGCCAGGAACAGATACGCATGGTGTATTCTCAGCCGTGACCGAAGTTCGCGCGAGTTCGGCATGAAACTATGCAATATTGAGCTGACCCTAGCATAGTAGCAATGCTATCATGGTGACGGGATCTCCAGATCACGATACCGAGTTGACCCTATGAGACCCTATGGTGATGAGAAGAGTCATCTCTAACGCATGAAAATATGCTGACCCCATGGTAATGAGAAGACTCATCTCTAAGACTCTGAATAAAGACAACAGCAGACTATGTAGTCAGGGGCGTAAGGAAAAAACAGACAAAGTTTGCCAGCGGTCTCCAGGACTACCGCAATGAAATACGAGTAGATCAATGCAACAACGTGAATATCTGTAGGTCTAGGCTTTCCATCACAGTGAATATATATGCTTTAAAGGCTGGGATAGTGGACTCTGGTCTGTCACTGGCCTCGTGTGGTTGAACTTCCGGATGGCTGTATGTGCTGACTAAGCCTCCAGGCTGGTAGTTTTTTTCTGGTCTCTCGCGTTATCTTTTGCTTCGGTCAGCTAGTCCCATTAATTCAAGCTTCAAGTTCCTTCATCGACTCCACGCAATTCTGCATCATGATGGGGCACTGATAAAGTTGTAAATTCCCCCGATATGGCGCACGGACCTACGGCATTTACACTTGCTCATAAAGCATATCGCATCAACTTTTGGTGGGGGGATGTAGGTGATATCCATGCATAATTGAACGCATAATGCATAAGCCTCGGAACTACTTTATGCATTATTAGAAGCCGTCTTTGGGGATCAGGTCGTGTTCAGGGCAGGTCATGCTGGTACCTGCTCTAATGTCAGGTTTAGCTGAAGGGTGCATCTCTAGTCTTTGGAATCTACTGCGGACATTATTTGCAGGGCACTGGCTTCTCCTATGGCTTTTAGGTCTTGGCACGCATGTTTGAGGTAAAAGAATATGGATTTGACACCTGTTTTCACTTTAGGTAGCCGTGACTACGGCAGAACGACAACGTGAGTATACGTTGTCGTTGTTGTGGTACTTTCGGTGAGTGGTCGGTCCGCTGTGGTGATATACTACATTGATATTGCTGTCTTGGTTAAGATGTACATTGCTCTCTGGTCGAGACGAGGCACCTGTGACTCCCACGTAACCCTTGATACCTCCATATTACTAAGACGAAGGGGATGTAGTATCTCCAGGCTAGGTTCACTGCCTGAGACTTATGAGAAATCGCTAGGTACGGTGAGCGCGTGACATCTTGGCAAGCCCGTCGGTAGCAATAGCCCGCATATCGCGCTCGCTGGGCCTGACGACGAGCAGCCCGTTCTCACTTCAGAACATTACAGCCACTGATCACCGTGATAGAGGCGAAAACAGACATTTAAACGATGAGTAACTCATTGTATTGCATTGGCGGAAGGTCTAAACACTAGCAGAACATAGGGATGACCCTAGTCTTCGTCATCATCAGTAGATTGCCCCTCATCACTATCTTCGGTTATCTCGCGGTTCTTACACTGCTTTCTGGTGCACGCCTCCGCTGCCTGGACCTTTTAGCCGGAAATTCATTTTCTTTGCCTCCGAGTCCCCTTTCTGTGTTCTTGCGCTTTTGTGACGTGCTTGCATCCGAGCGCTTCTTACGAGGTTTGCCAATGACTTCGTCTGCTACCTGTCGCCTTTCTACATCTGTCTTGTAGTTGTCGAGCTCTAACCTTGACAGGGTCTTCTACGCACAGGTGCCCACTTTTAACGCGTTGCAAAGGGTTCCAAAGAGATGTGAATGGAATGCTCGTCGGCCAGCCGTCCAGGAGGATGCCGTGGGACAACACGATGGCCTTCAAATAATGAGAGTAGTTCATGACAATGTTGGTCTTGTTCGTCACGCATCCTGTCCATAAGAGTCAGCTGCGCAAGAGCCAAAGCCGATCAGTCGGCGAATGACATTTTCGAGACTATCGCACGTTTCTGATGATGGAACAATAAAAATGCCAAGTGCAATGGACAGAAGGAAGTCAGACACGGTTCTCCCAAATCGTAGGGAGAGGTAGGTGTGTAGCCCTCAGTGCTTTGTGTCCAACATCCAGTCGTTTGGCTGTTCCGAACATGTGTGCAGCCGACGTATTGCATTGATCACATTGATAATGTGTGATTTAGGATGGTGCGTATTTCAGACGCAAGATGTAAAGAGAATACCAGTAGCTGAACTTAAGCTTGAACGTTGAACAATGCAGAACTATTAATTAATCATTAATCAATCACATCACACTAACATGGGGAATATTAAACAGGATGACGTCTCAGACGTTCCTTAAATCCGGTCACCATTACAGAAAATGTCTAGGCCGTAAAATACTCTACACCAATTTTATGCTACGGTTGCAATGAGCTTATTAATTTTGGGTGACATGGCCCTCGAGACCAAGAGCGTGTCATTCCAGCCGGTGCCGCTGTAGGAAGGCACCTGAGAAAGCACATAGTTCGTGGCGAACGAGCCAGCCGCCCACCCAATGTAGCCGAGGATAACTACAGATAGGACATCGATTTGTGTCAAGGCACAGTAAGGTGTAAAACACGTACCATCAGATTGAGAAGCCTGGTAGCTGATCTCCTGCGATACATATTTCACACAAGATTCTACGTTCCCACCGCCAGTCTCCGTATTGAAGGCCTTCCGACCGTGTGCACGGAGCCAGGTGGCCAGAGGGGTCCATGAGTCATCAATGCCGTTGGTCACGCACTCAGCGTTGGTGCCACTGAGTGATATTAGCATAGGCATAGACAAAAGAATTATTTTACTGACGAGCCGTCGTAGTCGAGGTACCTGTGGACGTCCATGATGAGGTTGGTGAATGTGCCGTCGGGGTTCTTCACCTTGGCAAGGGCATCAGCAGAACCACTGGATACGAAAGTCTTCGCAGAAGTATAGTCTGTCCCTGGGAGGAGAATCATCTGAGTTTTAGCGCCAGCTTGCCTGGACGCCGAATACATGATTTTTAATTAATACACCCCGCAAAATTGTCGAACATGCTGACCGGATGGCTGTCACTGCACTCTAGTTCCCAAGAATTTTTAGTATCATTTGAAGCCTGCGAACAAGCGACACATACCTGGACTGTAATCATGAAACCATATTGTCAGAAGTTAAAACAGAAAACATCAATAAGAGATATCATACCGGACGCCGCCCAAGCGGTAATATTCTAGGTTCAGCAATCTCAGTATGATCTCTTGAAGTTTTTTTTCCGAGACTCACCGGGATATCATGAGGTTCGTTCATGCTGATTGTCAGTAAGTCAGCAGTCTCTACTTGCAGCGGCCATCACATACACCCCAAAGATGACTTTCGTCTCGTTTTTCCAGTGTGAGGCAATGTTGGACCAGAGCTGAGCGAAGATTTTGTTGCTTGGACCGCCTTGGCCGATGATCTATTATCGGATTAAATATCGTTGGCAATGACAGAAGTACAGTCGCTAACCTGCCCATTGTACCTGGCGTAATTGTGGATATCAATCTCACAGTAAGCACCAGTGCTCAGACAGTCGGACACCAGGGTGTTATATTTGGCAAACTGAGTCGCATCCAATACGCCAGTCATCTTGTCATTAGTGAGATACTGCCAACCAACAGGGAGACGGAACACATTGTAGCCGTCCTTGACAAAATGTTGCATTTGGCCCAAGCCATCAATACCTAGTGGGAATGTTAGAGTGGTGAGAAAGCACTCCAAGATAAACCATACCGGATAGTTTGTGAATAGGGGGAACAGCGCCTGAAGCAACGCAAGTGCCATCTGTACCACAACCGAAGTCTGTGGAACAGGAGTCTAGACATGACAAGTAACGGTGATAGTATAGCACTCACCAAAGCCTGCAATATTCACACCTGCGAACCGGAGCGGCGCAGATGCCTTGGCGTTGACGAGGACTGCTGTGGTGCTGACAGCAGCAGCGATAAAGGAATACAGAAACTTGATGGCCATTTCACGCGAAAAGAACAGGGGATCCACTGAGTGCTCATCCGATAATATGGCTGTCTTTTATGCATGAGTTGAAAGGTTAATTATGGTGTGTAGAAAGCTTTGCCAGGAACAGGCACGCATGTGTTTTCAGTCGTGATCGGAGTTCGCCTATGGTGATGACAAGAAACATCTCTAAATCATGAAAATATACTGACCCCATGGTAATGAGAAGACTCATCCCTAAATAATGACGACGGCAGTCATGGCTTAAGAGAGAGAACAGATATTTGCCAGCGGTCCCTAAGACTACTGCGATGAAAGACGAGCACATCAATATAATCACGTGAATATAATGCTTGCGATCATAGTGAACATTTACTTAAGCTGGGGTAGTGGGCTCTGGCCAATTATTAACAGCTGAGCTGGCTCCGTGTGGTTACTCGTCTGACTGGGTGGTCTCTGCACGCAATTCTGTGTGGTGCTCCGATCAAGTTGTATCCCTCCGATATAAGCCACGACACTTACCACAGAGATAAATTGGAAAATTCCGTGTGTCGGCGGTGGTTGTGCCCAGCGTACAGTTCAGATCCGGGCTGAAGATCACTGCAGAACGACAACGTGAGTAAATGTTGGCGATATTGTACTTTCGGTGAATGGTCGGTCCGCTATAGTGATCGATCATCTACGACAGCGCCGCTTGTTTGTCGATATTGCTGTCCTTATTAAGATGTATATTGCTCTCTGGTCAAGACGAGGTCGCTAGTACCACCATGGACGCTCCCATGGAGACAAAAACTGAGCGGGGAATATCATATATGTCTTGCAGAGGCGCAACCCTGGAGTTGAAACCACCACTGGCAGGTGTTGGTTTTGCGCCCGAGACTGAATTCAAGGATAGTATGACATTGTAGGTGGTATCCAATATGACAGCCCTACCTTCAAGTTGTGCCTGTTGGGCAAGCACGAATATCTGACTTCGCTAGACCTCGCGCAGCGTGAATTTGGATCCGTCGTATGGGCTCGCGACTGAACGCTAAGTATTGGGGCTACCCGGGCCGCGTTGCTGGGGCAGGTACTTATGTAAGCAAATAAGTTGGGGTCAGCCTGCCCAGTGCTCAGTACTTACATTGATTAGATTAGAAACTTTATTTGACGATCCGCATCATAGACATCGCCGCAGGATGTAAATTAGTAGGAAAAATGGTCGCGGAGTTAATTGCTATAAGAATCATGAATCAATCACTTTACGCTGGCATGGGGACAGCAAATGGCTTGAGCCAGGGCATTATTACAGGAAGTGTATCTAGGTAAAATGTCCTACATCAATCAATTTTATAACACGGATGCAACGAGCATGTTGGTCATCGGCGACATGGCCATCGAGACCAACAGTGTGTCATTCCAGCCGGTGCCATTGTAGTAGGGCACCTCAGACAAAACATAGTCTGTGGCGAAGGAACCAGCCGACCAGCCAAGGTAGCCAAGGATGACTGCAAAGTATACCAGTCGACTTGTCACTTGTGGCAGGGCAAGGTAATGGGTGAAAACGTACCATCAGATTGAGCAGCCTGGTAGCCAATCTGCTGTGATATATAGCCAACACAAGAGTCTACATTTCCACCACCAGTCTCAGTGTTGAGGGCCTGCCGACCGTTTGCACGGAGCCAGGTGCTCAGAGGGTACCATGAGTCTTCAATGTTGTTGGTCACGCAAGGAGCGTGGGTGCCGCTAAGTGGTGTTAGCGTGGGCATTGGCAAGGAAAAATTACACCAACGAGTTGTCGTAGTCGAGGTATTTGTGGACGTCCATAATAAGGTTGGTGAATGTGCCGTCAGGATTTCGTACCATACCAAGGGCCTCAGCAGACCCACTGGAAACGAAAGTTTCCGCGGAAGTATAGTTGTTTCCGGGGAGGAGAATCATCTGGGTGGTAGCACCAGCTTCCCTGAACGGCGAAGTTATGGACTTCGATTAAGACACAGATAGCCAAACATACTGACCGAATGGCTGTAACCGCATACTTATTTCCCAGAAATATCAGTATCATCTGAGGCCTGTGAACGACGAGTACATGCCTGAACTGTAATCGTAAAACCATATCGTCAGGGGGGGAAACATAAAACATCCATCAAGAGATAACATACCAGACTCTGCCCAAGTGGTGATATTCTAGGTTCAGCAAACTCAGTATAGTCTTTCAAAGTTTTTTTTCGAGGGACTCACCGGGATATCATGAGGTTCGTTCATGCTGATTGTTAATAAAGTCAGCGATCCATAAATGCAGTGGCGATTACATACACCCCAAAGATGACGTTCGTTTCGTTCTGCCAGTACGAGGCAATATTATACCAGAGCTCAGCGAAGACTTCGTTGCTGGGACCGCCTTGACCGATAATCTATTATCGATTTGAGTATCGTTTGCAATGACAGAAACACGGCCACTAACCTCCCCATCGTACCTAGCATAATTGTGAATATCGATCTCGCAGTGAGCACCTGTGCTCAGGCAGTCGGACACTAGCATGTTATAGTTGGAAAACTGAGTTTCGTTCAAGACACTAGTCGACTGATTATATGTGAGGTATTGCCAGCCAACAGGGAGACGGAACACATTGTAGCCGTCATCTTTGACAAAATGTTGCATTTGGCCCAAACCATCAACACCTATAAGGTATATATATCAGAATGTGTGAGGGTTCTCCAAGATAAACCCTACCGGATAGTTGGTAGACAGGGGGGACAACCTGCGAGATAATGCAAGTGCCATCTGTACCACAACCGAAGTCTGTGGAGCATGAGTTTGGACATGACGAGTAGCGGTACAAGTATAGTACTCACCAAAACCTGCAATATTCACGCCTGCAAACTGGAGAGGCGCAAATGTCTGAGCGTTGACGGCGACCATCATAGTGCTGACCGTAACGACAAAGGAATACAAAAAATTGATGGCCATTTCACGAGAAAAAAGCATGAAATCCCTGAGCGGTTCATCCGACAAAATGACCGTCTTATGTATGAGCTAGGACGTTAAAAATATGCTGTGTAAAATGCTTCGGCAGGAACAGACACGCATGATGCGTTCTCAGTTGTAGCCGAAGTTTGTGTCTGTGCCAGTCCTGCATGCAAGTACTTATTGAATGCTATGGTGAAGTGCCTCATCTCTAAATCGTGGTGACAGTGAGTAGTCCACGACCTAGTAGAGGAAAGTATTGGCCTGCGGGTACTCCAGACTCCTGAAGCTTAGAGTACCGGGATGAAAATCAACGCGATCACGTGAATATCATGCGAGCGGCAAAACATCGCTTCGTTGTCGGGAGTTGGCTCGGGGTCGACCGTCACCAAAGGTCTCAGGCTGAGCCGGGGCCAGAGGCTGGGTGTGAATCGTGATGCTCTACTTCAGTGTTGTCAGACGACGGGCCACTTTTTTAGTGTATGAGACCCGCGGGGAATAATGGCAGCTAAAGACCCAAAGACTGTCCAACGTGTCGCGTTGATCTATCAAGTTGACATAGACTTGAGTGAACATCATGAAGTGAACATTGGGTGAACATAATTCAAATATCACACTTATTATGTAAGCTAAAGACATGGGTCCAGGGATGTGTCAGCAAGTCAATCGGAGAGATGGACGTCGACCTACCCTGCAGACTTGAACTCATTTCTGATCTTCCAGGTAGCTCCAATATAGAACAGTGATATTCATCTTACTGACCGACGTTTTACCGCAGGGCACGATGAACGTGCCTGGCAGGTCGCATGGAATCCCACCAAGCCTCTGCTAGCGTCATGTTCCGCAGACAAATCTGTGCGAACATACAGCTATCGGCCATCCGATCACGGAAGTAAATCACTGGCCTTTTCACACGTAGGCACTATTCCAACAGGGCATACGAAAACCGTACGCAGTATCGCATGGGCACCATCAGGCAAAACGCTCGCCGCCGGATCATTTGATTCGAATGTTAGTGTATGGGAACGAGAGGATGTCTCGGACTCCGAGGATTCTGGGGAGACTGCGGGGGATTGGGAGTGTGTGACATTGCTAGAAGGCCATGAAACGGAGTGTAAGAGCGTTGGGTATTCGAGCTCAGGAACGCTGCTAGCAAGTTGTAGCAGGGATAAAACTGTGTGGATATGGGAGGGTGAGTATCTATTGCTTTTCCCTTACTGCATTGCTGAATGATTTGATCCAATAAGTTCAACCTGATGCAGATTTTGAGTGTATGGGCGTACTCATGGAACATAGCCAAGACGTGAAATGCGTTGCATGGCACCCTTCCGAAGAGGTCAAACTCCTGCCATCGGAATAATGTGCATGACTGACAGGTATCCAGGACAGATACTTGCATCTGGTTCGTACGACGATACCATTAAGCTTTACATAGACGATCCTTCGGAAGACTGGTATTGTTTCTCGACCCTCTCTGGTCACAAGTCTACCGTTTGGTCTCTTTCTTGGTCGCCGCAAGGTAGTTATCTCGCCTCGTCCTCTGATGATCTTACAATCAGGATATGGAAAAGAGTGGAGGAGCATAAATGGAAATCTGTATTAGAGCTGAGAGGACATGAAAGGAGTATTTACTCGATCAGCTGGGGGGTTGGGAAGGGCGCGAGTGAGAATCTTGGATGGCTCGCAACTACTGGTGGTGATGGTAAAATCAATGTCTGGGAAATAACTGTATGTTTCACGCTCATCTCCTGGTGCATCGAGGCTCACAAGCTCTTCCAGGAAACGCAGCATACAAAGGATCCCCTGAATGCGAAACTGCTCGCGAGAGTGTCTGGCGCTCACGATGTCAACGACATCAATTCTGTCTCATGGTGCCCTCGCCTAAATCATTCAGATTTGTTAGCCACTGCTGGCGATGATGGCTTGGTCAAAGTATGGAGGGTAGTGCCTTCTTAGATTAACTGTGTACTGTGCTTCGTTCATGTAAGAAAGTTTACTCAATTTGAATATTTATGCGCGTGGACACGGACTTTACGAAATGAATAATTTACGTATACTATGTTCGATCTTGCCGAACCTCCAGAATGACTCGGTCAGTTGTGTCCACAGCGTAGACTTCTTTCAGCGCACTTATCTTTCCATATCACCATTTCACCATGGCGATCCTTGGGCTGGCCCCCTCTACCGCTCCAATAACACCTGCGCATTTTGATATCGAAAAAGTCATTCGGCCAAATATCCTTGCTCTCCATCCTTATCGATGTGCACGCGATGACTACCAAGAGGGAATCCTCCTCGATGCCAATGAAAATGCTCTTGGACACTCTATACCAAGATCATCCAACCAGATCCAGCAGGAGCTTTCATCGACACTAGACACAAACTTGAACCGATACCCTGATCCCTCTCATGACGGGATAAAATCTCGCATCGCATCTCTCAGATCGCTACCTGGGAAGGACCATGTCTTTCTGGGCGTCGGATCTGATGAGGTCATTGATCTCTTGATGCGAATTTGCGTTGTACCCGTAAACGAGAAGATTCTGATCACCCCGCCCACTTATGGCATGTATTCTATTTGCGCGCAAGTGAATGATATCGGGATAGTTCGTTGTAACCTTGAATTGGGTGGCAGCGAGGGAGAGGGTGGGGAGCACGGTCGATTCAGCTTGCTGATTGATAATGTGAGTGTTACATTTTGCATAGTCTCTCAAGTGGCCAACGACTTGTAGATCAAAGCGGCCATCTTGGCCGACCCTTCTATCAAGCTTATTTTTCTCTGCTCGCCAGGAAACCCTACGGGTACTCTGATTAGTCTGGCAGCTATCAAAGCGATATTAGACTATGAACCATTCAAAGGGATTGTCGTCGTCGATGAAGCATATATCGACTTCGCCGGCGAGGGTACCAGCGCTGTATCCCTAATAAAAGACTATGCAAATCTATGTGTAATGCAAACTTTGAGTAAGAGCTTTGGCCTTGCTGCGATTAGGTGAGTACTTCTTCATTGGTACATGCATTGAATCATTGAATTTCCTTTAGGCTCGGTATCGCCCTTGCACAGCCGCCATTGATTCAAGTTCTCACAAATACAAAAGCCCCGTATAACATTTCTACTCCGTCCGCTCAGTTAGCGCTTGCTGCGCTAAGCAAGGAGGCAGTTCAAAACATGCGGTTAAAATGTCAAACGCTCGTAGAGTCACGGAGACAGCTGCAGAAGTCTCTTGAAAGTCTTTCTGCCCTCGGTGTAGGAGACATCATCGGTGGCAATGATGCAAACTTCTTGATGGTCCCCATCCTCAATAAAGAAACCAGACTTCCTGACAACGCTCGGGCAAACGCGGTTTATACGGAGCTCGCCGAGAACAAAGGAGTTGTAGTAAGGTTCAGGGGGAAGGAGGCTGGATGTTATGGATGTTTGAGAATCACTGTCGGGACTGCCGAGGAGAACGGGACGCTCATTCGACAACTGCAGAGTGCTTTAAATGACTATTAGCTGCGCGGGGCTATGATCCTGTAGATTTTAGATGAGTCGACCTCTTCTTGAGGGGTTCACTTTCCAAATACAGACGGATTTCATGATTACGTGTCAGTATTATTGACGGTACACGGGATTAGTATGCATTATGGCCGTCGCCGTGATCTAAGGACACCTACGGCGCAGCGCTCATTGACTTGATCTATCTGGCCATTTCTTTTTGCATGCTGAGGATTCTTATTTCCGCCAATTTTCCGTTAGCGCAACTCCCTGGTTCATATTATCAACGTGCTGGACTTCACAGTAATTTTCATCGAGTTACAACTAGAACTCGTCTATAATGGCGAAGCAAAAGTCACTTACTCCTCAGGAGATCTACCGGGCACGGAAAGCGCGAGAAGAACGAGAGAAGAACGCGCTACTGCCGCCGGGATTGTTAAATCATGGTAATACTTGCTTCATGAACTCTGTGTTGCAGGGTGTGAGTTCGTTTCATCGTCTGCTTCATTGAACGATGAACATATTCTGATGACTTTCTCTGTAGCTGATCGCCACGCAACATCTATCTCGTCTTGTCCTATTCCAGGATATCCCTCCCGCAGTCCAGCTGTCTGCATCAATTCCAGTGGCATCCCGCCGATCACCTGAGTTGACAAATGGACATGGTCTAGCAGGGCATTATGAACGGCCTTGGACCCCTGGATTACCCATTGGAGATTTGTTTGTGACCCTCTTGCGGCAGGCGTGGGCCATGCAGGATGACCGGCAAAGAAATTACTTGAAGCCAAAGTAAGCGTTGGGCTACTCAAACAGAACCATCGCTCATCGCTTGATGTCAGAGAACTTTTAGCATCCGTTGGCCAGAAATACGACCAATATCTAGACTTTCGCCAGCAAGATGCACACGAATTCCTCAGACATCTACTTGATGCAATGCAGATGGAGGAGGTTGATGTGAGTGACGATAAGATTGTATCACATGTTCACTTGTTAACATATCGTAGATCATCAAAAAGCGACAACCTTCTATCAAGCACAAAAAGAAACAACGCTCTTCTGCGAAGGCACATGCATCACCTAAAACCGACACTCATGATCGTGTGCATATTGGATCACCACTGGGACAAATTGCCAGCGCACCAGATGCTGATCTGTCACCCCCAGAGGAAGAGACGTTAGCGCCGTTTGTTGACATGCTTTTTGGGGGTAAGTTAGCCAGCATCCTGGTGTGTCAGGCTTGCAAACATGTTTCCCATACATACGAGGACTTCAACGACCTCAGCTTAAGCATCAAGGCTGAGGACTATGCTCGCGAACGTAAGCGGGACAAGCTGAAGCAGCTCGCCAAAAAACTGCGCAATATATCCGGAACGGCGCTCAGCGTCATTCCTGTCCAGCGTTCTTCTTCAGTCCCGGCTACTCCACATAGAGATTCGACATTGGAGAACGCTGAAGTTGTGGATCCTCATAGACGACGTAGCATTGACTTGGCGGATGTTGAGGTGGCTGCTGTGGTGGATAAACATTCTGACCACGAAATCAACAACGAAATCACCATCGGAACACACCTATCTCTACCCCAACTCGAACTACACTTCGAACATCAGCTTGACACTGCCCTTCATCACCCACCAGAATCTGACAATTCGCCTGCTGCAACCCCTGACTTTCGTGTCGATGGGACTGCAGAAGCTGAAACCCCACACAAGGGACGAGAACACATAGAGATTAGCGAACCTTCTTTAGGCAATGGTCGCGAGAAAAGGGAGAAGTCGGAAAGCTGGTCGAAGCTTGGGCGAAGAATTAGTGTTTCAGTTGGGCTCACCAAACAATCCAGGGAGGATCGACGTCGCTCAAAAGAACAGAAGAAAGCCAGAAATGACGCTTCGCACCAGCGTAACGCAAAGGACGACGATTTATATCCTCCATCCCCATCTCTTCATGCTACAGTACCCACCGTCCAGCCTATCGACTCTCCTGACGTGAATGCTGAACGAGAGCCGACATCTCTTAGTGCTGTCAACGACCTGTTGCAGGCGCAACTAGCGGCAGTTAAACGGTCATGGTCGCCGGTGCAAAAGTCGTCAGCTTCACCTTCACTCTCTTCCACACCCCGGTTTCCTCTCATCCCCCGACAACCTGCTCCCTCAATCACAAGCAAACGTTCAAAAGCTATCAGACCTCCGAAATTGAGTGCAGAAGAAGCAGCTTATCTTCGCGACATCCTGGCCGATGTTAGTCCGGGAGGAGCTGCAAGTCCATTTTCCATCTTCAAGCAGACGAAGGACCAGTCTAGTGCGGGCCCTTCTACCGTTCAGAATATGTTTTTGAAGATTCCTCAGCTAGGCGGTCTAGAAGATTGTTTGAGATTATTTACCTCGGTCGAGGTTCTCGATGGGGAGAATATGGTCAAGTGTCATCGTTGTTGGAAGATTGCCAATGGCCTTTATGAACCTAGATCTCGCAGCCAGAATCAAGAGTCCGATTCCTGCACTGACAGCGACGATGACAACGAGAGCTTAGACGATGAAGATCAGCCCATCCATACGCGACATCCCAGTGGGAGCGCACATCACACACCAATGCCAAATCATTCCGATCTTCCCAGGTTGTCAGCATCTCCCTCAAGTTCTGCCACCTCCTTGTATGATACCCCCAATAGCCATGATACCCTAAGGTCATCCTCGGGTGACACAAGTTTTGATACCTCTAATGGTTCGCATTCCCTTAAATCTTTACCACTCTCTTTGGAGCTATCGAGCGATGATCATTTACCCTCTACATCAACGCCTCGTCTTGCAACCTACGGTGGTCTTCCTATTCCATTGATATCTACTACCGCTCCCGAGTCACCGATGTCTATTAAGACGGCCAGGCCCGTTGCGATGAGGTCGCCAACCGATACATCCCAGGCTTCTTTGCACGCTCACACATCAAGGCAGGACAGGGAGAAACACCATGCTAATACAATGGAGAGCGAAGGTTGTTCTGACGAGGAAAGTGGGGTATCTGCTAATTTATCTGCTTACTCGGATGTTTCCTCCACTGCCGTGTCACCGGCGGTATCACCAAACGTCTCCCAAGAGAAACTCGCAGTCTCTCCAACACCTCGCGCGCCACCACAACATTTTTCAAAGATTTCTGATTCTACGGGTGTCCCTCCATGCAAGAAAGTGATCATGCGAGCGGCATATAAACGCTACCTCATTGCCACGCCTCCGCCAGTTCTTGTCATTCACCTGAAACGCTTTCAGCAAATGTCAAAAGTTCCTATCATGTCTTTTTCCTCCAGCTTTAAGAAGCTCGAGGATTACGTGTCATTCCCGGAATACCTCGATATTGCGCCCTACTTGGCACCCAAACGGGAACAGTATGCGGATATCAAGCCAGGGCATGTTCGCGGTCGGAGCAAACGTTGTGAGCGGTGCATGTATAGGTTATATGCCGTGGTCGTACATATGGGGAACATGGTGAGAATTACATCTCGACGGTCATCAATCAAGGAGTCTATATCTCACTACGGAATCCATAGCTTGGCGGTCACTACATCGCATACACTGCCCTCCCTTCAGCCACGAAGGAAGACAAACAGACGACGTTATCGGTAACTGATTCTGAGAGCTTGGCCCACACAGATCGACCGCATCGAGACTGGGCGTATATCAGTGATACCACTGTGCGGCTATCCTCTTTGGACGAGGTCTTAAAGAGCAAGGCATACATTTGCATGTACGAGAGAATATGAATTGGACACGGCATCTTCCCTTCACCAGTGTGTTCCCCGCTGTCAGCATCTCGCTACCTGGTGATGCAATTGTGCTATAACATCCCAAGCGCAGCAGCCGGTTTTTTTCGGGTATTTTTATAATTTTCGCTTGTCGGTAGCACAGGGACCATCTCTGTTTTATCTATACAGAATACAGCTATATAGCTTGGACTTGTAAGCGAAGGACTTTGTTTGTAAACAAGACTCGTGCATCATGTTCGACAGCCGACAAAATCGGGCCTTCCTGTATTACCCGAGCAATATTAGGTTTGAGTGCTGAGTATTGAGTTTTCACTTGTCACTGTCAGTGAGTCAGTGACAGTTGACGTAAGCTGGTGCAGGGATAAGAACGTTTAAGTTCGCCTGGACTTGCAAACTTCTTGTCACTCGACCGTCAAGTAGATTGGAACAAGAGAACCATCGACACAGGCTCGGAAACGGCCATATACACATAAGGCCAGGGTGGCTTATGTGTGTAGCCTATCCCTTGATGCCACGATTTTTCCCGCCCACTCCGTCTGATCGCATTTGTATGTAATATCGACGATGACTACCTGAAAGGCATCTTCGGACCTTTGATCAACAATCCTGTTTTGTACCATGAAGAGAAGTATGTCTCTCTTCGCATGGCCGGCGTGTTGAGGCTGAATGAAGCTGGGGTTAAGCGCAAACTGACTGACACGGCATCCCAACAGGCACCTTACATTTTGTGAGACTATGCCGATGGGTCGGTTTTCGTAGCCCTGCAAGTTGTCATCACTGGTTAGAAATGCCGTGGGCAATGCTAAGCGCGTACAGGGAATGCTTCCGCGTCACATATATGGCCGGCCTCTGACGTTTCGTATAAAACTCACATTTGTCCTTGTCCTATCAGATAAAGATGGGAACCGACTTCACTCAGGTAAAGACAGGAACCAGCTTGGTCGGTGAGTTGCAATTGGATCTAGCTATCACATCGTGTTCCTCTGTTTATTATCTATCCCCTGGAAGTCACGGGGAGTGTATCCCACGGTATTGCTATAGTCTGTACTATTTTCAGGCTTGTTTACAGAGGTTGGACGCGTCACTTCTGGTGGGAAGATGCATGGGCAGCAGTTTCACTTATCTCAGACGGTAAAACTCACCTTACACGCTGCTTTGTTCAGTAAACCAACCACTGTTAACCCCAGTTCTCGTCCTGGCATGCATCTGGATCTACCCCTCTCCAAATCGTTAGTATACCACTTGACTTTTCCCTCCAAGATTTCCTCACATTGATATCAGTACCATCCTGGTTCCTCGCAGTCACTTTGACCTGCGTTATGTGGTGCACATCACAACTTATTCATCACGTACAGTGCTCACTGACTTGTCCAGGGCAGCACGCATGAGCATCATTTTTTGCATCATCAGAATCACCAATCATTCAGGCCGCAAACTCCATAGATGGATCACTTATCTCATTGCACTATCATTCTTATGCATGTGGATCGCACTGCTGGTTCAGAAGATCGACATATGCAGATTCCAGGCGTGCCAGATGTCCGAGTCTGTAGCACTCTCGCAACTGATCAGTCAGTATCTCTCTTTCATTTTATGTATGGTCCTCAAGTCATCGATTCTCACAGCGGACGTTTTTGCGGATTTCTCTCTCGTCGCTGCGCCATTGCAAATCTGGAAAAATGTAGGGCTCTCACGTGGCAGAAAAATATTGGTCTTGTCCTCATTCGGCGCATCGATTCTAATCACTGCCACGACCATCCCTCTCTCTGTAATCCTCTTTTGGCCCCTGTCAGACACTGCGCTCATCTTCGCGCATGTCAGGGTGAGCTACCTCCATTTCTCGCATCCCTCGGCAGCATCTGACATATGTTTAGGCTGCGGTCAGTCTTATCGTCTGCAACGTCCTGGTGATCGTTACCTTCACATACCGCGTATTGTTGAAAGAAACTTGTGATATTGACCAATCTTTCACATCCCCCGGAATATTTTCCACTGTCATCTTGACGCAGTACACATACACTAGGACTTCATTCGGTGGACAGGAGGGAACAACCTCGAGACACATAACGACAACGACGGCGCAGACGAAGCCAAAGCTGGATGATGATGCAAGTACGCTGAACGCTGAAGAGGGCACTAAAGTCGAGGGATAGCTGGAAATATGAAAGTGACGAGCAATGATCGATAGCGAGGGAAGTTCCCAATCATGATGACTGTGCGTTTTTTCACCGTACTGCATGTACATATATGTAATTGCTGTCTGCCATGCATGATCATACATCAATCACGAACATCAACACAACTTGCTATTGTCAAGGGTGTTTTTGTGTACACCTCCAGCATGTCACTTTTCGCGCCGCGACCAATGTTTCACAGGTCATGTAACTTTCCACGCAGGATATATAAACCCGAAGCAATTTTTTATGTGCCCTTGACATGGTCTCGGTAATGAAAGCTTTTAGCTACGTGCTTAAAATCTGCCACCTAGTAGTACTGGTCGTCCACAAGAGAAAAAATTGCTTTTGGCCGATGCTGCTGGATTGGCGAGAAAGTTTACCCACCAAGACTTTGCCTTGTTCCAAACAAGGCCTCGTAACCTATAACCTATAAGCGTGCATGTGCTTCTCACACTTGTAGAAGTATTTAGCGAGACGTGCCTTGAGGATGGCGTGGACCAAAGAGGTAAACTGTAGTACCGCTGACCGGTGACTGGGGTAAATAAAATTCAGTGATAGGTAGCTCGGCTGACAAGATGGTCAGACGACACTTGACAAACGTTGAAGAACAAGGATGAATTGGGACAGCACACGCTACGTGTGAATGGTTGTCAGAGCAGAGACTGAGAAGCCCATGACTCGAGGACATGGAGGAAAGGCAAGGTACGCCCATATGCATTACAGGTTCTTAATGAACAAGCAAGGAGAAAGCTGGCAGTACAAAACAAATACTCCATTCAGCTACAAAGAACAAATATCGCAGACGGCCACTTGTTGTCCAGCAGAGTCGTTAACTTGTGCAACCATAAGGGCCTGCAATATGATAGGGACTGCAGTAGGTAAACACATGTACGTGCTTAACGTACTACATGGTCGTGAGGATCATGATGACCCTGCTGAACAAATCTCTTGGTGATTGTCAAGAATAGCTGCGACACTTCGGGGATATGTGCTTGACGGTATTCACATCCAAGCGACGTTGTCATTCGCCCAAATGCGCGTATGGCAGTGATAACTTGCGTGAACGGGTCACTGCACCACGTTCTTGGAGTCTAAACATGCTGTGTAAACCGGTGGTAAAGCTAAACTAAATGTCGCCCTCGTACGCGGTGTCAAAAGAGTCCATGGCTTACCACGGTAGAGCATGCGCCAACTATAGACTTGAAAGATGATCGATGGGCGTCCGTACGAACAATACGCACCAATGATCCCTTGCTCCCTTGCTGTGCAATGGCAAAGCCAGCGCTTTGGAGTCCCAGAGTCTAGCAACCGAGCTTAGTTGATCCCAGTGAACCCAAGGCTTCTTTGGTCACTGAAAATACAAGATTGATGGAGTGGGTGTTTGTCGTAGCTTGGTCAGTGGAGGTAGAGCCTTCGGGGTTGTCGTAACCTCGTAGGTAGCGTTGATCATTAGGTTGAGGCACGCCAGCTTCCGTCTGTCAGAGGCAGGTACATTGCTGGCCGCGCTAGTCATCGACACCATATAAGTGATCTATGTTCCCGCAGGTGCCCTTCGGCAGTACTACTGGTAGCACTGAGAGTACTCCAGTACCTGACATATTAATAAATCTTACCCTTGTCAAACAGTGAAAAGGGAATAGGCAACCCTTCGCTCAACACACAGCACTGAGCGCTGAGCATATCCACAACTTGAAACTTAGGATGAACATGAGAACGTGCCGAAATACCGCAGGGGAGAACAGCAGGGTGGCAATTGATGATGAAAGATGCTGTTAAACACCAGAGTTAGTCCCGTGAAGGTGAAGTTGACTGCTGACTCACACATTATTGGAGGACCAGTCTGTCGGTTCCATCTTTCTAATTTATCACCACCGACTCTTGCCAAAAACGTGCATGCTGTATAGCTCTCGGCCAATTCCGCGTAAGGGTGTCAATGTCTGCGCACTCAAACCCTTCTCCCATGAATTAAGCGTCCCGTTTGCAATGGTTCCGCCAAGACCGGGACCCCGTCGTCCTGGTTTCTCTACCATTGTTAGATAACGAAGGGCAAGTCGCCTGCCTTCATTCTTGCCACCACAGCCTAAAACTTCGGACAATACCTCATCGCCGTGACGTTTCGCAAACCGTACAACCTGATTGCGGATATGCCATAGGGGGGAGCCATAACTCGGGTATACGTTCTTTCGGGAACGTACCGCAGTTTATGTGATACCCAACGCATTGATTTGGAGGCTAGCGTGCGTCAACGCGAACTCAAACGATGTAGCGGGAAATGTACTGGTGGTGAAACATGTGTGGGGAAGAATGACTGGATGGACTGCGAGGAAACTAACGCCCTGCAATCCAGCGGAATCATACGGCAGTAAGGACCGCGACCGTCCAGCTACATTTCGACTGACCCCCGGGCAATTCGGGAGGTAAAGGAAGGACTCAAACAGAATGCCAAGAACCATGTGACTCTATCGCGGAGGGCAATATTCTCGTTCAAATGTTTGTAATGTACGTGGCGATCTCATCAAAAATGAGTACAAGTTGGGAACTGTTGATATAGATAGACGAAATAAAGTGTGGACTGCATTCCTCTGGACAAGACTCTCGAAAATCGTTTCCGTGAAACGGCTGCGTGTTTTGAGAGTCATGAAACGGGGGGTATTCTACAACTGTTGGCTCACGAAAAAATTCAGTGCAAGCCAACCAGAGTCGGGGATTTGCTGCGTGAGCGGCGTTACCGATTGAGTACTGTCCTACTCGCTAGCGAAAGAGATGTCAAACGAAGCTGACATCATTGTTGCAGAGGGCTGAGCACGAGTACATAATATCTTGGCAGGTCTTAGCTTATGACATGTGGGGGCATCAGAGAACCTGTGAGAAGAAGATATCGTTATATATCGTAATATATAGGAAAGGTTTTCGTCACATTGGAATATAAAGCAATATATGACTATGTAAAGGCACCATAATCAGCATAATCCCCAGCAAGAACTCACCGGTTTACTGATGGTAGGGACGAGATCCTGAACGTGCCATTGATGTCGTCCTGTGAATCGTAGGCACATTGTAAGCGAGATGGGTACATATCTTGTTACAACTACATAGATCAGCAAAAGAACAATAATTTCCGGTTGTTAGAAAGTTTGATGCTCATGGTGAACTTGCGGCGTTGGTGATCTCCACGTAGTACGTAAGGTGTAAACCGGATTAAAATGAGCGTTCAGAAGCATCGTCCTGAGCTACACCAAATAGCATTGACTTGTTCAAAACAAGGTTTTGACACATGTCGACCAACTAGAATAGATCATATAGGCCGTCGCATGACGCACGTACATATGTAAGGACGGTGCATTCGTGTGACTGCCATGTGCACGCGCCACTTGAGCTCCACTTGCGCTCTAACTTCTCGAGGCTCCTTTTCATTTCGATCTCATTTCGCACCCAGCCGTCCGAAGGTGATTGGAGCGCTTGTACGTCTTATCAACGGAAAGAGATCCGAGGCGTGTGCGTGTTGACAAGCGAAATGAAGTCTCCAACGACACGAGCACACTTTCCACCACCCGTGCCTACGTCCTGCTTATCATCACATGAGTTGGGCTTGCAAACAGCTTCCAATCGGTCAGCCTCCCGCATAGTGCACAAGATAAGACGAGTAAATGACCCAATTTCGCTGACCTATGCCTCCACATGCATCACAGCTACACAGTGAATAATGCGTACATAGTATCGATGCTCTTTGATGATAACATATTGCAGGCGTCCGTGGCTTCCCGGTGAGTGGGTCTAACGCGCTGAAAGGCAGTAGAATAACCCCGAGGTTGCCACCCATAGATAACGTTCAAAGAAAGTTCTAGGTCTCCGGTACTTAAATTACCTGTGAGAAAGGTCATACTTAATGATATGGAATCAACTTACAACTTCATGAGGCAAAAAAAACGGTACGTTGGAAACATCCATCACGGGCAGCTCAGAGATCGTGACACATGGCCTGGTGTCAAGAGGAGTTATATCACTACCGTGGCCCATTGACTCCAAGGCAAATTGTGGTCCATTGGACACAGGGCCGAAGATCACTGGAGGTGACTGGACAGTGGACATAAGTATAACCCGAAACCTCGAAGTTCGACTTGCACGTGACTAATAGGCTCCATTCATGACTGGATTGCCGTAATACTAATTACATTGGAAACTATTTATATTTCACCGTAAAAAAAATCATCGATGCCTCCCTTAGCTATTTGTGTATGAGAAGACCACATTGTCCTCTTCGTTCGTCGAGCGCGGTCACCTCGAGAGTACTTGCTTCCCGATTTATACTGTACGAATATTAATGATACCTCAGGCCTCCCAGCATCTCACTGTTCTAAATCCATATGGTCAGCGTGATCATACCTCGTGAAAAATTCACAAGGTGAAGCCGGTGGAAGAGACCCACGGGGAACTTTCAACTCAGAGGTGAGAAATGCGGGGAGGAAGACTCGGAAAGGTGGGGCAACAGAAATTCGATTGATGTATGATGCATGGTTCGATACGAAGATTCGGTCCAATGCGAACTTTGCGACGGTGATGTCAAAGAGATAAGAGTGGAGCACACCCTGAACAGTGCAAACGAGGTAATTCACATCTCAGAGTCTATCTGGTAAGGTCCGACTCAAGCTGGAGAAAGTCAATTCGGAAAACCCAGATTTGATCATGGTTGTCACCCGCGGTAACGAGTGTTCGTTGGTACGAACTTGAATCGGACGATTGGAATGATTGTATGTATGACAACAACCCTCGTTCTGATCATTATCCTTACTTCAAGTTGAAGTTTTGCAAAGAGCCTGACGTACGCCACATTAATATTTTAATATCGCCCAAGTGACCGTGGATTGTGAAAGCCTCGTCCTATGCACTTAATGGCCCTGGCAACTTTCCGCTCTCGAGCAACAGGCTGATCTGAGTGTATGGAAAGGGGGTCAATCAATTAATACAAATCGCCAATCGAGCGCTGAGCCTATATAGAAATTTCAAAAGTCGAGCATCCCAAACCTGTCACAAAGATCTGGCATCGACGTCCTTACCAATGGTCTGCCAGAGTTTGCTCAGGGCAGACAATCTATTATCACACCAACAGTGATGTACACATGTCATTTTCAGGTCAGTGATCGCAAATCTATACTAAGAAGCACTCACTTTCAGGTACATACTATGTAGACAAACGGTGATCCGACTCTAGTCCACGGAATAGGACTCACACCGCCAACTTTAATTGGCACATACGTCGCATATCTCCGGAGGCGCTGGTACAGGAATGTTCTCCGAATTGTCGGCCTTGCGTACCTCCGCCCATGAACATGTTCCGGTTTGCTCTGTGTCATTGCACCTGCAAATAAGCGTCGCGGCATCCTAGTACAATCTTAATGGCATCAGCGACTGCATCGTGCGATCAGTGCGTACCTATTGATAGGAGCAATGTCTAAACAAAGTCGAGTTATCGACACAAATAAACCTGTTCTGAATTTGAGATTCCAGACCACATTTAGAGTACATAGCTTACGAGACGGTGCTCCACTATGATCGCGTTACCAAGTTTAAATTTACCGTAGTATGCATCAGACTTTGTGACAAGGGTCTTTTTCTGACGCATTCATGTCGGTGTGAGGTGATAGGATTATGATGATGATGAGGTCAAAATTGTATGTACAAAAAGCGTGCAACCTCGTATTCAAGGTCCGCGGCCGATCAGAGCGGGACCCGCGCTCACCAAACCGCTGGTTACATGCACCCGGCCGATCGCACTAATTTTAAATGGAAATCTAATCAAAACATTTAAATGAACCTAACAACTCGGTCACGGTGTGCTTTTGCTCGATGTCACCTGAAAATGATAGAAAATTCTCAGCGTTTTGGATCTCGTCGGTGCAAAACCAGGTATACTCGATTATGTATATCCAACTGTCTTATACCATAATATACGAATTAATACAATGAATTATCCAGATTGGTTGAAATAAGCGTAGTGACCAGCGATATCATCGATATTCGACAAACTCGCGGGAGCATCACATGTACAATAGTACATGGTGTGTGACATATTTGCCATATATGGATGCATAAACATCGGGTTGTCTGTCGGACCAAGGAGTAATCAGCAAGATTCTACGACGTCCAAAGTTCGCTAACTCACCTGGATGAATCGAGACATGGTGTTGCATGGGAGAACTAGTGTTACTAGTTGAAGCCGAAGCTACTACCTGTTCGGCTAGAAGCGAACGGTAATCTGCGTCAAGCTGCCTTATAACCTCGGCAGCTTTTCATCGATTCAGCAAACTCTTCGATCTCTGGAGTTTGATCTACCAACCTTTCATCAGGATATCATGTCGTTTGTGGGGATTCTCCCGGGCCTGCGTTATATCTATGATGATCTGTCGCAATTGCAGAAAGTCTTCCGCCTCAGTCGAACGGTAGTGACGCTGTAGGAGCATTTTGCGACTCCTGCCAGTATGCGTATGTCTACCAGATTTCTGAGACATGCTTCTGAGGAGAAGGGGATGACTGCTCGGCACTCTGATTGTAGTCCTTACTACTTATACATGCAGTGGCATGCTGAATCAGGGATCATATATAGAGGCGGAATAACGCTATCCGGGTTATTTTAGTCCTTTTGCATGTCTTTGCATATCCATCTAATCGTCAAACTTCCAAGATTCAAGGTAGCCCGAGCAAAATGACCCGATCAGCCTATGGCAATCGGCGGATTCAATCATTAGGAACTTCGGCAGACAGGCTCACAGCTCTCCGATACGAATCTGTGCCATTGGCGCCAATGCAGGCGCCCGAAGAATACCGCCGATGAAAAGCGCCAAAGCCAAGATCAAGACAATTTTTCGATCATCCCAAGCATGGACATCTTTAGCGTGAGGATTGGACCACATACAAGGTTAGTACAACTGATAACATCAATATTTTGAGAAAACGAGGGAAAATATGCATACCTCCTTAATCCTCACTGACGCTGGATAACAATCACTGATTGCGGTCAGGTGACAAGAGTCCATATGTTCCTGACTCGAACGATCATCCGCAGCATGACTCTGATTCACGGAATACAATTGAACCTCCGTAAAACGAGATGCAGCGCTTTTCAAAGCACAGGCTCCGCAAACTCTCGGTCAGGGGTATTACGGATGGCGCGTCCGGAATGCACAGCCATCGACAGTTCGACAGACAGCTTGAAGTTCCCGGCAATTGAACTACTGCCCACTAGTATGCCCTCGGGGGAGCTTCGGTGGTGAGGCATAGTACTTCTCCTGAGCAGGAAGTGTAGTGGTGATACCCAGCTCGGGAATGCGTATTGTCTCGTCCGGGATGCACAGCCACCCACAGTTCTCGGCGAACTTATGGCAGGTAACTATCGACACAATTCACTTGGGGGTACTTCGGTGATACAGAGGACTTCTTCTACGCAATGTATGCATGAGGTTAGCGTCTCATAATTCATTCATAAAAAAGCAGTGTAAAAAAACAACATTGAAAGACGCATGAGCATAAAAATTTCATGCATCAGACAAATACAGACAATACAGCATAGCGGGACCCGAATTCAAAAGAATCATTGGTCCCGTGAATTTACGTGACATGTGAGTGTAAAGAATGATGCACAATGTTGTGGCAGCACTGCAAGGGTATTCTTGATTTTGTACAAACAGAAATCTGATTTTATCGCTGCTTCAAGTAGACATCAACAGGGCGACGGAAACCTGACAAACAAATAAGATTCAGCTATTCGGAAGTGAACGTTACTTACCGCCTTTGCCAGTTACTCCCAGGCGCTGACCGTGACTAAATCCGAGCTCCTGAAGTAGTTCCCCAAAGCCATCTGGACGGAGTTGTAAATATTTTGCGTTCTCTTTGAGAGTCTCGCTCATCCTTCGAGCCTTTGAGTAAGTGTCCCAGGGTTGTGGCTCAAGGACGAAAATACCCCCCATTTTTAGACATTGGTGAACTCGGTAGAAAAATTCCTTCAGCCCTTCGTCCTTATTATTTAGATGAATCCATTTCGAGATAGAGAACCTATCATATCGGCGATGAGTGGTCTCATCAACAACGGCCATGACACGTACCCTAAAACAATGTCGTATTGATTGGGATCATCCGGTATCTCATCCTTAACCCAGTCAACTGTTCGGAAGGTGACATTGTGCGGGAAAGCACCGCAACCTCTATTTGGGATGGGCAAAGAACCATAGCTATGTTCGCACGATGCAGGGAAATAATTGTGAGCACTATGGTCCGTAGTGGGCGCATCACCGAGGACTCGTTGTCGTTTGGGCGGAGGGCAACTTTCCTCACGGAGATGTCCACATTCGGGAGACTGAAGACTCCAGACAGTGCGCCTTCTCTTCCAGGCGGCCCTGATAAGAGTATCGTCGATATCAACTCCAACGACCTGACGCGCTCCCCTGGACTGTCCTGGTTCCTGAACTGAACAAATGGTATCCTGAAACGCGTCAAAGGTAGTTTACCTATTTCACAAGTCACCCAGCCTTCATTGCATCCAACATCCAGAACTCGCTTACCCACGAAGAATTCAGCGGGGAGCAAAGCCAATCGTGGATCTTGGATGAAGGGACGCTTGGAGTAATATCTGTACAATTGTCCGCCAAGAGACATACAAGGAATTTGATATGGCACGTACCCATGATAGTTTCCATAGACTGGGACTGCTTGGTCCGCATGTACTGGCAGTGGCATGATCACCTTGACTGCACTGATGTGCACTGATGTGCAGCGTGGTTCGCGTTGATGACGTAATTTAATAAGCAGTGGTGCTCCGACAAGTCCGCTAAATCGGATCCATACTCTGTTGAATGTGCTAGTTCTACTACTCATTTTTAAGTGCACGATCGCAGCGCAGGCCATCGGAATGTGAGTGTTTAAATCCTATATCTCGAGGACCGGAGCATGAAGATGTGACAAAAAAACTTGTCATCAAATATTGATCCACACACTAAATTTAAATGACTTGCTGTACGAAAATGATAATAATTTCACCCTTTATGAATGCGCGCCGCGATGCCGCCGGCTCTCATTTGTTATTGTTTTATTGTTCCCCTGGGGGAGTGACCGGGAACCCCCCCCCCCTACAGATTATTCAACTAACAGGAAAAACTCATACTTTGCAGTTAAGCTTTTCGAGACTACTCACCAACGATATCCACTGCAATCGTGGGTTGGTGATAGGCTCTCCAACTTCTACTCCCCTTGTACTCCTCCTTCGATGCGTCCAGCCACGAGATGATGGTCACGTAGACGGCGCTCTTCGACTTGAAGTTGTCGGTGGTCTCGAACTTCTGCGCTTGGCCCTCTCCCGCTTATCTCCCCTCCCCCGCCCCCGAAGTATCGTCGTGGTAAGTATTTAACTGCATTAACCTGTGCTCGTACCGTTGTTTCTTAGGTCCATCCAGATGAAAAAGGCTTCGAAGCAAACAGGGCACGTTCTTCGACCATGCTAAACATTGTCAACAAATTTACGCTGATTCTTTCAATGTTCAATAGTATGTTACATTCTCGTCTGTTCAACGGTTCACTGATGTGCCAGTGGAAGCCGCTTGATGTCGATGGAGAGCTCGATCCGCTGTACTACGATTTGGGGGTGCGTACTTTGCTTTCTTGCAAAGTGATATTGAAGCTCACACTCAGTAACGATATGGCGGCGGATATAGCAAGCGCTAATGGTGCCCGGGGCTAGCGGAATCTGCGCCCTCAGGACTCGAGACTTAAAAACATATTTGAACTTGTAATATATAAATAAGGGAATAAGATCTTCAATGAGTTGGAGGTACCTCGCGCCGGCCGTGATGGTGACCTTGTTCGGAACTCTCAGATTTAAATCTAGATTAGGATCAAGTGCTTATAATGGTGCTTTCTTGTAGTTCAAGATATAGATAAGGGGGCCTGATTTTATTCCACAAGTGTGACATAATTACACAGGTCGCCCAGCGATGGCCAGTGCAATGTCGCGACCAGGGACGCGAACTCCTCTACTTGATCGGACTGCATCTGGGAGCAGAATCATCGTCCTATAGTAAGTTCCCACGGCTATGATGTCAAAAGGACTCATGGATTCACTCAATTTCGCAAACTTACCTTGTTTCTACAGGCACTGGTTTGGACGCTTTGTGATGAGCCGAATCTCTGAGAATATGAGCGCTCGCCAGGAGACAGCGCGCGATGCCTCCTTATGTTTCACGCGTCCAATGCGAAAGTCCCCTCGAGAATTTTTTATTATTCTCTATTTGTACCATGATACTACCATCCTGCCCGGGCCATCGTCCATTGGTTCCAACGTTCATCATGAACGTTTAAACGTTGACGGCGCATAGTCATCAATATTTCAATGCCCGATAGACTAGTGCGAGCTTGGCATTGACTCGGACTAGTTGCGAAAATGCTGAACCACCGCTTTCTCAAACGATTTCCGGAGGGCTCTTTTTCGGACCACCAAATTAATTATCCTCGATTAGTTGACTCAAATCTGCAGTGACTCGGAGCGTTAAGCTATGGGCGGCAAATGCGTTGGAGATGGTATGCATTGGCGATCGATGAGCAAGGCTTCAGCTTCATTAATGACTACTAGTAGCGTCTATTGTTTCCTATCACTACATAATCATTATATTGGGCGTTATAGCTACCTGCTTAGTGCTTCGAGGTGCGAATCGTCACCAGCTGCGGAACTCCCAGCTTGGCTCTTCGTCCTTTTTCACTTGATCAGGTTCTGTTGTCTCTCCAGTCCATATGCCAGGTCATCGCGGAAAGACGAAGGCAAAAAAGCCAAAGCCAATCGTTAATGTTCACTCCGTGGCACGTCTTCCATCAGAGGAGTTCATCGGGTTGGTAGACGATATCGAGAGAGCTGAAGGATGGAACACTAGAGTCAAGGTACTGTGCGAGTTCCTCCAGTTACCAGGTGAGTGCGCAGCATAATCCGTGTCTTTGTTGCTCCGTTTCGAGCCCTGACTCTATTTCCCAAAGATCTCTCCAGACGAAGTGGCCTGAAGAAAGTCCACGTCAACTTCAACGAAGTATATCATAACATCGATGATGTCTACGTCGCGAATATAGGAAACGAGAAAATTACCGGGACGATCATCGGCATCTATACCAAGATGTGTGCTGATGCCATCCTTCGAGACAAGCTCTTTCAGAAAGGTGCAAGTCGTGACACAGTTCTGTCGGTGAATTGCATTGATCATATTACAGGTTTGGTGACCAAGATCACCCCTTTAATCAACATTCCTGCCACGCGTTATCTTGCTCTCCGCGCACTTACAACCGTGACACATCATGGAGGTGTCGATATTCGCAAAGAAATCTCACTGGAGTCCCCTTCCCTACTCAAGGTCATACAAGAAAACCCAGATGATCTCAGGGCTGCCGAGATGGCGATTTCTACCATGGCTCACGCCATCGGCGCTGCGATCAATCAGGAAGATTCGCCGGCTCCAAAGTACATCAAGGCAGCCAATATCAAAACTTTGATTCCAGTCGTAATAGACTTCATGCGCAAGCCCGGCGTTACCATTCAGCTATTGCATCATGGCCTAGAGTTGCTTACGCACCCTGTTCTCCACTGTTGGAGTGAGTGCAAGGCTAACTCAGCCCTCCAGGATTTGCTTGTAGCCTGCCTGCGAAGTGCAGACCTTACCGTGCGTGTCAGTGCGCTAGGTGGCTTGCTTCGTCTCGAAGCCTTGTCTTCGGAAGACGATCAGAGACAATTCGACCCCCACAAGCTCATGGCAGCAATTGAACGCCGTTTCCCCGACCATCTCGTCGATATCTTGACAGATTACGGCACAATGCGCTGTGATACATTTCTTACTATGTCATCGACCGCCGACAACCAAAAGGCTATGATGAAGTGTGCACAGGACAAGGATCTTTACAGCCTTGGTCTAAAGCTTGCAGAACTCATCACTAGAACCGAGTTCTCTATTGCAGAAGGCGGTTTCCAGATGCAAGATCCTCGTACTGGACGGATAGAACTCAACAGGGATATAGGTCTACCATTCATCATGTGGTCTGATGCACTGCCTCATTGTGCTAGAGCTATCCTTGCGAAGGGTCGTCCAGGAGAAGAAGATCTTGCAGACATGATTACCGCAAAGTTTTTCATCATCAGATCTCGTATCCCCGATGCCATTGAAGCTGCAAAGCGTGGTCTTCAGCGCAACCCCAAGTTCGCATACTTCTACTACGTGATCACGTTGGGTAAAGACCACTACGAAGGCTTGCGTTCTGCGAAGAAAGGCTTAAAGTGCCCGAAGATGACGCCGTTCGTACGCTTTGGGCTCTTGCACCGTGCTGTCGAACTCGCAGGCAACCTGGGAGTCTGTCGCATTCAGGAATCGAGCCCAGGAGATAGGAAATATGATGAGGGTGTTGCGTTCCTTATGAGCGCGATGGAGGACGCAAAGGTTTACGCCACGGAGGCTCCCCCAGATGCAAGACACATGAAGAACGTGTTATACTGGTACATCTGCCTCACTCTTACTATCAAGGGACCAGAGACACCAGCAGACCTTGAAGAGCTTCAGGTATGTTCACCGGCTTTGGCATTCGACAGTCTCTCTACAACCGAGCGCAGGTCGCATTCAAGAAGTTGGGGTATGCCGACGAATTTAGCGTACTTCTGGGCACTGTTCCCCCGAGAACACAGTTGCGCCTGACTCAGCAAAACATCGTTAAGCGCTACCCCACTGCTGTGCAAGAGTGGAAGGATCTGGTTGCACGCTTTGACGAGGTGATGACAGATGAGCGCCCCATCTCATTGGAGAAAGCTGAAGATGATCTTGCTGCATGGCTTGATGACCTCCATCTTGATCACGGAGAGGAAGACGAGCCTTACCCACAGAGATGCTCGCACCCACGAGTCAGTCCGAACACTGTGGCGTTGTACAGATGTTCGTGGTGTAGCAATCCCAGTGCTGCACTGAGGAAGTGCAGTGGTTGCGAGAAAGCAAGGTAATTGATTCATTCACTCTTGTCTTAGGCGGATAATTGACCAGTAATTTTCCAGGTATTGCGATGGCGGATGCCAAAAGTCGCATTGGTCAGAGCATAAGGTCACGTGCAGGACTTGAATGGCCTCGTATACCTTCATTCTTGTTGTCATACCAGTTTCACGATTCGTCCAACGGTTCCTAATCCTGGTGCCCGTTGCTCCAAGTTCTCAACCTATCTTGGCCCTCTCTGATTACCTTCCTCAGCCCATTTGCAATACGTGGCTAGGTACTTATGACCACTCTTGGTGTTCCTGTATTGGTACAGTAAAACATGTATTATCCTACACACGATTCGACTGCAATAACAACTTTTCCTCATACCTCAGGTTCTTCTCCTTTTATTTGACTTGCTCGCTTCATACGCATCTTCTTTCCTGTCCTGAACTCTTTTCAAAAAGTCCATCTTTTCCAAGTAGCCACCTCCGCGTCGGTTAGCGTCAAGTTCGTCCTTGACATCACTCGACGTGACATGCGTGCGCCAGTCCATTGCAGATTTATCCAGAGTAGTGATCTTCTTGGCCTTCTGAGTCGGTATGTCCGCCAACGATGTGCGAGGCTTGCGAGGACCTGGAGGTTTCCTTGTGGCAGATTTCTGTGCTGCAGGTTGTATCGGATCTGCTGAACTCGATGCCGACGCGTTCACAGCGATAGTTGAAGACGAGGAATCAGGCGCTGGTGCAGCAGCAGCAGACGACAAGTCTGATGGATCCCACCGCGGCCACTTCTTCGCTTCCTCCGAGTCTTCAGGGACTTCAACCACTTCTCTTCACATCACTAAGCACGCTGTCACAAAGAACGAGTGGGGCAGACATACACGATATTCTTCCCTGCGAAAAGGTAACGTTTCTCGATCTTCACGAGCTTCTTTGGTGGCTCCTCGACCTTCGGAGGCGGTGGCGTAGCGACAGACGCCTGGAAACTGGCCCATAGAGCATCGCGCGCTCTGTACAGCAGGATAAGTATATTTGACCTATAGGGTCACCCGACACCTCACTTTTTCTTCTCGCCTAGATCTTCCTCTTTCACTTCATTCGTCACATTCGTATCGTCATTTTCTTCTTCATCTCCAGAGCTATCCGAGTCTGTTTTATTTGGTCAGACAAGACGATTCTTGGTAGGATAGCCTGTGTCATACCTTGGTGTTCAGGAGGCGCGTAGTCTGGGTCATCGTCTTCGGAGTCAGATGTTGGGTCGCGTAGTGGAGGAGACATTGTGTGGTGTTGTTTGATGTTGTTGAATTTGAAGTGTTGGGGAACGGGCGTCAACAAACGTCAATCAGTTCTTTCAATGAACTCTTCATCAACATGGCTATGTGGCGGCTAAGTAAGAGTCATCTGCAATTCAGCAGCAGATCATCTCACTTAACCGCGTACATATACCAGCACTGCTTTTTCTTAAATATTGCCTTGACTGGAATTGACTCGGACAACCTGGTTTTTCTGACTAGATCAACTCTCACTCAAGTTACTCAACCACGGTGTACGATTTTTCTCGAGGTTTCGTTGATATTCCCACAAAGTACTGAAACAATGGTTGAACACTGACATAGCAAGGTGCCTCGATAACATAATCAAAACTCGAAAACAACGACACAAACTACGTTGCCAGCTACGCATGAAACTCGCCTAACAATTCTCATTTGTTTTTCCCTACGATGACGAGGGGACCACGAATCAGAACAAAAAAATCGAGACGGGCGGCCAGTTACTCACCTGTGCCATTGGCCTTACCCCCTGCGCCTCCTTTGTTGTCAGTGGCACCAGGCGCAGCTTGTTGGGGGGGAGCCCCATTCGCTTCAGGCGACGATTTCTCATCTTTTGGCGGAGCTTGTGGCTTCTTGCCATCAGTCTTGGCTGTTGAGCCATTGGTTGGAGGTGGCGCCGTCGCGTCTGTAGATACGTGCAAGGGATCAACTGGCTTGTTAGTCGGTGGATTAAAACCATTAAAGCCAGGTGTTGTCTCCCCGTTGGCTTTCTGAGGGGTGAAGCCAAAGCCATTCTGATTGGCCGTGCCACCGAAACTGTTGAATGCATCGGACGAGTTTCTGGAGTGTCGACCGGGCGACGTAGGTCTCGGCGCAATGCCAAACACCTCCCTTATCATATCTTCCATCTGTGCATCCTCAAAATCGTCGAACGTCGGGGAGCGAATGCCGCTCTCCGCGGCTTGCTGCCGAGCACGCTCGCGTGCGTCGGCAAGGCGGAGGACGGTTTCCATTCCGAGCTTTGTGCCCTCTGCAAGAGAGATAGACTTTTCACGTTTGCACATCGCGATGTATGCAGGAAGAAGGAGAGTTTTGTTGATCTTATATTCGTGGTATGCCACGATCTTTTCGATCGGCTCGATGTTGAGTTTCTCGAGCTCGCGAATAGCGAGGTCTTTGATGTTCCAGAAGTTCCATCGATGAGCGAGGTTCAGGATGCTCAGCCATGTCTCGACGGGAGCATCGTAGAGTGAATATTGGCTGGAATCACATGTGAATACGGACAGTAACCCAGATATCGCACATACGGGTTGTATATCACCCAGAGGAAGCGCTCAAAGTCTTCGCTTTTGACGTCGTCAAGGGTGAAAGGACTTGGAGAATCAGTCGTGCCGTGATCCCCACCATCGGGAGAGGCATCTAGCATATTGCGCCATACTAGCGATTCGCGGTAGAAGAAGTAGCTGTGTATGCGGTAGTGATGGTTGCCGATCTGCAACGTTGGCCCCAGATCAGAATGGAGAGTCGCGGGCCAACAAATACCCTGGGACTCACCAACACATTCAGGTCCCCACCACGCAAGTAATAATCCTTGTGGTTGACCACACGGCCCACACGATCCTGCGAGGAGCTCATGGTGGAAGATGTAAAATGGGAGAATGGTTGATAGAAGTTGAGGGGGGGCTACGTATATATGCTCTCAATTCAATGCCAGATCATGACATGCGTCTTTCATGATGTGCGTTGTCACATGCACGCCCTATTGTTCGATCACCAGCATGTTTGCACGAGGCATGATGAGCACTCGTGGCTGTCCAATCGTAGGTATCGATGACTGCCAGTAAATTGGAGTAAGTATCTGTTTTTCTGCGAGTCTGCGACGACGCAAATTTTTCAGTCGATGGCATGTTAATCGGTGCCGACCAAATATCTCCATGGAGCGGGCAACTGACTATTTTGGACCAACATTTTGCCATCCAGTCGCCGCAAGGCTTCTAAATTACCCATATTACAAGCACGTTCACCTCACAAGAGGATGTGGGCGATCCACTTGCCTCATGGCAATCAGAGGTTTAGGACCGCAGTAGTGTTCTGGTCTAAGGCATGGCATAGGCCGCGAGGTCAAGCTATGTAATTAGCAAGTCAGCTACTCAGCGCTAATTTACTTGGCGCTCGGGAAGCGCAGGTCTTCCGAAAGCGTTCGACTTCTAACCATACCAGAACTTACTCCCTGGTAAGGTCACTGACCGGAAACCGGAAGGCGATCATCAGTGAACTGGTGAGGAAATTAGAAGATCGTATATAACAATATATAGTACACAATCACAAACATCAGCATAATCCTGCTATGGACCATCACATTGTCGTGTTTGACTTTGTAGAGGAAAGGAGGCTTCCTGATTTTCCTACACATGTTTGTGATCGGGAAAAGACTCGCACATTTCTCAAACTCACACTCGACAGGAAGGTAGTGCAAAAGCTACTGATCGGCACCATCAACTGGAAATGCTTGAAGATTGTCATTTGTATTATAATTGTCCAAGTAAGAATGAAAGACAATATCCTTCCGGTGAATGATGATATTTCGGTGAGTGAGTGAGGATAATATGTGTTCACCAAGTGCGTGACAATCAAATTATATCTCGCTTCGCATATCCACGCGACCTCCTGTATTTATCAAATAACTGACAGTTGTAGTTCCCTTTGGACAATGCCTCAAGAGGTCGTGGCCTTGCACGAATGCTGTATCATTATGATGTAGTTCATTAGCGCAGGACTTGATAGTAGTGGGTCATAGACCACCCCAGTGCATCACGTACCATTTGACGGGCATAGCATGTATTGTGTCATGGTTCAGGAGAATTGCATGTGTTTGCACGCTACAGGAGGAATTTTGTATGCATTCATTTCGGCCCTGAATGCTTTAAGTTCTTGATCCTGTGACTATGTTATTATTATGCAACAATTCATATATTCAACAAATTCTTCAAACCGCTAAGAAACATTATACAAAACCTAACAAACAAACAAAAGCTCAATGATTTTGAGTGTTGTCGGTGGGGACGTTGAAGTCGAGACGTCATCCAATCATGTTCATTTTGCAGGTCCAAACCGTTCTGTCATGTGATTAGCACGATGATTAAAACTTACAGAGATGACCATGCTTGCGCTACAATTCCTGGATTCACAAGACTCCACTGTCTACTCTAGAATTCTAATGTTTGTCTGGTAGTTATCAATTGGGAATGCGTGTGAAAAAGCTTTACCTTTGTGCAGTAGTCGAGATATGTTCACTGGGTGGGCAAATGATCGATTTGTACCATGGTTTGGGTCTCTAAGTCATATTTTTTGCTTTACTAAAGACTGGCAGAGGCACATCACTTGCGACTGCGTTCGAAGAAGTCATAGCTTTGCCTGGACACCGTGGAGTTATCACTCAGTACCTTGACTCAGAATTCCACAGTCAAGGGTCATACACCACCACGGTATGTTGCCCACCATTCAACAGCCTTCACACACCACATGCAACTGCGTTATTAGAGATTGTAGCTTTTCCTGGACACCCTGGAGTTGTCACTCAGTACCTTGACTCGGAACTCGACAGTCAAGGGTCATATACTACCATGGTACGTTGCTCACCATTCAACAGCTTTCGTGCACCCGTGCCACTGCATCCTAATAAATTGTAGCTTTTCCTGGACGCCATAGAGTTGTCATGTAGTATCTTGACCCGGAACTCGACAGTCAAGGGTCATACACCACCACGGTACGTTGCTCACCATTCAACAGCCTTCATGCACCACGTGCAACTGCGTTCAAAGAAGTCGTAGCTTTTCCTGGACACCGTGGAGTTGTCACTCAGTAACTTGACTCAGAACTTGACAGTCAAGGGTCATACACTACCACGGTACGTTGCTCACCATTCAACAACCTTTGTGCACCCGTGCGACTGCGTTCTAAGAAATTGTAGCTTTGCCTGGACGCCATAGAGTTGTCACTTAGTATCTTGACCCGGAACTTGACAGCCAAGGATTGTACCCCACCGCGGTACTTCGCTTACCATTCAATAGTCTTCGTGTATATTTAGCCCATCCATCCTTACAATTGGGTGTCTTTGTGCCCTGCGGGGGTGTTATCTATGTGAGCATTTAGAATCCCGATGACTTAGCTTATCAATTCAACGATACGGTGATCGTCAGGCAAAGTAAAGTATTTATATAAACCCCTTAAGAACTGCAAGGAATTAAGACTTTGAATTTGATGGTCTTTTCATTTGCTTTCATCTTGTAAGTATACTACATTATGCACAATGATTGTCGCGAAGACCAGAAGATGCAGAGACTACTGTGAGCATGCTGTACTAGTATTCACTCGATTTAGCCATGTGAGTTTACGAGATGCTTTCAGCCCAATTTCAACCTTGCAAATGGGCGTTTCATATCAGGCATCACATGATGGCAAGTAACATTATCATCCATGACATTATTAAACTGCAACAAGCAAGAAATTTGAATAAAAACACGATGCTAAGATAATAATAGGTCCCTAGTTTGAATCGAAAGAAGTATCGTCACGGTGTGCCCTCTGCCTCGCGAGAGCGTTCACAGACATGTTGGCCTTTGTCGCATCGCTGAGATCCTCGCGGCGACTCCTACCAAAAACCTTCCTATGAAACAATTCAACTAATCGGGACTTGTTGAAAGGACAGATAGCGCACCTGGTCCACCACTCCAGGAGTCTGTTGACTCTGCATTGTGCTTCTCGGCCAGGAGGCCTTTCGAAGAAATCCACTATGATTTTCCAGAATTGTATATAGTTGAAGTCACCGTCGACCGACTGCCACGAGGTAACGGACGAAAGTGCGAATCGCACCTGTGCGATCATCATTTACCATTGATCAAAACAAAACCATTATCATTGATTACCTGACAGGCAATGTATGCAATAGATCGCGGAGTAACTCTATCCATCTTGATAATTTGTGCCACATGTTTCTTGACCTTGACTCCCGAAAGTGCTTTCTTCGCTCGCCTGTTGTTCTCGACGATATCTGCGCCATCGCCGTCACCCTCGATATCCTTTGCTGAAGATGGTGAGGTGAAGACAGCTTTATAGCCCTGAAAATGAGGTAAGATGATTTCTGGGAAACTCGGATATGACAAACCTGCAAAAAAAAATTTCCCTTGAAAAGCCTGTCTTCCAGATCGTCCGAATTTGCACTGTACTTTTCATATAAGAAGGTCGGAAAGGAGAGTTCCGTAACAATATGGCCCTCCAATCGATCTCGAATACCTGCCCTTACGCTTGTGAACCATTAGCATTGTTCAGGATCCAGGGTGCATTAGTACTTACGCTGGGTTGTTCCAGTCAAGCTCGGCCGGGCACAGTAACATACTGCACGCATCATTGACGAATCCACGACAATGCTTATCGTCGGAGTCAACTAGAGGGTCTGGTTTCAGTTCACGATTAACCCAGTCTGAAATAAGAGTCTTAAGCTTCGAGGTATCATCTCCTCGAGCGCCATCAGCTCCTTGCCTGAGCTAAATAAAAACTTAACATGATAAAGTCCATCGTTGGTAGAGATAAAACGTACAAATTTTAACATGCGCGTGAAGTCATCGTGCTCCATGTCTGAGGCACTCTTTACAAACCACGAAAAGGTTCTCGTTAGGACGTGATACCCTACATGCAGTCTATCTTGGCTACATAAAGAAGTCAATGGGGACACTGGCTACGAGAAACTAGTCAGGAGAAAAAACTGACTCAACAGTAGCAGCCTCCGCGTCTTCATCGCCATTGACATCATATCTTCTGTCATTTTCTGACACGAGATCCTCGATGCCATTGAATAGAGCGATGATGCGCCTGAAGCCTCTTCCTTGGGCCAGGTAGTAATTCGTTTGCCTGAAGCATGGTGAGCAAACCCGATCCAACATATGCAACAGCGTTGGAGTCCGAGTCATACCTTTCTTTCACAGCTCGCCCCGACTCAAGAGTCTCTATCTTCTCTTCCAGTTCGGCAATTTTGCGTCTCTGCCGAGCTTGCGTGAACGATGCTTGACTCGGAGATGGTTCTGGTTGCGGAGGTTGCAGAAGACCATGGTCGCTCCGTTGGTCGTCGATGAACGACTCAGACATGCCGCGGCTCAGGTTGCCAGTGATGAGCGCTGTGCTGCCCTCTGTGGATGACATCTATAAGACACTCGGAAGGAAGAAGTTCGATTAGTAGATGAGGAATGAGAGGTGAAGACAAGGGAAAAGAACTCGACCAGCACCCATTTTATATGCTGGTGGGCCGCCCAGATCCGTGACTGCCCTAAAGACTGTTAAGTTAAATATTGAATTCAGCATGGCGCTGATCGTACAAAGTATGCTTCTTTGCGACTTACTAAAAATGGACAGGCGTAGTTAGTGACTAATCTGGCTCGTGACGTCTGAACAGAATCACAGCGACTCGGATGACTCTGGGACGGGTGCGGGCGACGTTGCTTTATAGTTTGACCCATCTGATGACCATGCATTTCAGAAGCTGCGATGGCACTTTCACTAGCTGTGGCAGGTGGGCTATCTGTTTGATGGAAGTCACGGTCACGGTGTGCCGCGGCTGTGAAAGAATCATCGCCCGAGAGGTCTAGCAGTAGTAGTATTAGTAGTACTAGCCACGATTCGGAAGGGTCTGTCGACTCGGACGCACGGGAAGTTCGTTGTACTATTTGTACTGTTCTCTCGATTGTCGAGGTGCCAGTGTCACCGTGCGAATAGAATAAATTTGCACCCTCGGTGATGTGCTTGAAGTGGGGTTTGCCTTCTGTATCCATCAAAGCAGTAACATTAGAGACGTTCACCGTGACAGCTTCAGAACTGAATGGCTCTGATCATCATGTAGTAGTGTTTGGTGCAAGTAGCAACACAAACATACCGTCCACCGCAAGGCTACACACAAGTATGCACTACATAATCTAGTAGTAGTTGTCTTGTCTCCAACCCATAGTGCTCATGAGCTTCTCCAGCGCACCTGTAACCATGAACGGAGCACATCGGTACCTGGTGCAGGGATTTGGTGAGTCTCAAGGGCCAGACAGAGACGGCACATACCTAGTAGTACTATAATCATGAACGGAGTGTTTGTGCTGGTCATCGGTGGTCCAGGTCGCGATGGGCAATTGAGCCCAACGAGGAAGGCAGCGCTGTGGCTGAGTCGTCATGTGTCACATTTGCGTTAATTTTGCAGACCTTACATGATACCTCTAGGCTCACTAGTGCCGCATTTCACCTGCCCCGCGCCGTCCTGAAAAAAACCAACTCAAAATTTAACCAGTGCCTAAGATAATAATAAGTGTAGTATGTCCTTCATCATACCCAGCATCAAATTAATATGATCACCATGCCATTTGATCTCAGTGTCTTGTTCCATTGGCAGAGCTCGTATGTATTATGTGATATGAACATCAGACTAACACGTCTAAATTTAGACACCCAAATTTGTGTAGGTATTCTCACACACTATTCGGTCTGCCAATTACAGATTACGCTGGTATACTGCAAGTCCACATTCAAACCTCCTCTCACGCTGTATTATAGGTCAACCGCCAGGCCATTCGCCATGAGTAGCTCTTCTGAATCAAAGAGCAGCAATTCCTTGACCAACTCCTCTGGCTCCAATCTTAGGTATGTTTATTTAACAATATGTTCACTTCCACTTAGACATACACCCCAGCAAACCCCAATTGAATGCAGCATCCACACCCCCAACATCTATTGCCACCAGTGGCTCTCCTGCCAAGAGCATGGACTCTCCCATTTTGTCTGCTGACAATCCTGGACTTCGCGTTGAGTGGGCTCGCGCCTTCAACTTGGGAGAATGTCACACTCGTGATCCCCGTAAACGCCCTGTCCAATACACATTATTTCAGGGTGGCAGACAGGACGAGGATTGCGATTTGCCCACGAAGAGGTCAAAGACCTTGCAAACGACGGTCTGTCCATTTAAACGGTTGCTTTCGGATTTTCAGTTCTCATTTTTTTTTCAAAGTGGAACTTTACATCTACCCCTTCCTCCGCAGCTACAATATACCTCAACGAGCGCATGCTCGAGCTCTCACGAATCACTCGCCGAGCTATTGCTGCGAGGTTGCGATACCAATGCCTTCGCTCCCGCGAACTAGATTTGATAAAGTCAATTCTTGACGACGAAACCGAGCTGTGCCAGACACAGTTGAGTGGAGTTGATGTGCAAATCGGCTCCATCTGAAATATGCTTCAGGATGCTGGGGTCGCGCAAATAGGGAGCACAGGTTCTAGGTTTGATCCTAATGATGCGGCTGGGCCCTGGTGTGAAAGTTCTTCCGATGAAGGATCAGCTGCAATCGCCGCATCTCGTGGCAGCTCAGCCTGCCCATCCGATGACTCAAATTGTTAATTTATTTTGTGTCATCCTATCTCCGTGCCCACATGTGCATTATATGTAGTTTGATTCCAATGTACGTAGTGGCTTTATCGTGACTAAGAAGTTTGACATCCTGAATTGTGTCCTCAGACTCTGAAGCGTTGAAAGTCATAGTACTACTAGTACTTCAAGTTGAGTTGAATTCGCATCCAATTCATTACGGACATTCAAAGTTGAGTTCATGGCCTGTTTTAGTTCACTGCAACTGTTGATTCGGACGTAGCCGATTATTAGTATGCAGACTCAACATATGTAATAGAATGCCCAGTTGTCGATATCGTATCATGACTGACTCGGACCTTGTCAGGGTTTTCGAAGCTTTTTTCTTCACAGTTTACTGATTTGAATGTTGATCAATGTGCAGATGTAATAGAACGCCCGGTAATTGTATGTATTAAAGTCTGCTGACCTTGTCAGGGTTTTGAAAGCATTGAAACTTAGTTCGCTAGCCAGAAATGCACGTATTATTATGTCCTGCAGCACCAAGGTGACCATATTGAATTACTAACTGGGCATAAAGCACTATCACGAGTCTAGGTCTAGGAGCCGTGCCATTCCTTCCAGAAAATAGAAGGACTCCTATTCCTTCGTTCCTCCTAGCTGATTGTACCGCATGGAGCTGAGTCAAACACTTATCTTGATCATTTTGCGGGCACGATTGAACATAATTCTTTATCAGAACAAATCAGAAATGGCATCCAGAAGGCCGCATATCAATCTTGCACCACACCACATGATGTCCTCAAGGTGAGTCAAAATCTTGATCATTTAGGATGCATGATCTGTATTTGACCGAAAATGACGTTCAGAAGACCATAATCGCTTGTCAACGACGGCTCTGAATCAGCCTGAATAGTACCGCCTGTGCCTGTGATGCTCGCACAAGACCTCGCCTGCAATAACCGTAAGTTTATCCAAATACATTGTGACATGTGAGATAACTGAAGGCTGGTCCGACCGCAGTAGTACAATCAATGTTGCTGATTCTTGACTATTTAACTTCAAACATCGCTGATTTAACTTCCAACTTTCCCCCTTCCAAGCCTACTTGATGGACACCCCAGAATCATTAACGTTTACACCAATTGAGTTCGACCCTGACGATCCCTCCGAGTCTAGTCTGAGACAGCGGGGGATACCTGCTCAACTCGGTTCATCACGTTATAACCCATATGCACGCAGCATGCCTGGCTCAAGGCCTTCTACATCGCTAGCGTCAGCAAGCGTAATAGATGATGCCGATAGTGCTCGTTGCACCACAGACTTGCAAGAAGCCCCACAATCTAAGTGTAGCATCAAGGACTATGATAAAACACAGCAACTAGCCATCGAATGGGCGAAAATGCGCCTCGTTATGGACGGTGCAACTACTGGCTGGATCAGGAACAGTACCAGAGACGAGAAGGTCAAGATGGAGATGCGCGTTAGGGAGATCATTTTTCATGCCGGTATAAAGTTCAGTTGTGGTATGTGCTGACAACTGCCCCGTGCGCACCCCACCCATCATAGACTAATCTGCATTACAGAATTGATAGCTAATAAGTATCTCATAAACTCTGTAGTCTGAGCCCTAACGAAGGACCGTAGAGAGCTCGCAAAAACGGGCGAAGAATTTGCGCCCCTGTACAAGCTTGAACCGCCGTCAAAGCGGTCCGAGGAGGAACACCAGATTTATATGAACAATCGAAGGGTAGCTATCTACGATGCAAATCAGCCTTTCGAATACTATCTACATGGTATAGAGGAGACTGAGACGTCTACCAATGTCCTGGTCTTCTCAGGTCAAGCTGTCGAAAGTACTCATATCAAGCACTGGTATGAGAGCAAGAAATCGCCACTTTATGACGAAGAAATGAGGTCCTCGATTAATACAACACCCCTTGACATGCTCGCAGAGTCAGCGGTGGGAGTGAGTAAAGCATGTTCTGGTGTGCATCCATTAATTGAATTTTCATGATCTTTAGATAAGGTGTGCCATTGATTGGTACGTCGAGGGTCGACTCTCCGGATCAAAAGAAAATAACACTCTGCACTTCGCTACCGACGTATATGCCAATGAGCAACAGTTGATCAAGAACGCGATGGTATTTGCCCTCCAGCAAAATATACATCGGGAGTCATTCCAGAAGCATCTATTATATCTTCATCACAGAGGCCTGTAAGTCTCTCGTTACAGCGAATACAGGCTCAATGCTCATACATTTGCAGTCAAAAATTGCACGAGAAGCTGGGCCTTTCGGCTCCTGAATTTCCAATCCATGTCCCTTTAACAGCGGAGGAGTTGAGCAAACCACGCCTAGTGCCGAGTCATAATACCGCGACTGCCCTGCCCGGGCCTTCCACTTTGTTGCCGTTTGGACAAATAGGTGGTCAGGTGCCATTGATGACGTCGGGACCGCAGATGTCGTTTGTACAGATCTCAGGTGATGTGGGTCTGAATATGTGGGGCTTTCCAAGTTTTGGAGACTCGGAGCAGTCCCGTCTTGAACAAGGCTCCGGGTCCATGTCGACCCAAATGCCTTTCAACATATAGTGCATTTGCCTGAACATCAATTCAAAAGGTCAGCACAACTGCCGACTAGGCCTTCACCTGAGCTAATTTCATCATTCAGAATCATTGTCATTTAAATTACTTCTTGCTTCGTAATGTCCATATTCTTTGCAGCCGTACTACTAGTGTCTCTAGCCTCGTTACTAGTTTTTGGTCAGACAGAATTCATTGCTTGTTGATGCGATCAATCCATGGCTGCGGCTGAGCGCTGATCGATGATCATCGATCATTCATTGCTTGTTGATGCGATCAATCCATGGCCACTAATCATACTACATACTTGATTTTAAAGCCTGTCACGAACATGACATTACGTCAAGTTTGTTTACTTGAGTTGTTTTTGCACAGTGCCTCTTTGATCCCAATATTAATATGACCTGGTCAGTTCAATCAGTATTGCAGTGGAGTTTTGCGTTCATGCTGCAGGTTTCATGAGTGCTGATTCTGGCTTGCCAGCCAATCATCTCTTGGGACAGAAATAATGATGTGAGAGGGTGGACTGCCTTTGTTGACATTGGACCCTCGGTGAGTATTCCACTTTATCAATCTGCACCATGACAAATATCTGGTTTTGTCTGGTATCGTGTTTACCCAATAGCTTCTAAATCGACAACATCCACTTCAGAGATGTTGCCCGTGGTGGTATTCCGAGTCGAATTGTCATGTCGTGGAACAAAGAGTACGTGTGCCATTTCTGGACTTCGGAATCCTACAGTTAAGTTCTAAGCACCATGTCATCAAGATGACTGAGCACTTCTACTTCCACAATCACCTCTGCAATGCCATGGAACTACTTAGCATCAATTTGTACGAACTGATCAAAGCAAACAGTTTTGTTGGATTCACAACGGCATTGATACGACGCTTTACAAGCCAGATGATACTATTGTCTCTGTGCTTGATGTGGCATCATCGCATATTGCGATCTCAAGCCAGAGGTTCATTAGTATTCTCTCATTGCATGCACTTTGTCTTATGACTGTGTTTAGAATGTCTTATTACGATACCCTGCGAAGAGTGCAGTGCTATCAAGGTCATAGACTTCGACAGTAGCTGCTTAGAGCACAAGAAGAGTAAGTTCATTTTCACCACGGTCCCTAAGATTTTACTGAGCCAAGCGTAGTCTATACTTATATTCAGAGTCGTTTCTATCGGTCACCTGGAGTTATCCTGGGCATGAACTATCACATGGCTATCGACATGTGAAGTTTGGGTTACATCCTCACCGAGCTCTATACAGTATCCCCTATCTTCCCTGGCGAAAACGAGCAGGAGCAATTGTCTTGCATCATGGAGGTCTTGGAGCCCCCAGATAAGGACTTCATTAATCGTAGCTCCCGAAAGCGACTCTTCTTCGGTAAGATGACACATTGGCGACCTTCTACCACTTTCCTGATCCTTTCTAAGACAACAACGGCACACCCCGACCCATGGTGAACTGTAAAGGTCATCATAGACGACCAGGCACAAACACTTGCTCAAGTTCTACAGTGTCAAGACAATGCTTTGTATGGGATCCTGAGCGAAGGATGAAACCTCAAGCAGCACTGCAACATAACTTCCTCCATGCAGGACGTCGAAGCAAGATCACTACCCCTTCGCCATGTCATACTTTTTCTCGTCATCGTCGATCACCAAAGGCGTCACAGACATGGACTTCACCTCACGTTTCTGCTTGCCAGCCACACCACTGGCAGGTGTATCATAGTCATTGGCAGTCATCTTGTCCTTCCTCCCCTTGCGTCCGACACCCACGTCTGACGCTGGAGTATCACGACCAAGCCCGGCTGTAGTATTGGTCTCTTTGAGAAGCTTGTTGGCAGCCCATCGTTCTTTCTTGCCACGGGCACGGACAAAAAAATACAATTTTTGAATATTAGGATCAGCCTATATTAATATGTCCTGTTATCTATCTATCTACAATCCACAACGTATATTTCTGCGTCATGCTGTGTTGTGCGTGTCTCAGCATGTGTGATAGTATGTTTAATTTATGTAAGCAGTAGTCTGACTTCCCGCTACCGGATCATTCTTACTAGTAACATTTTTGAAGCACTTCAACGAACTACACTACAGAGGACTCAAACAACCGATACCTTACAGCTTATTGCCGACAACTCTAACGTGCAATGCGCACAAGCATTGTGTCATCTCTTTGGATTGTTGCCTTTCTGTCAGTCTCGTTTTTACTGATGATGGTGTTCCAATGCGGTGCCCTAGGCTGCTCTTGGGAGAAGGCAAAGGATGCCCGTGGACTCAATAGGCATCGTGCCTCTTGTCATTTGCACAAGAGATATAGCGTTCTTGCGACACAGAAGAGACGGGAGTGTGCCAAAGAAGCTTCACACCATGACGCAGTGAGTAGTCCTACTAAGCAATCAGCTGTCTTCTTAAACAAGGTGGACTTCAGAGAATCGGTCGTGTCAGACAAACTGCCCCTTTTCGATTACCAGCAGGGTCTGGCATTGGCACTTTAGATTCATCCAGTCTCGACGACTTAGGACTCTCCCTTGACTTAGAGAACGATGACGACATTGAGATGGGTGCCAGTTGCGAAGACAAAGTTGACGAGTCGGATTATTGTGGTTAGCATCCCTTTGTGTGATAGACTACCAGTTTTCTCATTACCTGACACCTCCAGAGCAACCGACGCGCCGTATCAGGCGAATTCCGAGGCCCTTCCATGCCATCGAGCCCTTAGAGGATGAACTTAATTACTCTGATATCAGTCAGAGCTCGTTGAGTCAAAGTTTGCCTGTCGTACCAGCTCGATCCAGAATCCAGCGTGTTATTCTAACCCTCAGAGATACACTTCAAACAACTGCCAATTCCTTTGGTCTCTGCCAACTTTACCCTCGTCGTCCGTCATTCGAGCCGGACAGATTTATTCCATCTGCATTGCTTGCGAGGACGTGTCCAGCTGCTGCTCAAGGATCCCATTCTCTGCCGAAGGTCTTTGCACCACCATACCCGTTTTCTAATATGACAGTCTATAGACTTATGTCGTGGATGAATTCCGGCACCAGTCGTGTGTCAGAAACTAAAGTCGCTGCCCTAGTCAAAGACGTGATACTAGCAGAGGATTTTGACAGCAAGGACCTACAGGGATTTTCGGTGAGGCGGAGTCTGCGGGAATTGGACCAAGACGAGGGTGGAAAGGGAATTACCTTTCCAGATGACTGGATCGAGACTACGGTCACCATCGACATTCCAACGAAGTTGAAGGAGGATAGCCCTAGGCTCTTCTCAATTCCTGGATTTCATTTTCGCCCGCTTGTTGAAGTTGTACGCGCTGCATTTGCAGATGCTCAAGCGGGCGCGTTCCACCTCATGCCTTTTAAACATCTATGGAATGATCCTCTAGACAGCCATCAAGAACGGATATATGACAAGCTTTACACATCTGATGCTTGGTTAGGAGCCCAGGATAATTTGCACAAGCTGCCGAAAGAGCCTGGGTGTTTATTGGAGCGCGTCATTGCAGGCCTTATGTTCTTTTCGGACACTACTCACTTGGCAAATTTTGGAACTGCCAAGGCTTGGCCTCTCTATGCCTACTTTGGAAATCTGACGAAGTATGTACGTTCGTCGCCTACGTCAGGATCGTGTCACCTCGTAGGATTCTTACCTTCGGTGAGTCCTCCTTATTGCATATTTTCAACCATATTTACGCTACCCTCCTCAGCTTCCTGATAGCATCAAAGACGTTTTGAGTAGCCTGCCTCAAATATCGAAAACAGGCATGGCCTCCCTTCTCACCTACTGCCGCAGGCAGTTGTTCCAGGCTTGCTGGGAAATCCTGATGGATGAAGAATTCCTATATGCTTATCGACACGGTGTTGTTTTGAAATGCGCCGATGGAGTCATGCGGAGAGTATATCTTCGAATTTTCACGTATTCGGCTGATTACCCGGAGAAGTACGTTTTTTTCATTGCATTCTCTCAAGATATCAGATAACTCATAACTTTTAGGGCTCTGATAGCGACTATCAAGGACATGGGCACCTGTCCATGCCCTCGCTGCCTTATACCAAAAAGTTTGTTTCATTGTCTCGGTCTGGCGAAGGATATGAAAAATCGCATAACTAGCTTTCGAGTCTATACTACAGCAAAGATCGTCAAGGCTCGTGAGTTCATCTATCGATGGGGAAGTACCGTAGATAGCGGAAAGGTTGAAGACGCCCTTGGAGAAGGCTCGTGGGTTCCTATTCTGGTAGGTGCAAAGGGCTCGCTACTGGTCATGATAAACTCAAATTGATGTCCACATAATCAATTTGCAGTGAAGCTTGGGGCGCTAGGCCTCGACCCATTTCGCATGCTCGTGGTGGACCTAATGCACGAGTGCGAATTAGGTACCTGGAAGGCGCTATTTACGCACCTGATAAGGCTTCTTTATGTACTTCCTGGAGGCACTCAGCTGGTTGCCGCCCTAGATGAAAGGTATGTGGAATTAATAACAGTCCAAATATCTTTACCTGCTAACGAGTTGTTAATTTCGCAATTTCGCTTCAGATTTCGCCAGCTTCCAACCTTCGGGAATGGTGTGATTCGCAGGTTCGCAAATAATACCTCAGAGATGAAAAAATTGGCAGCTCGCAACTTCGAAGACATTTTACAGGTTTGTTTGCATTGTTTAGTTGCCGGAAAGCTCCCTCACATGCCCTCTAGTGCGCTATGCCTGTTTTTGAAGGGCTATTCCCTCCTGAACATGACGCGGCTGTGCAGTCACTGCTATATCACTTTGCAGAGTGGCATGCACGTGCAAAGCTCAGGATTCACTCCGATTCTACCTTAGCATTTCTAGAGGAAACCTTCAAAACACTCTCCCGGATGTTGCGGAAGTTTCGGACCCACACCTGTGCTGCTTTCAACGCCGTAGAATTGCCAAAAGAGAAGGCAGCGCGTCAACGAAGGTTCGCTCAGCGCTCCGAAGCTCATACTAACGTCGCTCCAGAATCAACTGGAGCAAGGGCGAAGATGTTTAACTTAAATACCTATAAGTTTCATGCTATGGGGGACTATGTGAAAACCATTCGATTCTTTGGGACCACGGATTCGTTTACAATGCAGATCATATGTATCATCTACATTCTACCAGTATGAACCTGATGACCATGTACAGGGCAAGCTTGCACACCGAGCTTTGAAAGCATTCTACCCACTAACCAGTAAGCTAGACACCCCGGCCCAATTAGCCAAACACGAGCGGAGGCGCCGCGCGCTACGGCGTATAGCAGAGGCAGGGGGTACAACCCCCTCCCTTAGTCAATCACTAGTCGATATTCCCTCTTCTGGAAAGCACTATCGCATCACCACCGGTCAGAATCATCCAATCAGTCTATTCGCATTCATTCGAGAACACAACAGCGATCCAGCTCTCAAGGTAGAAGTCTCATCGGTTTTGAAAGCACCTTAGTACTCACAGTAGCTATTAGAAATTTATACCAAAGCTAAAGGACCATGTGCTTTATCAGTTGCGCAAGCTAGATGTCAGCTACTGCGACCATACCTTCACAGACGAGGAGCGAAACCTGGTAATCATCCCTAACAACACGATCCACTTTGTCCAGACTATGCAAGTTCATTATACTACATATGACATGAGGCACGACTACGACACGATCAACCCTCGAACACATGCGGACATTATGGTGGTTTCGGGTGAGACAACGCCCAACCATCCATATTGGTATGCCCGCGTATTAGGAATATATCATATTGAGACGTGGCTCAACGACGGAGCTCAGCCGGTGAAGCAACACCTTGAAATTCTTTGGGTTAGATGGCTGGCCCCTTTGCAGAACCATAAATCTGGTACGAGATATGCTTGTCTTCCCAAAGTCGCCTTCGTGGAGGAATCCGACACAGACACATTCGGGTTTCTTGACCCAGGGCAAGTGATTCGGGGAGTGCACTTGATTCCAGCCTTTGCTTCAGGACGTGGTGTTAGCTCGCTTTGCCACGGAAAATCATTGGCACATCAGGAAGGGGAACTAGATGATTGGGAGGCCTATTACATTGGCATGTGAGCGTAAATATCTGTTCTTATGTATATTGATCCTTATCCTCTCATGCAGATTTGCTGACCGAGATATGTTCATGCGCTATGGTTATTTAGGTGTGGGGCATCCGGTAATGATGCAAAGAATGATCAGAGATTGTCTTAGCCCTGGATCAGCTGGTGACATGAATGTTGTGGACGACGCTGACGAGGTAGATGTGAGCCATGCAGAGAATAGTGACAGCGAGGGTTGTGACGGATGCGGCGAGGATGATGATGAAGATGATGGGATGAGCGATGAAGAATTTAGCGACGATGACCTAGAGCATGAAGATGAGGGAGTTGAGAAAGACCATGGCTGGGAAGGTGATGAGGACCAGGACGACTCAGAGGACGATGACCTATCTTTTTGAATTTCCTCCATTAACAGATTTTTTGGTACTCAAGTTTTATCGAACGGCAGGCGTCCGAGTCGTCTTTGAATTCTAGACGTTCATCATGCCTATCGCGGCGAGTGCCATGCCTACGTCACTGAGGAGAGTACAAAATATCAGAATTTTGACTTGGAAAGACTTCCTGATCAGAAGTTCATAAGTACTACTCCCTGGCACCTCCGTTTCAAAGCAGATCTTTTGTGCCTTGCAGGTGGACGGTATATTTGCATTACCACCTACACCAAACACTAGCTGACGATCCGAGCCATTCAGTCCTGAAGCTGTGAACGTCTCTAATGTTACTACTTTGACGGATACAGAAGGCAAACCCCACTTCAAGTACATCGTCGATGACATACACATATGGATCTTCCTCCGCTGACGTGGGAGTCGTGGAATGGAATGGCACGATATTCAAGTTGGAAGGTGAAAGTTTTATGGGCCATCGCCTTGCTCTTCACCGATATTCCTTAGCGCCTCTTCAACGATCACTTCCGGGACTTCGTAATGTATCCAGTGCGAGTCATTTGGAACAATCACTGACCTTCTTAAATTTTTGCGACAGCCTTCAGCTTCGAAGCACCATGAGATTGCGGATCTGCGATTAGAATCGAGGATTCGATGCCATATAATCTTCTAGGTTTGGCTCGGACACCGTTAGTACCTTGGCTCTCCGAACCATTGCCATCTGCTCTGCAGTTAACTCCACGGATGTATCGATGAGAACTACTGAGACAGGCCTGGTTCTCGGCAGGTACTTGAGAAGCGATAATACTACAAGTCTGCCTATTGAGTGGCTGATGACTATATCATAGTACTCAGCAGCCTGAAGATAAGGCAAGAGGTCGTCAGCATACCACGGATAAGAACACACTCTAGATTCTGCAACCGAGATCAGACGAATGGACCAGTGTCGCTCATTGCAAAGGAAGACTCAAACATTTGTTTTTGATCCGGTGTTCCGTGGCAGGCAACTTGCAAGGTGAAGCTACTGATTTCGACTAAACACATTGGATGCTCCTCGAGGGTGAAAATTTGTTCTATTCGGTAACAGCTCCGAGTATGGATTTTGTCTGAGTATCCGAGTCTATTTGTCATGGAATTGTCTGACACGCCATTCCAGTTTAGTTGGTCTACACAAGGTCCTTAATGACATCGATATCACACTCCAGAACATAAAGAAGGAAAACATTAATGCTGAACAGCGTGGATACGATTACCTTACCATCCCTTACTGGCCTTGGTCGCGCCATGTCACATTTTTTGGAGGTGATGGCAGGAGGTGGATGAGGTAGATGATCGGTGGAAGATACTATTGTTTTTCAACACGTCGAACAGAAGTTTGACCGTAAAACATTGTACATCATAGTATGCGCGGCCATCGATTTCTAAATACATTTTTCCAGTCAATCATTGCTAAAGGTATTTTCCATTCAAACGCCTTGTATAGTCATGGCACTGAAACCGTACATATGACCAAGTAAGAAGGAGCTCTCAATTCGAGGGTGTTACACTACTGGGCCTGGTATGCTCGGACGTCGCCGCGCCCCAACCTCGTTTTTATGTCACACGGCCCACCAGATTCGGTGGTCATTGTAAAACGAACTTTCCATTAGAATGCCTTATATATCTATGAAACCGAGACCATACATAAGACATAGGGAGAATGGGCTCTCAATTTGTGGCCGCCACGCTACTGTGACTTGTAGGATATGATGTTACTATACTTCAACTCCGTCATTGATGTGTCTTGCAAGTTTAGATCTGGAAAGTATGTATGACGAACTAAGATTTCTCATGGAATATATGGATATATTTAGGAAAAGCATAATTATATCTGTCTACAGGTCTCATGGCTACAATATCACGGACTCATCAATTCACTGATGTATGTGGTACATGATGAAAAGTGATCACGAACGCATGAAGATTCAGCAAAAACGCGAAAATCGACAGGACAAGAAGGAAGTGGCAAGTGTGAGAGCAGCACGAGTTGAAGCTAAGGTCAGGAATGCAAGGGAAGTGCTCGCAAATGAGATGATGCCAGATGATATGAAAGAGGTAGCTCGAAAGGTGCTAATGGACTACTTTACTAACGAGAATCAGTGACAGTTAATCTAGAGGAAATAGATCATTCATTATCAGTAAACGGCGGTGACGCCCAGCTTCCCGAAGCCACTCATCAGTCTCATACGCAGGCAGCTCTACCTGACCATCTGGAATCGCACCATCAAAGTCCAGATCATCTACATCATGAGGTGCACCCTCCTCTGAGTCGTCGTGGTCCGGGTCAGAAGGATCAAAGAGTGGGATCTGCTCTGGGTGGTCTCCCAAGTCAATACACAGGTTCTGGAGGGCAAAGAGTGCCTGCATCAGACGATAACTGTCCTGGATGTTCTGCTCGGGCGGTAGATCCTTCAGCGAGGGGAAGCGCCCCTTAAGGGCACCAAACGCATGCTCGACGGTGATTCGAATTGATGACAGATGCTGGTTGAACTTGCGGCGACAAGCCTTTTCCTGTAGCGGCTGGTCCCTGACCTCAGGCTCCATGAATGGCCATAGTACATACGGAGACGATGGATAGCCTATTTAACATGTCAGCATATAAAAAATGCAGGCTACGACAGCACAGACCTTTATCCGCCAGAACTTGGGCGTTGTTTGGAAAATAGTCTTGTCAGTGACACCATACATGTGACTTCTTCCACATCATAACATCCGATACAGAGCCAGACCAGCCAAGGTCCACAGAGATGAACCGCATCTTGTGGTCAACAATAGCTTGAACATTGATCTAAGAAAGTTAAGTCAATCTCGATGTATACAGATTTGAAAACTTACCGCAGGAAATTCGATGACGTCTTTCAGAGTTGGACGCCCTACCTTTGACCATCTCGTCCATCTGCTCAAACGGAACCCGATATTCCAATCAACCAGCAAGAGACCACAGCGCCAAGTTCGATATCAACTGGCATGCTTCCTCCTTCAGTATGGCTCACGAGGTGCAGATCCACTTCAAGCTGCACACAAACTCGCGATTGGATTTGGCACAGTATTCTTGTACTGCCGGCGAGTAGTGCGGGAGCTGGGTGTACAGGTTGTTTCGTGGGGAGATGATGAGCGCCGCCGAGAGACATCTGAGTATATCATGGATGTATATGGATTTCCGGATTGCATTGGGATGTTGGACAGGACACTTATTCGCCTAACACAGATGCCTGACAATAATGCCTTCAGTTTCATCTGTCGCATCACCCGCGGGTATACCCGTGCTATTACCCTTTAAATTACACCACGTACTTTGCGAGTGGTCATGGTCATATGAAGAGATACAAAAGGTAGACGACGAGTAACAAAAGAGTTTTAAACAGATTGGAGAATCTCAGGCTCCTTGAAGTCCTTCGCTACGCGGGTGCCTGTCTCCTGCAACGTGGGCGTCAGTTCCAGTCAGCTAATACAAGTATGGTAGTTACTTACGTCTATGTCTTGAGCGACGTCGGGTCGAGGCTCTCCTCGAGCTACCGAGCTAACCAGCTCCCTTCTCACTTCGAGGCCGATCTGTAAATGCGGATTAACGCGAATAACGTCGAGGAGAGCGTCTTTTTGGTCAGGGGTGAGATCCGGCGAGTATCTATAAAAAGCCAGATTTAGATTTGTACCGATATCAAATGCAACAACCTAACCTCTGGCAGAAAGCTAACAGGCTTTGATGCCAGAGCACTGGAAGCTTTTGGGCGTCACCACGCCCACCGGCCTTGTAAGTGTTGGAAAGACGAATAAAATGGAACACCAGGGCATCAACAACTTTGTATGGAAGTTGGTACTTTTTGTCAATCAGGACGCGAATAAATAAAGAGTTTGGTCCTGGGAATAATAAGTTACCCTGAAGATAGCGAACAATGATACTGTACCTGTATAGTCCATGTTTGCTATCCGAAGTAGAGCTGCTGCCGAATGCAAGACAGGCACTTTCTTCTTAGTAACGACAGAAGCGATGATAGCGGCCTCTTTAAGGGTACAGCCGTTCTAGTAGTGGTAGAAGTGATTAAGCATGATTAAAATTGTATGTGCGATGACCCACCTCCAACATCGGAAACACGATACCCTGGAAGAACGCTGCAGGTTTGAATAATGCACGCTTTAGGCATTCATAATATTGCACGTTGAGCTTTTGATTGCTCTGTATATCCTCCCGTATTGCGTCCAGGAGGACAACGGAAAGAAATAGTTGAACCTGAGCAGGCTTCATCGTGGACACGAAAATTCGTGTTGCTGCTCTGCATGCATGAGGGCTCCAATTTTCGGGACGAGTAAGCGCTAAGACTCTTGCCCATGCCGGGAGCGAGGGAATAACTTTGAAGAATTTTGGTAACGGCCCCGACTTATACCCGTGCAGGAAGATTGCGAGTCTGAAAAAAAGAAATTCAGTAAACGACATTGCGTGAGCGAGGATATACGTACTTTGAATAAGATTCTACGAGTCTAGGATCAAGACCGAGTGCTGGATCAGGATGTTCTTGATCTAGAAAAGATGAGAGGATAGCCTGAGCGACCAGAATTTGATCCGTACCTTGCTGTACCTTTTGCACGATATTGAGACCATTGGTCTCCCCACTCTCCAATTTAGCAAAGATGATGTCTGCCAATGTTCGGCGTTCACCAGAGTTAGATGGCAGGAGTGCATCCAATGCCTGGATATCTCCAGAATCTAATTGCTAAGGGGGGATGGTGAGTTGCAAACTAGCTACATCGGAATATACTGACAAACATATCCTCTGCGTCGCCGTTATCACTCGTGTCATCGTCGTTACTGTCCTCGTCATCCGCGAATTGTATTCTGGGCTTGCGTTCATCCTCATGTCGAGGCTCATTTTCGTCCTCGGGCATGTCGATCTCATCTTGTTGATCCCTCGCGAGCTCGAATATTCTTCTCGACATTTTTGGGTCAAGAACTCCCTGTGCATTGCGCGATCAACCAATTTAACGAACATATTGCAGTGTACACACCTCTTCATCGCTAGAAGATTTCTGCCGCTTCGTGCGCTTCCCCGGTTGAGACACGCGACCATATTTCGCTTGTTGCGCGTCGACGTCCAGTTGTGCATGGAGAGGGTCATGCCTTGGCTTCACTGATTTCTGTACCCGAGGCATGATGGAATGTAGGAGGTTTATCGGAAATATTATTTTCTGATAGAATATTGATTACCTAATAATTACAATGTAAATCAGACGGACTGGTCGACTCCTGACGCGAAGTCCCGCGTCCTGATACAAGTAGTTCAAGGTGTTCTGCCTGTAGCTCTCCAGCGCTCAAAAGTTGCACAAGTCGAATTTGGTCTGGTATAACTATTAGACTAATACAAGTTAGCAGGTACGTTCGGCAAGGGAGTTACTAAGGTTCAATTTGATTCTCGTTTCCGCAGTGACGGCACAGGCAAAAAATTGACCACTGATTTCAGGCACACCGTGCTCTCTATCTCCCCCAGGATGTCGTCGTCTTCAGTTAAAGATGTAAGTCATTGTGTCACGGATCAAGGACTTCTCTTTACTATTTCTACGTGCAATATGGCCAAAAAATCATCTGAACAACCTGTACTGACCCTCTTTTTCTCATCGATCAGTGCCACTAATGCATTTTTCTACTCATAGACCCAGACCCAGACCCTAGATAAGAACGGCCAAGAAATCAAAAGTGTTGGCTTCCAACGCTTTGGGTTCGACTGTGAGGTGTCCCTTGACGCCCTCCGATCACTGTATCTTCGATCGCACTATGTGGTCTCGGTTTCTGAGTCCCAGGTTCAGGAGCTAGACGCAAAGGAAGAGGAAGGACGCGGGTATCTGACGCAAGGCCCCAATGCCTACCAGTCCAAGTCAATCTTCCATCCAGACACACAGTCAATCTCGTACACGACCCTTTCTCGCTTCGCCCCAGTTAAGCTTTTACCTCCCTCATCAAGGAAGCGAGTTCTTGTCACTGGGGGTGCTGGTTTCGTCGGTTCTCATCTTGTCGATCGTCTCATGCTCTTGGGCCATGAGGTTACCGTCCTGGATAACTTCTTCACTGGTTCAAAGACCACCGTGAGTCACTGGGTTGGTCACCCAAACTTTGAATTAGTCCGTCATGATGTTGTGGAGCCCTTCATGATCGAGTGCGATCGTAAGCCCTTTGGCCTTTGTGTACTATTTGCTGCCTGGCTGACGATCATGGAACCTCAGAAATATACCATCTTGCTTGTCCCGCATCTCCTCCACACTATCAGTTCAATGCCGTGAAAACCATCAAAACTTCTTTCATAGGCACGTTGAACATGCTCGGCTTAGCCAAGCGCACGAAGGCTAGATTCCTTATTAGCAGTACATCCGGTATGGTTCTTTTCGATATTGTACCTCTTCTTTACTAATTCCGCTCCAGAAGTGTATGGTGACCCTGAAGTTCATCCTCAACCGGAAGATTAGTGAGCCATACTCAGTTCGCTTCTGATTGTGTTTTTTATTATCTTGTAGCTGGGGTCACGTCAACCCGATAGGCCCTCGCGCCTGCTATGATGAGGGTAAACGTGTTGCGGAAACTCTCACATATGGCTTCCATCATCAAGATGGCGTGGATGTTCGGGTTGCGCGTATCTTTAACACTTACGGTTAGTCTTACACTCGTTGCCGTTTTCTATTACTTAACTATCACCCCTTAGGTCCCCGAAGTACGTTTTCGTCACGTTTTAATCAAACTCGAGCGCTGATCTAAGGTTGATCCCACAGTGAACCCTCACGATGGCCGTGTGGTATCCAACTTCATCGTCCAAGCCCTGCGCGGCGAGGATATGACCGTTTACGGCGATGGCACGCAGACTCGTTCCTTCCAGTACATCCACGACCTCATCGATGGCCTGATTGCCCTCATGAACTCCGATGAGTCGCGCCCAGTCAACATCGGTAACGGTGACGAATTCACTATTGGTGAATTCGCAGAACTCGTTCGCGAGATCGTAGAGAAAGTGCAAGAGGAAGATGGCATCAAACCCGCGCGCCGCGTGCAGATTGTTTACAAGCCAATCCCAACTGATGATCCTCAGAAGAGGCGCCCTGACACGACCAGGGCAAAGAGTAGCCTGGGATGGCAACCCCGCTGGTCAGTGCGGATGGGCTTGGAAGAGATGGTCCGATACTATAAGGCTAAGATGTCAGAAGGGAGCATGTAAGCAGCTAATTAGCGGTATTTACAGGTGGACTCTCAGTATCCTTGGAATCTTGGAATGTTGTTGTTACACTTTTTGTAGTCGATTGTGAACTTCATACATATCGGCAATTACTTTTACATGAGTAGTATGATCGTACTCTGAACATTTAGATGTGGATACATATATATGTGCTAAAAACATTAAGGTAGTTGTGAAATTCCAGACGTCGTGATGTGATCTGTGGCGGCCATGGGAAGAGAAAATGAAAATGAGGGTTAATACTTTTGGTACAGATATCATGACCAGTCACGACGGTAACAAAGCCTTCGTTATAAGCCCTTTAGGCAGCTGACCACTTTGTGTTACTACCTTCTGCATCGTTCCTCTAATAACGTGCTTGTCGACTGAGCTGGCATTGTAGGTTGTTCGACGCATGCGACCATCCTGCGCGACCTCGTCTGTGACGAGGCTTTCTTTGTTCGCAGTTAAAGATCCCGCTACTGGACGTTCCGGAGAGTTGGCAGTCTTGGAATGTGACTGTGTGTACCCCTTGTAGGCGGCTTGGAGCTCAGAAGTGTCTGTAGTCTTATGAAGCACGATAGGATAAATACGGAGAGCATGCGAACGTACCAATGTAGCTATTGCCATGTTTGTCTCCTTGGAACCAATGAGCTTCCTTCTTCCGTTCAGAGTACCTTGGAGTACAAAAAGGTTAGCATAATGAAATTGGAGCGCGAACGCTGTGACTGACTTCCGCAACGGCCGACCATCTCTCCCAAGAGGACAGTATGCTTTATCCAAGTCCTTCGCGTAAAACATCAGGTTTTCCAACTGACTTTTCGCGACATCGGCTTTTACACATGAAAATGAAAGAGGAGAACAAGGATCCCTTTCGGCAATAGATGGAATGCCGACGAATTCCGCAAGCTTCGATAGAGCTACCTTCGAGCGTTCTCGTATGGTCATATTTGAAGGAAGGAGGTCGGACCGTGCACGAGGCTGTTGAGCAAGAAACTTTGAGAAGACCTGGTTCACTATCGAAGCGCTTCCAGGGATGATGTTCAGACAAGCTTTGGCGCCTGCAAAAGACGTGAGGCAGGCCGCTATGCGCAATTACAGGCGCACCTACCCTTGACAACATACAACCGAGGTCCATTTTGAGCGTTTGGTAAATGCTGTTCAAGTTTCTCCGCGTATTTTAGCGGAGCTATGGGACTTGCTTCTCCCTGTAGATATGCATCAACACTCTGCTCGTTCCTCCGATCACAATTGCGGGATCAATACCTGAATAATAAGAACAGGGCAAACGATACTGGCAAGTTCTTCGGGTCTCAAAAGCGTGCGCTTACGTGACACGTGAGCTGAAAACGCAAATGAACGCCATATAGAGCTCACATTCATCATAATGTTAACAAGTTCTACTATCCTCAGACGTTTTGTCGGAGGTGTGTATTTCTCCCAGTAGGCTATCAACTGTGATTGACTCAGCAATTGTGGTGCGATTGGTCGGAAATAACATACATCATCTTGAAGGTCTAGATTGTCGCTCTGCGGCGTGCACGTGGCATCGTAAATTTGCTAACGAGTTGCGTGCCATGATCGGCGACTTACCTCCCCAGTCATAAAAGTCACTACTTCGTTCCCTGCATGTTCGAATGAGTCGAGGTCGGGTGCATGACACCATAATTGAAGGAGTTCGTCGTAGGCGTGGAAGACCCATTGAAGTCTAGACAAAATGATCAGAAAACAACCGATCAATGTTACAAAAAAGGACATATATACTCTGTCGGTGGGGGGACGTCGCATAAAGTCAGACTTAGGACTTGCTCAGGCCACCTAGACTGACAGTCAGCTGGTATCTATCACGCATTCGAGGACATACAATGTAGTAAGTCTTAGAGCTGCATTGACAGAAATGCCCTCGAATGCCAATATGTGTGAGGGAGGTAAGAGTAAAGCCTTTGATTTAATTATCAGAAACCGGCTTATAAAAGTCTAATGAATGAATCGCACCTGGCAGGCCATAGCGAGATCTGCAGCATCAACGTAGCTGTCGTGCCATTGGCTGGGTCTACATCGTGATCGACCGCAAGTCCGCTGGTCAAAGGCTATTAAGTTGTATTCTTTGGAGAGTCTGGGGTCGTCGAAGTGTCTAATCAACCAGCTGGAGTCCAGAAATAAGGGATGAAGGAGGATACAAGTGGGCCGCTCTGGGTCAAAGCTGCCAACATTACCGTAGTCAGAGTTCGTGATGTACCATATCGACACATAGTCGTCCCTGGATGGGATATCGATGTAGGGCATACGGAAGCAGAGCAAGAAATCGACCAACGACAAAACACCCACAAGTTTACAAAATAGTGTTATATATATAAAAGGGTCCAAGTGACAACAACGACCGCCTCCCTAGAAGGCCCTGACGGCCTTGGGTCAAATGCGATCAAATTTCTCATAAATAGCCGAGTAGCCTTCAAGAGGACAAGCTAAAAATTATGAGCCAAACTTGTACATACATGGATATTTAATCCATGAATATGATCGACAAAACGAGTCGCTGCCTTCCAATTATTCTCAATTAAAAATGAGTACTTGCTCCCGTCTCAAATTGCCCTCCAAAGGTCTGCAGTACTTTCTGAATTATTGCCATTGCTCATCGATGCGTTTGGCGCCCCACTTTTAGTGTGTGGTTATTTGCTATAAATTCATTAATAATGACAACCAAGCTTTATACTCACGGTCCGGCTCTCCCCTCCCCAAGCCATTCTCAGCCATCCCCGTTGTCAAGAACCTAGTCTTCTTCCTAGAATTTTGATTGACGTTACGAACCACTAGCCCCCATTCACGTGATGGAATGTCGCGGTAACAATGAATCTGGGCAAATAAATACGGCCGAAATGACAACGTCGGAAACTTCCGCACCGCCTTGCCGCCGCAACTGTTTTGTACCTCAAGATACATAATGGCAACAGAGATCTACTTCTTTGAAGTTGGAGTCAGTCGGAGTCAGCTTTTTGATTAGTCCCAGATTTCCCGTTCAAATTGGTTGTGTCTCGAAATGAGAAGATCCGAGGACGTCCTACTGCTCGAGCTGCGCAAGTTCTACGATTGCGATAACTGAAATTTGTTATCGCGTACGACATGCCGCAATGCAGGCAAATGGAAGCGACTCAAGCTTCCTCCCAGCGTCTCAGTTCCTCTCACGTCTCCGTCTCCTCAAGTAAGTGACTCGAGTATGCCATCTTGCGCATGTGCTCGCCGCCGATAGCATAACGAATGCCATGTTCTTCATTACCGGGATGGCTAGGCCTAGAACATTGTTCGACGGGCAGGCAATCAGCTTCCGACATTCGCACGCAAGCTCCGTCACGGGGTAAAGTTACCTGCGGCTCTCATCCCTGCAGGGGTAGCTCTTGCCGCACACGGTAGTTTTATTGTGCTGGGTCCGAAGATACTTTGTATCTGCAAAGATGACGAGGCACGGAACAGAAACATTTACAGATCCTCATTACCCCACTATGCCTTCCAAGACTTGAATTACTCTCTGTTGTTTCTAATAACACGGCATTGAGATTGGTACATGTCTTCGTCGCTACTTGGATACTCACCTCTCTATCGACCCGCAAATCAGAAGGGAACATAGTTGGTACTCCGAGGCCTTCGAGCGTGGACTGCTGCTTCTGCAAGAGACCGTCCCATGCGAAAAGCACGCGTTCTGCATCAAATTTTTGCAGCTCTTTGCGAAATGCATCGTTTAGCATCTGCCATGTGTGTTAGAATGAAAACGTGGTGTTGATTGTACTCACATCTGCCTCATGTTGGGATATTCCTCCGCCAATCAAAGCGGCTCTGTGAGGGACATCGTTAATGACGAAAGGGGATCCATTGCTGGGAAATGTACGGACTTGGTCTGCGTAACCTTGACTTTATTCTCGTGTTTTCTATGTATAGTAAGTCGTTCTTCCCACAACTGTCTCTCCAGGTCATTCTGCTCTTTTCGTAACTAAAGTTCAGGAATCATATAATGTGAATGTGTAAAGACCGCCGGGCAGACATACATGGGATACAGCAGCAACGAAATCTGCACTTTCTGCTAGTTGTGTGAGACGGGGCAAGGCCTGCTGAAATGACATCATGCGAAGGTCTTGCCCATGCGTAAGAGCATTGGTGCTCTGATGAACCGACGCTGCTGGAGGCTGAGGGATAGGACGGTGACTAACCGCTTGTGAAATTTGTAGGGGAGTCTGTTGCGTAGTAAAACGTGATGTCGAAGGTTGTGAGGGCCTTGATAGAGTTTTAGGTTCGGATGAATTAAGTTGGGAAAGTAGGTCAGCCACCAGGGACGACGACTTGGACGCATCGTTTGTGGTGGCAGGTGGTTGCGTGAGGGGTGGTGTAGCCTGAGGTGTTGTTGAAGTCGGCGGTGTACCCTGGGGTGTGGTCGAGGTCGGTGGTGGATTCTTGGCTACGCCATTGAGGTCAGCGCCACCGCCAATGCTCTGCTGCCAGGCCTGTGACGACCTCAATTGGTCGAGCAGAGCTTTGATACCTGCAGGATCCTATTAGTGGTCGCGAATCACGATCGATGTCAGTATCCATAACGTTGATCGGCTTCTTCATCGCTCACATTGATGTTCGTGAAGTTCATGAAGTCAGTGGCCGCTGACTAAGACACTTTCTAGTATACAACTCAGTACTATTTTAGTTGCGCGGACGTTTCTTGTGATCTCGAGTCCGATAATGAATTGAAAAACTATACACATATGGTGAAGTGAAGCCAGAACAGCTCCGAGTCCTCGAGGCCGTCATGTGAGATCGCCGAATTAGTATTTTGACATTGTCTTTTGAGCTGGTGGGTATCGTTACTTGATCGATTGGATTGGTCGTGTAGGGAACTTGTCATGATACTTTCGAGTCTAGGATAATCATATACGCCAGTAAGAACTAAAATTTCACAAGTAAGAGTCATATATATTACATGTCATTTCGGACCGGGTCTCTGACCAAGATAGTTTTTCCCTAAATGCTAAGTCCTGAGCTTACTTCCGACTCGGAAGCCCCGAGACTATCAGATCCCCGGGACAGGAGAAACCTTGTTGAAAAGCACGTGCCTTGCAAGGTGCCGGCCATCTTCGGGGCATGCCCTGATTAGTAAAAGGCGGTAGCGCACTGCGTCCCGATCGAACGTCACAGCGTACTCGATCGTAGCCGTCCCGTGCGCCGCGGCCCGATCGGAGCACTGCATCGGCAACCGTAACCACCCAAGACTCGATCGTAAGTCCACTACGGAATGACTCGGATGATCTCACATGTAAATTTTAAAACTTTGACAGGGGCTCCGAACGGAGTTGTGACATTTTACCTACTATACCTCGAGGTTTAATTATTAAATGTGTCAACGGAGCTCAACGGTCGCGTAACTAGTACGTGTCTACGTGTGTACCCAAACGACCCGTCGCAACTTGACAACCCACTGAGCGGACAGTCAGACAGCTGAAAGACGAAACAAACGTACCGAAGCCTTGAACCTCTCCGCCGGTTTGGAATACCGCGGAGATGTCTGATAATCGCGCACTTTGCGCGACATGGTGACTAACATGCTGTGTATATCATACGTTTTATGTACGCAGACTCAAGTCAAGTGACTGACAGCTATTCCAGGAACGAAACCAGTGTTCTGCCAGCAAGTTAGTGTACGTTTGATTTCGTGCAAGTCAAAATATAAATGAATAAATTTGAATCACTGAATTCAGTCGACGTAAAATTTGGGTTTAATATTGAAGTTTGCTGATTGTAGCGAATCCATACAGACTTGGTGTTTGAGGGGTAGACAGGAAAACTACTCATCGAGGACCGATCATCGGCAGGATAAAAAATCGGATAATCCATGTGTACTATATATCCAATACAACTCAAGATCCGAGCTATCCATAGTCCAGTAAACCCCTAAGCTGATCGCGGTTCCGCGAGTGAACGGACCAAAGGCACTGCGGAAGGCCGATTGATGATTTGCATGATATGATTTCCGCGGTTGGCACATCCTCCTCGTCGGCAGCTTAATGAGATCCGGACCGTGGTCCACAGGAAGTGGACTCATCTTGGTCAGCATTCTCATCATCAGACTACAGGCGCTTGGCGGAACAACGTTGTTGCAATAGTGATCTTTCATGAATGTGCATAATTTTAATTCCGCGAGAACTGTAGTCGATTGGTAACCGTTTTCGCCATATGGTAAAGAGGCAAAGTCGGATGAGGTCGGCTGCACGATGAGACGAGGGGGTTCGAAAGGATAGTTGAAATTTGGGCCAGAGCTTCCGAATAGTCGCGCAGATAACACACGGTTTAGCCGTACGATTAACCGGAAGAATTGGGACTGATCATGCAATGGGTAGTAGCCTATAGGCTCGCAAATACTGTAGTACTTTAAATGAATGAAAGGATTTAAAAGATTCCACGCACAGCTCGCTTGGTTATTTGAGGTTATTGCTCGCTGTTCGTGATACAACCCACGTGAGTTGGTTTCCCCCGAACAGAGCAGAAAAAGGATGACAGCCGCAGTACGATTCACATAAGTATCACTTTGACAAGTTCTAGACACGCACTGGTTTCCTTCACCAAAAGCTCTGCGAGTGATCCCACCACCGAGTTCCGTTCGAGGGCTTCTTGAGGGCCTTTGCCATTAGACCAGTCGGAAGGCCCCAGAGGAGGAGGGTCCAAGTGTTTCAAACGCTAGTGGTCGATACACGTGGAAACTGCATGGATCATATGTACGCATCATATCACGCGATCATCTTAGACTCCCTCAACGGAACCTGTCAAAGTTACGTTCAGGTTCCTAGCAGGTGTTCCCTGTCATTCAATGTCAGTAAAGTCCACCGGTTTCTCACGGAAATTGCAGCCTAAGCCAGTGTAACCGAGGAAAAAAGGCGTGTAGAGTCGTAGGACTGGAGCAATGACTCGAACTGTTTAGCCTTTGGAAGCGAAGTGCGACTCAAGTAGAAGATTCGAAAATTGCAAATATATGATCAGGCCCCATAGTGATGACTTGAGATAATTGTACGGTTGACAGGGGATCGAGGAATATCGACTCAGTCACCATGTTACGGAAAGAGGGGAGTCTAGTGCCTCAGTATGCCATCAGTATGATGGAAGGCGATGTGCTAATAAAGTAAGTTTTGGGACTCCTGCCTCGTGTTTAAGTGACGACGACATCCCGTAAACATGACCAATATAAGTTGTTCTATAGTAGCAGTATCAATAGCGGGGCAAATGACAACAAAAAGGATTGATAGAAAACACAAAAGTTTTGAAAGAGAACACGTACTGAACGACATCGACAAAATGGAACCACTACTCGCAGTGGTTACCCGTGTACTAATAGCCAAAAAAACTGTGCGAGAGTCTCGGAGGATGGAGCGACGGATCAGGCAGCCGTTCTCGGGGCAGTGTGCCGACGACGATTGTTGAGATCAAAGTGACCCGCCACAGCCGCGGCGCCACTTGCTAAAAAGAGTCACACGCAAATGCGGAAATGGTCAGCAAGCGATATAAGCGCTGCAGCTTTCGGCACATGAGAAGACTCAACCGATGAGGACTGTTGAGAATTTTAATCTCGACTCCCGGGTGCCTTCGTTGCACAGTCTATCAGTCATGTTAAGGGACAAGTAGTACAATGATAAAACTGATGACGGCGTCGTCACTAGAGTAAATCTGCTGTGGGAAGGAAAGTTACAAAATAGGCGGCCGAGGGCCGAGGTGTTTATTACGGTTCAAATTATTATTAATGTGACAAATGTGACAATAAATATTAAATAATGTTGCCACCTAACTTACCCACGACTACCGAGCCTCCTTCCCTTCTTTACGCCCTGCCTCGCTGCCGCATCAACATCTTTCTTATTCTTCCTTTTCTTGCAACCGCGTCCGTCGTTTAATTCTGTACTTTCTTCCTCATCACTCTATCTTCCCTTGATTTCAGCCTCCTTTTGCCCTATCAATGACATCCGTAGATCAGGCAGAGCAGTCTGCTCAGGCGAGTTCATCTCATATGATGAAGACCACAAAACGGGGGAGGCCTTTTCTCAAGGTGAGCTTGTATAGTCTTCTCAATGACATTAGCTAATTGCTTCGGCGCAGGATACCCTTGACCTATTTGCAACGCTCATCGTATCTCTTCATTTGACCACCCACAAGCAGTATTTTCGCACTTTCCCGAACTCATTCACCACGTCCGTACTTGATCGCCCATTTACACAACTTACATCTCATACTCTTTCTCAGGGATGAAGCTGCTGCGAACTTGGCATCTCTCAAGTTCTCTCAGTCAAATCGCGGGCCGGATCCCAGAGATAAATCACGAATAGTGACGACCACAACCACCACGACATTCTCGATGACTCGTGACATGGCAAAGGCTATGTGTCAACACTTCATGGACGCTCGCTTGATCGAAAACGCCGCCGATCTTGGTAGCAATCTTTTCAAAGATCGCGGTACTTATGTCCTCACGCCCAAGGGTCTCCATGTCCTGGAACGATTCATATCCAAGAACGGCATGACTTCCGACCATCTGCAACCCGTATTTGCCTCCCAACCAATATGCATCAAGCTATTACATTTAGAGCGTCGGTCGGCTGATGACGAGATTATCGTTACACAATCCGTCATAACTGCGCTCTTCCGTCGATTTGTTGGTCGTCAGCCCAACTACCCCACCCAACTGTCGACCAATCCGCAAGACGCCTTTCAAGAATACCACGAGCGATCCAAGGGTGTACCTTTAATGGATGTGCAAGAGCGCGCGCTGAGCAAACCCACGGTCATGCACAAGCACTGTTTCGCTGCCGTGAGTGCTCTTGAATGGCTCTGCGACTTCACCTCTGTTGTTGGAAGAGAAGAAGCGGCAGAGATGGCTGCTCAGTTTGTTCGCTTCGGCCTCATCACATTGGTTAGCGACAAACGGAAAAACAACGACTCTGCCATCATTTTCACCGTTCGTGGCTCTACCCCAGGCGGGAATTCTCCAGTCAGCGTAAGTTCCAGTTCAACGAGTCATTCGCAGGTGTTCTTATCGAATCGTTTGTTCCAGCAACACGGAGAGTTCCGATGTACAGCTAAAGCTATCTATAGAATCACAGACGAAGGCAAACGACTCGCTCAGTGGGACGAAGTCAGCACGTCTCCTCTCAGCTCGACGGTGAACCTGCATCATGTCGAGCGCTCGTCGCTAGAAAGTGAATCCATCAATGGTACTCCGAAGACGGGAATTGAAGCAGCTGATGCTAAAATCCATCGTCGCATATCCATGGCGGAGAAGCTAAATTCCAGTCACGAGGCTGCAGAGAAGAAAGGCAACGTCAAGAGCAATACCGACCGCCTCAAATATATCCTGGAAGAACCATCATATCGCGCCCTCTTCCGTGATTTCCTGAAGGCGAACTTCTGTGAAGAGAATTTGGCGTTTTGGATGGATGTCGAGGATTTTAAGCGCAAGTTCAATACGACTTCCAGTGCACAAGCTGCAGCTCCTACTCGCTCAAGCAGCAAAGCAACTCCAGGTCAAGCCGCCATGGAGAGACATCACGAGGCTTTGATCCAGACTGCTTTCCAAATATACAACAAATACCTCGCGCCATCAAGTCAGAACGAGCTCAACATTGATCATGGTCTTCGGCTCGATCTCGCCAATTATCTTGGTGAAGTGATGGTTGGCCTGCACGGCAAATCGTTCGACGGACAAGTAGATGCTAGTCAAGCTGGCTCTTTCAACGCAACGCAACTGCAAGTTTTGATCAAACTTTACACGCGCATCCAAACGCATGTTCTTCGATTGATGGCTATGGACTCGCTGCCCAAGGTAGGCTTCTTTTTTGCTTCCAAGATTTTCTCCCTCTTACGTTATTAATATGTCTGCAGTTCATTAAAACGCAGCGGTTTCTGGACGCACGGCAGTGGCTTGGAGAGGGAGATGCGCCAGGTGATGACGTCCAATTCCTCACCAGTCCCCCTGCTCCTCCTGGCCTCGGTTCTGAGGAGACCGGTGGGGCTTACATCACGGTGTCTTTGAAAGGCAGTGAGCGAGAACACCGGCATCACCACAGAGACATACCAGGGTCGCCACATGTCTCATGAGCGAATGTTCTCTCCATCTCGCTTTTCATGGACTTATTCATTGCTACTCTAATTGTGGCGTGCTTGCGGATGCCTCCTGCACGACATCGTACAATCATCAACCCGGCTGACCACCGTATGCTCACCATCCATGTTGTTTTCTCCTTTTATCGCATTTGATTCCAAACCCGGGGGGTTATCGTTCATAATTTCTTCATCGCCGTAATTGTTTTCATCTCTTTGGCATCATCCAGTATAGTATCCTGGGCCGGCTTGTCATGCTTTAACAATATTCCCCAACCCTGTCGAGCCTTCCCATCTCATCGCATTACGACGGTATCTTCTCTACATCCAGTCCCTTCGCGGTGTACAGTCTACTTAATACCCTACACTTACCTACTGCCTTGTTATGTAGGTAGCACTTAATTTCATGACTTCCTGTCGTATATCAAGGAGTCATATGCTACTTGTTGCATGTATGTACTTGAGGTGGATTGATTGGATCATCTCGCATGTCGTGATCTCTAGTGACAGTGTGATCGGCAAGATCTCAGCACCATGGCTTGCAATGCATAGCAAGCACTATTTGCATTATTAAACAGACACGGTTGTGTTTAGAATTAATGCAAGTAGTGCAACGACGCATCCGAGGGCCAGGGCTCGGTGTGTCCCTACGTTCCTATTAGGCAGCTGCAAAGACCTTTGTGCGAACATCGACAACAGTTTGCCCACACAAGTGCAAACAGCTTTAACTTGCATTGCTTCCGAGTTAATACCGCGACGTTTCAGAAGTGTTCAGTTTGTGTTCAGTGGCAGAATCGTTTCTGCATCCGCGAGGTCGCACACGAATCATGTCTTGGATATGGAACCCAGATGGTGATGCTCCAAAGCCACCAACAGAGGACAATATGACACAGGACCCATCCGACCCTACCAGGAAGGTGTCCAAGAAAGCTGCGAACCAACCCTTCTTAGCGTACGTGGCCGTTACCTGCTTGCAGACATCAACTAACGATTTATAGGCATAAGCAATATAAAGAGAAGCAAGAACAGGAGCACCTAGCATGGCTTGAAAGAAATCGCGAGCGTGAGGAGAAACTCGCCAGAGGAGAAGAAGTTGGTCCTGCGGAGGAGGATCCTACTGCCGAGCAGGAAGTAGGGTTCCTCGGGCTGCTGAAGTTCATTGTGTATTTAATTCTCATTATTGTCATCGCGGGCAAGTTCTTCACTGGCAGCTTCCTGTGGGAATACGATGGAAAGTGGGCGCGGCTGAAGACATATTGGCCAGTTCGTTTGGTTCCATTAAGTTCTTCATCGATATCCCTGACTTTTTCCACACACATTGTAGGAGCAAAATGGACGCCTGTTCTCAGAAACATATTTGGCCACATTTGATGGGCGTGACCCCGCAAAACCCCTGTACCTCGCGGTATGGTCAACAGTTTCAAGTGATCGTCCATACACCTAATCATTCTCGTGTAGATCGATGGTGACGTATTTGACGTCTCGAGTGGTAGCAGGACGTACGGTCCTGGAGGTCCTTATCACCATATGTGGGTATATGCCATGCTTCCTCGACTTCCTTATCGATTATTTGCAGGGTCGGAGTGGACGCAGCTAGGTCATTTGGTACAGGATGTTTTGCCACTCACCGCACACATGACCTACGAGGTCTGACCGATGACGAGCTCAGGGTCAGTGCTGATGACGTCTTCAGTGTTCACACAGGACTAATCTGTCAATACACATGTAGGGCGTCCAACATTGGAAGAAGTTCTTTACCGAACACAAAACATACTACAAAGTTGGCAGAGTCTTGCACCACCCGATTGATCCCACGAGTCCGATACCTAAACATTGCGATGCAAAGAAAGAACAGAAAGGTCATCCAACAACTGGGAATTCTAACCCCATATCCCATTCTAAGGGTAATTCGGAGGTGCCAATCCGTGAGGAGTTATAATCTACAAGTAGAGCTATTGATGTCCATTATTATAAAGATAATAGGCACGTATGGCATGTATATAGGATAGTGTTGCATCTAGCATGTTTTTTTCATCATGAAGTAGATTGTCCGTGTCACAGAAGCATCTTCCGGTCGGCATCCGCATACAGCTAAGTGCCGGTTTTTTTAGGACTGACGGTAATGATCAGTATGATGTCTTCGACAAGGGACCACTCGCTTGCTTACCTGAGGCGCACCGTGCGTCATAAAGTAGTTCCTCAATATTGGAAAGTCAGCAATTGATCCATTGATCATTGATGAGAAGGGGCTCTCCCGATACTTGGCGACGATGATATTTCCGCGCCACGCAGTTGCCTCTCTGAATGATCGCCCCTGGATCTCCCTGATACACTTATTGATAGGGAAGGGCATCCCGTCACGAGAGACGGTCGGATAGTAGATAACGTAAGGATGAACGAATTTTTTGTTCATACCGTCGAGAGCCTCGACGAGCTATGAGTCCAACGTCAGATTTCGGCAGAGATGATATGTGACTTTGTGCTCACATGATAATGCCAGGCTCGGGGACCGAGGCCTTCGGCGATGTAGTCCATATAGACTTCGGGATGTGGCATCCGAGAAGGCAGGGTGCTATATGGAGCATGTGGGTCGGGTACCGACATGGGGCTTGTCATCAAAGCCACCATATGTGGATTGCGGCCGTCAGAAGGAAATAGGAGAGCCTCGAATGACACTAATTGATCCATGAATGTGTTGCCAGAAGGAGATGGATTCGAGAAGATGAGCGAGATTTAAGCAGCAAAGTAGTAATAGTTGTGAACCTCGAGTGGACTTCAAGTCTTAGCGGTGTAGTCGAGCACTTTGAGGAAAGAGGAGTGAGTGGCTCATCTTTATAGAGGTCTTACCTGGAGACATGAGGATGGGCCGCCGAGATCTGTGAAGTATCACAAATAATACAACGGTTTTAGTGTAGGCACGAGGACGGTCAATAAGAACAAGTTAACGGTTTAAATTGGATGTGCCGCGAAGTAGATGAGTCGCGTTGAAGTGGATTTGCAATTTGATGATGGGGAGTCATAATAGTCTTCCCGATCTACCCTTGGTTGTTCTCAGCCTGGATGATGCATTGATGGATCATGATCGCAGTGCTTGTAGTGACTGTGAGTGCGGGAAGCAACGTAGCATAATAAAGCCCTACAAGTGTGGACGGTACCGACAAATCGGGAAGTTTTAATGCTTATTAGCTTATTCTCTACCGCGCCGTCTTCTTGAGGTCGTAGACGACATAAAAATTGCAAAAGTTGACATAAAAAAATCAGGGTATGTGTTTTCTGTACATGCCTTGAGGTCGTTGCTGACAGTTTTGGGGTCGATCATTAGCAACGCGTGTTTGTCTGCGTGCGCTTTTTAGTCCTTCGGCTCGGCCGCACTCTCACAGTTGGCCGGTTGAACTACTAGTAAAGGTCAATCTTATCTGTTACAACTCGCTTGCGGGAGTCACGAATAAAACCGACAGATTGATATAGCATCGGATCTGGCAGAGCCTCTTTTCAATTCTACGCAGGCCCGTCTTACAATGTATCGCTACGTGCGTTCAACCTGGCGGTTTCTCAAATTGGCCGTCGAGCAATACGGCGTGTAAACAAGGGGTATATGAACGTGGATGGAAGTCTTTCGCGGTCGACTCATGCAGCCGGTCCAGACCTTCTCTAAACAGATTGGTCTCAGCGGTACCTGTGCACTACTATTCAATGGTGTAAGATCCCGTGCACCAAATCTCTAAAAACCTCCGTTTTCAAGCTGACCGTGAAGTAGGTGTGACTCGTACGACACCTTGAACTTCTTAATGGCTGTCCGACCGTCTCCTTAAGGGTGTCATGGGATCATTTCGTGACAAGGAGACTCATCTAGGCTCAACCTACTACCAACTACAGGAATGTTCTTTTTTCATTCATTTACTAAATCTTCTGATCCGTTCCCTGGGGGCACTCTCAAGGCACGTTGTAGTGGCCGCAACCGCTGGGCCCAGAGCATGTATATTGTTCCTAGTATGTGGCGCAACATTTTTTTGGCGCCGAGTACCACTTACGAGCAACAGATTTTTGGGGTTCGTTCGCCAGTGAGACCATCAATATATGATATACCTGATTGAGACTTGAATCGTTAATGCCCGGCATACACACCAATGCGTGTTCGTGATGGGATCCGCCGTGGATTCAGCGCCACCTGTGATGTTTTAGCACGGCGCGGTTATGTTGAAGCCCTAGATAAGGCGAGATATTGGAAGAATGTATGAATCATAGCCGGAGAGTAGCTTTACGCCAGCACCGTGATTTCATGTGCTGTAGGTAATGCGCATCCGATGGATCAGTACTCAGTCCATAAATGCATAAAGTTCTTTTACTTATCGTCCTGGCCCAACCAGACCACCCAATCGAACAAGAGATCAGTATAATTGACTCCGTTGAGCATCATGACCCATCAATTATTCATGTCCGCATGGTAGTAATATATCAGGCTGGTGGTTGCACGCAGCTGCACAGCACACGGACTCGAAATGTATAAAATCTCGAGTGCTATATGTACTCCTCTCGAAGTCCTTTCGATATGATTAATACCGAAGTAGTATAATAGCTGGTATGTACTAGGTCTGTTTGAAGTTGATACAGGAGTCCATGATTAGTTATGAGTTAGTGTGGACGGTCTCGATCAGACATACCCTTCATGCTGTCCCATGACGAAAAGCACCAGCTACTAGGCGCGCCGGTATCACACGAAGCTTATTTTGCCGGGCTGGGTTAGGTGCCTATCGGGGCGAGATGATCAACGTTGCAAGCTAAAGTTCATTTGGCGCTTGTCAGCCGAAAAAGGTAACTAAGTTAAGCCGCCAGGCGTCTATTGTTTTCTAGGTAGCACAGACCTTGACCTTTCTTTGCAGGGACAAGCCATTTGTTGCTTTATCGTCATCTGGCTACTATAGCATCAGAATGAACAGTGGTAACATTCTCGTTGCCGCTCAGCTCTCGTCGCTCTATCCTTCCTCTAATGCCATATCCCAAGTTCTTCAGACTGAACGTCGAAATCTGCCACTCCCCCCACCACACACTGACACGGATTCGTCCTCAGAACACGCTTCATATTCATCAACATTTTATGCTCCTCACACAGGAACAATCCTTCTACGCGTTATTCATGGTGGTCTGATATTGGAACTTATCTCTCTTTCCACTGATGTTCCCCCGATTCGATTCGTCTTCCCCTCTGCAGTCTTGCCCGCTCCAGCTATCTTCGCATGGGGCGAGAAGGAGTTACACGTATTAGCAGTAATCTCTAGCGGCTCATTATTCCGTTTGGTTCTACCCACCGTCAACCCGACGCGATTATGGCATGATCCATTGCCCAAACAGTGGAGTCGAGAATATATAATCAAAAACGTGCCAGAACAATTCTATGGCGTGGTGCAAGCACAAGGTTTACTATGCGTGGCGATTGGGTTGACAAATGGCTCCCTTATCCGCATAGAAGCTGAGAATATCGGAGATGACAACTTCCATGGTATGTACCTTTAACGTCCGTTGGGTAGTCTTTGACATTCCCCTGCTGTGCAGACCTTTGGGCGGAACATGTTTACTCCCCAAGTTCATTTCTGGGAACACTCACTTCATATTTGCCTAGTTTACAATCCTCGAGTTCTGCAGGGTCAGAGATTCTCTCTGTTGCTAGCAGGCCGCAGCCCACTGAGCTGGGCTATATGTGGACGCTCTCACGGGATCGTACTTTACGACTTTGGACAGCAAAAGGTGGCTGTGTTGCCTCCAAAACTTTGTCTTTGTCAGGCAAGGTGTCAGGAGAGTCATATGTGACTTCCAACGGCATCAAATCTGAGCTTCTTGGAGCTGAGCCACGTAATCTCCTCCGGATATTTGGAAATGGGGGCGACGATGAAACCACGTACGCCGTTGCGTTTACGCCAACTCCTTCATATTCACAGTCTGGTGGTTACTTCCAACTCATTGCTATTAACTCCGATCAAATGCGCGAGGTTCAAACCGTCGAATGTTCTGCTTCCAGCGCTCATTGTCACCTTCAAGATTTCATAATTAACGATGACTTCCTATACACATTATGGGAACGTCAAGGGTCCTCCATGATGGAGAGAACTAGGTTAAATATAGCAGTGACTGATGGTTCTGATGCAATTTGGGAGACTGCTACCTATGGGGAAGAGACGGACTTGACTCCTACGAATCTCGACGAGCTCCTTCGCTCCCCCGGTTCGTTGACCGATAAATTCATGACGGCAATTTTGAGACCAGGCGTGTTCTCTCCACTTACTCTGCGGACTGCTGTGGAGCAGTACACAGATGCGTGCCTCTCAGTCTCCGGACCGCATCCACCCCCTCAACTCACATCATCTTACCCTACTACGGCAGAGAACATCGCCGCGGTTGTCGGCTGTACTGTGAATTTAATGCAGGACCCACAGACAGGGGCGCTGCAGCATGATCGGTATTGGAATGCGCTCAAAAGAGACTGGGAGGGATTTGTTGCACGTTGCCGTGAAGTTGAGCGGAGCGCCCGCTGGCCTCTGGGATTAGGTAAAGGGAAAAGCAGAGATGAAGTGATCGTGATCGAACGAGAACGTGTGGGTGTCTATGTGAAGGAAGACCTGCCACTCAACGTTCACCGGTACCTTTCGGACTCCCTCCCAGTGGAACCTCATTTTGCCGTCTTGGATATACTCTGGACGCTTTGCGACAAGATAGGGCACGAGGCGCTTCAAAATCTGGAGACCAGGATTGTTGATATTCTCCATCAAGAGATCGCATTTTCCATCGTGGATATTATTGAAGACCAAGCGCAGCGCTTCAACTTCAAGGCTTCCCTTGATGAGCCATCAGAAGCCAGCATTATTGCAAGGTTGCAAGGCATAGAAGACCTCGACAGTGCTGTCCGAATAATCCTTGATCTCGTTGCAGGCTTTGAACAAGAAGTAAAGCGAGAAGAGGATGAAGTCGAGCTATTGCTTCCAAGCAGTCGATCTGATTGGACGACCGCTTTATCCGCATCATACATCACGACGACGGTGCATGCCCGCTATGATATATGCATCGCACTGGTCACCTTACTGTTCTTCCTAGCTGATGATCTGAAGGAATGGGATCCTTCGCTAGTAGAAGAAGTCTTCGCAGTGTTCCGAGGGTTGGCGATGTTACGATCTGTAGCACGCCAACCTGCAGCAGATACAGGCGGTGAACAAGAGGCATCGGACGAATTATTGACCACTGACGATGTAATTGCTCGAATGAGCAATATGCATGTGTCTAGGAACCAGCCTCGTTTTGTCCCGACTTTTTCGCTACTTCACCGCCTCGCAGGTCAGTCCGGTGAGACGATGGAACTACCGGGGGCAGCTCATCGTTTTTTGGACGCGAGCGGCGTACTTCAGTCTACTTCCCCTGCTCGGGTGACGCAGTTCGAAGCGCTCTTTTGTGAACGTCTCCGCCTTTTGGGATACTACGAAGTTGCCCGAGAAATGTTGGCATGGCTACCGCGCACACCGGGCGTAGTATTCATTGCTGCATGCCTATACATCAATATTGGTCGTGCTGAAGATGCTGCCCAGCTGATGGAAAAAGTTGCTGGAAGCTTTGGTGAGAACGTCGTCTGATATTGACAGTTTCGTGCTCACGGTTCTCTTATAGGTCATGATAGTGGGCTCTCATTGGAGGATGCGGAAACGCTAGCCTCCGTTTTGCCTGGAGCTGTGCTCTTCGATTCTGAATTCACATTTTACATCCATGCATCTGCCATTTTCAGGTCAAATGGCTTGGTTCAGCAAGAAGTGTCCTTCATTCGGCTTGCGCTGTCTGTTGCACCCCAGGACATTGACACAACCGAGCTGTGGTTTGGCCTCATTCGAGGATATATAGATCTCGGCTTCTACGAGGATGCATACTCGGCAATCATCGCGACCCCATATGATAGCGTGTATGTCTTAAGTTCAAACCCCACATATTCGCTCACAATGGCTACAGGAAAAGGGAATGCATTTCCCAGCTGGTTTATCGAATGTGTGAGGAAAGCACAATCGAGCAATTGATGTCGTTCAATTTTGCTACCTTTTCGGCCGAGATTGAAGATGCATTAGCGTTCAAAGCACGCAACACAGACCCTCGAGCACGTCCCTTCTACTCAAGGATACTCTACACGTGGTATACGCGCAGAGGGGACCATCGCAACGGTAAGTTTTCGACCGTCTAAATTCGCATCACTTCTTAAACCCTTGATCCAGCCGCGCGGACCATGTATCAACGCGCACGTAAATTCAAGGAAAACACCGCTCAGTCAATTGACGTTATCACCCTGATGGAAGAGCAGCTTGAGGCTTACCTGCTCGCTATCAATTCTCTTTCTCTCTTGGCCACCAAATGCGCTTGGATTGTGATACAAACTCCACCAAGTGCCATGATTGATGCTGAGGTAAGTGGCCAGAATCGTTTTTCGTTATCTGTTGTTGACGTTTGCCACCAGCCTCATAAGCGACGGAAGCTTTCAAAAAATATTCCCGATTCAACGTTTACTGGGGACAAACAAGATTCAGAAATCGTTAATCTCAGTAACATTAAGTACGACTACACGTTACTTTCTGCTCGACTGTGGTTGATCCGAAGAGATCCCGCACTTCTGTCCGCTGCAGGCTAGTTCATAATTTAGACCTCCGTCTGACTCACGTACTAACGTAAATATTTACCCCATCAGATGTTCTGCTTTCACCGGCATCGATCGTACTCCGATTGGGCCAAGCAAACCAGTTCGACATGGCGATGGCTACTGCTCGAAGCCTCGATGTTGATATGAGCGAATTATTTACGACATTAACAAGCCAGTGTTTACGGCTATCTCGCAACCCAGAAACCGTACTGTGAGTTGACCTCATTCCTGTAAACTGTGCACTCACTTAAAAAAACACAGCCAAGAGGACACATCAGATTGGCTACTCACTGACAACGTCTCTTCGTGGCCTGGCAGCCCCGCCGACCGTGGGTGGCGGTACCTCCGTGTCGCGCTCGAGCGGCACGACAGCGTAGAGACGGACTACAAGTACAGTAAGACTGCTTTCGAGACAATTCTGTCGTCCGATAGGTCTTCGCCTCCGCCTCCCTGGTTGGTCCACTCACTGGAAGTATGTGCTGCCTTTCATCAGCTTATGAATCACGGATGGCTGTGCTAACTGATGTGCAGGAAAACCATCATGAATATCTTATGAGAACGAGTCTCCGCTACGACATCATCGAGAGCGCACTAGAGCACTCGCTCTCACTCTTGCGCAAGGTTCGTCTTTCCTCTTCTCTCACCCCGATTTCCTCAAGCCGTCCTTCAGGCCAACATTGCGTTCTCGCATGCATCCCAAAAAACCGCTAGTGTCACCTGGCTCCCATATACCCTGATCGACCAGGTGCTGGCCGCTTCAGCCCAAAACGAATTGACCACGCACGGACAAAAACTGCGCACCGAGCTGCAGACGGAGGTGAACAACCGTGTCAAACGAATGCAGAAGATGAGTCGCTTTGCGGTTTGATCATAGTGCGCACTGTCTTGTATATCTGACTGCCACCACGTGTACATACAATACGATGTGTTCGACAACGATTGACTGCCGCTGGCCTACGGGCTAGAGTCGACGTTTAAAACTAAAAAAGAAGAATCAAAGTATCACTGGGCTTCGTTGTGATGCTGCTGGGACAATACATTAATAATCATGGCAAAGCCGTACGATCCCACCTTGCGAGCCCCGTTGCAGTGCGCAGACGAGCAACCTGGTTTCAAAGACAAGTATGCAAAACGCCGTCGATTTATTTTTCTTTCGATAATCAATTACGGAGGCCTGAGCCTGAGTGGTAAACGAGAAGAAGAACAATTGGTTCGATGGAGATACATTTAAGACTTCCTCTGCCTCTTCCCACGGCCACCATCGTCACTCGGAGCTGCTCGTATCGCTCCTAGTACATCCTGTAGACCCTGATCCGGTTTTTGTACAACTAATTTGTCAGAGCTACCGGTTGCACCGACGGCAGTTCTTTTTGTCATCGCCCCCAAATTCGCGTTGAAAACAGCGTCGATCTCGTCTTCAGGCCGGCCTCGTCGTTTCTTGGATATCTTAGATGGACGAGATACCTCAGCATCGTCAGGGTTTGACATCGGCGCTGTCGCAGAGGGCGCTGGAGGAGATATGGTTGATCCAGAACTTGATTTACTCTGTGATTGCAATTCTTTCCACTCGTCTGGTCGTCGTTGTAGAAGATATAAATTGATGTTCCGAGCGAAAAATTTTCCGAAATAGGATGCTGCAAGAAATTGCTCGTGTACTATGAGAGAGCGTGCAATTTTTTCCTGCACAAATATTTGTATTTGTAAGATCGAGTGCGGCAATTATGTGAATGACCTACTCTTAAATATGGATCGGCGAACGCCCAACACCTATCTCCCACTCTGCTTCCAATTCGGTCATCAACCAGCGTGTGGTAATGACCAATGAGGGACATGACAAGAGCACGCTTCACTTTAAAAGGCACAGTTTCCGAGTCAAAGAGTACGTCTATAACCCTAGAGCTTATCGGATTTTGAGATAAGGAGATCAGATCTTCTGTGGAGAGGGACTTGATGCTGTAATCGCTTACGTCAATCTTATCACTCGACTTAACGCCTAACCCACCTCTCGGTAACCATCGTACAATGCGGTTCATTGAGCCGAAGTAAACTTTGCAGAATTAAGGCACCCTGAATTTTTGGTTCCTTTGAATCATCCACGTTTCCTTTTTTCGAGCTTTGCTGCGTATCCTCAGAGCTGTGTTTTGTAAGCCCTGTTGCCAAGTATTCCTTTGAAATGTTTATGAGTTTGATGTCATTATGGAGTAAAAAAGAATGGACACCTGAAAAGGCTTTAGAACCAGTACACATGACACAAGGTGACTACGATCTTTCGGTTGAAATAACTGAAACGCGTTGCACACAGCCTATCAAGATTGCCTTAATTCAGTAAACTTTATGAATTGCTAAACCATACTTGGCAGATATCCTTTTCGTGAGCACGAAGCGTGCATGCTCTATCAATCATGGCGCGTAACACCCCAGTTCTTGCTGATCCTACATTCATGCGAAACGATAAGAACGAGTAAGCCAGGTGGGTGATCATTACATACCAATGATCTTATTCCACGAGCTCTCCAGCTCCTCAAGAGCACCTTTCAACTGCGTGGGATTTAACCTTTCTGCAGCTTTAGCTACCACGAAGTTAGCTACAGGATGTGTAGCCAGCCTCGCAAGCTTGCCCTGAAAGTAAGTCGCCCAAAGTATCGTAAACGCGGGATCAGGACAACGGGAAACCATTGTCTCCAGTAAGTGAGAGGAGGTTGGGTCTCGAAGAAGCGTGACAAGGTAGTCAGATGCCTCCGGTTGTTCATCAGGCTTTCTGTCTGGCACCGTTCAATACGTGATCGAGATACCCCAGACAGCGTGTCAGGGAACTCACGACAAAGTGTAATAATCCCAACCAGGACGTGGTCCATAAGAGAACCAGGCAATGAAGATTCACCATGATCGGCTTCAACCTCAAGGATAAGCTGCGAAGTTGATCAGTTTGCATCTGGTTGAATGTTGGATGCCATGTACCTGAAGTAATGGGCTGGCTACTTTATTGGCAGCCAATGCTCGGACCTCGTTGTCGCTGAGTTCGCTCTTTAAGACGCGCACAAACCTGGTAGCAGCCTCGCGAAATTCGTTCGGCACCGATCGAGTAGAATCGATATGATCGTAGCGCTTATTGTCAGCGAATACGGACTTCATGGTGCCCTGACGAGCTTTCCACGCGCTGCTTTTCTTCGACCGCATGTTCGACTGTGCTTTATGACTTGCAGCAGAATTTGTAGGCGATAACAAGAGGAGCAAAGCACGGAGAACATGCGAGGCAAAAGGGTCCATTACAAGGGACGTGAAGACCGGTGCGAGTTCCTGTTGTACAATTTATTGCGGCGCAGGATTTCTAAGAAGCTGTGACCAACCTGACATATATCCAAGATGAGGCGTGTCAGAGTGCGCAGTTCACCCTTGTCCTTGGAATCGGGGATAGATGGATATATGCCCTTAGTCTTGCAACCAATCAGGGGGATACTGAAGGATCGGTAATAAGTATGCTTACTTCGCGCGAGACGGTGTCTGCTGCTACTGTGAACAGTGTTTGACAGACATGCGAAGCAAAACGATGTTTGATGAGCGCCTCGTATCTACAAATTACTTGACATCTGGATAGGCAAACTACGAAGAACTGCTCCCACTCACGAGCCGCTCAAACTATCCAAAAACACCCTTCGAACAAAGTCATCCATCGAGTGCGCCATGCGTTCTAGAACAACAGAACAATCCGGGTCCGTAGCCAGTTGTTTCTCTTTTTCAGACATTTCACTAAGTGCGGCAACGAGGAATATCCGCTTTGCTAGATGCAAGCACTGTCAAACACTTTCTGCATCGCAGCTGCTATTCCAAACCTTCATTCGGATCGAGGTCTGCGGCTTGATCCTCCTCGTAAGGTCTCTCCTGCTGCCAAGTTCGAATTTGGTCGTCGACAGTTCTGAAATATGCCTTTATGTCAGGGTCTACATAACCAAATGGTGCCTCCGGATGGGGCTCCTCCAATTCTTGTGCAGGGACTATCCATGACGGTCGATTGTGATGTTCGGCATTTTGAGGTGCTTCATTGGTGTCGCGAGAGGGCTGGTTATGCTCCTGTGTTTTCTTATGCTTCTTGCCTCGTTTCCTGTTTTCGTTCGGCATGTCGACCAGAAAGCTTAGAGAACAAATCAAAAAATAAGCATGGGAAGGACCCCGGAATTCGAGAATATGTGCCAGATTTGGATTTGAGTCACTTGACCCCTGGCAGCAGGTCACATTAATGATCCACCACGCTCACTCAGGCTGGTGACAAGACCTTATAATACATGGCACCAACATCATGCTCGCTATGCCGCGACGCAAAGGCAATTTTAAAACGCCCTAAAACAGGGCAGCAGATTTGCAAGGATTGCTTCTTCTTCGTCTTTGAGACAGAAGTCCATCATACAATCACAGAATCAGAGCTGTTTAAGCCAGGCGATCGAGTCGCAATCGGTGCTTCTGGTGGAAAAGGTAAGACTATTATTCAAACTTATCTGGCATCTCATTATTCTTGTGGCAGACTCCACCGTCCTCGCGTATGTCATGAAGACCTTGAACGAGCGGTACAACTATGGCCTCGACTTATTTCTCTTGTCTATCGATGAAGGGATCACAGGTTATAGAGATGACTCCTTAGAAGTGCGCTATTAAGTGTGCTATATCGGAGTATCTTGCGTATTGATTAAACCTCATGCAGACAGTCAAACGGAATCAACAGCAATATGATATGCCCCTAAAGATACTCTCATATGATGAACTCTATGGCTGGACTATGGATGCCATAGTTGAACAAATAGGAAAGAAAAACAACTGCACATTTTGCGGTGTCTTTCGCAGACAGGCGCTTGACAGGGGTGCAGCTAGTTTGAACGTTGATCATATCGTCACTGGGCACAACGCAGATGACATTGCGGAGACTGTCCTCATGAATAGTGGGTCAAACTTAATGTCTAAGGCAATGCACTGACAATTTTATAGTAATGCGTGGCGATATTGCTCGACTTGGACGGTGTACTTTAATTTGTACCCAGGGAGAAGATACGATCAAACGATCCAAGCCCTTCAAGTACGCTTATGAAAAGGAAATTGTCATGTGAGTACTGTGACATGGGTGGTTTTGTTCTGACTGAGTTGGATTTGTAGGTACGCTTACTTCAAAAAACTGGATTATTTTTCAACAGAGTGTATATATTCGCCCGACGCCTATCGAGGACATGCACGGACGTTTTTGAAAGATTTAGAGGCTGCTAGACCCAGTGCTATCATAGATATTATTCACTCTGGCGAAGCATTTGAAGTTAAGGAAGAAATAAAGGCAGCTCAAAAGGCCCAGCGTCAGTGATGTCATTTTCACATAGTTATAATACTGATTTGCCCGCAGAAACATGCAAAAGATGTGGGTACATGTCTAGTAATGATCTTTGCAAGGCATGTACGCTGCTGGAGGGTTTGGAGAGAGGCATGGCGAGCTCTGTCATAGTGAGTTCAGACTATGCATTGGTTAAAATGATCGAGCACTTATTCTTGTCTAGACTGACCGTGCCCGTAAGAAGATGGACGCTATAGGTCCTGCACCGGATAACATAAGAACAATTCCATTATTTCGTTCAACACCAACAATTGCAGTAGAGCTACCGTCGCAATCTTGAGTGGGCAGCAGTTGCATATTTATTCCCTCAATGCAATACATCACTTAACGTTACTAATAATAATTCGCTCAATCATATTCTACATAGTATAATTATTGTCCAAATATATCTGGTGAGCTCGTTAAGAATGTAATGGACGTCCCTCCGCTTCACAAAATGCTGTAAAAAGCCGATCGCAATGTTCCAAGAGGTCATCGCACTGGTTGTTGTGCTCTTTGGAACGCGTCAACTTCATCGTACCAACACGCTCTTTGCCCCATCTGTCACATTCTGAGACATAACGGAAGCCCACTTCAACCTTAGCTGTAGGGTCTGAATCGTCAAAATCTGTCGAGCTAACTGTAGGAAGGCAAGCCAACGGCACTAAGCAGAGATGTACTGCAGAGATGGCTGCCTTGAATCCAGTTATGAGGTGGTATGGAGATCCAAGAAAACGAGCCTAAGATGTTTAGAATTATTAGAAATGGATTAGCTACAGCGGCGCATAACTCACGAGATAGAAAGCAAAGAACATGCACATTGATGAGAAAGTATCCAAAAGAGCGCTGGCGATGTTTGTGCCAGCTACACCAGGTAGTACTATCAGGTGTCGCGTGGGTAACGTGTCAGAGTCTTGGAGTGACGCCTGATCCAGTCGATGGGCGATCAAGTCCATCTGGAATTTTGAGCTTTCGTATGAATGCGCGGTTTTGACCAACTGCCAGTCTGTAGGATCGTAATAGATTGGGTTTGATTCATGAGATGACATCCAAATCACGCGGGCACCAGTAGACGTTTGGTATTTTGCTAGGTGGGATTTCAAGGATCGAAACTGGAGCAAATCAACATATAAGATGAATTCGGGGTCAACTACACATACCAGGACATAGTGTCCAAAGACGTTGCACTGCCATACCCATCCTAGCCCGTCTTGACTGAGTTGTCCAACTTCTTGCGTGTAGAATATAGGAGCTGTCACGGCCTCAACCCAGTTCATGGTGAATTGCTTGAGAGCTAAAAGCCAATTGATGCTGACGAAAGAAGCGACTCCTGCATTACAAATGAGATGCGAGACATATGGGTACCTAAAGTGCCGTCAACTATTTGCACGTCGCCTACACTGAATACTCACGTTTTGATGACTTCGTCAGCGAATCTGAATACCGTTTGAATGCGCGACAAGTCTACGGTATGGACCACAATGGTAAGGTGTTTTCTAAAGGTCTCGGCATGTCCATCGTATCCTGGAAGTATTTCCTGGTGACGAACTTGTTCGTCGGCAAACTGGTACAATTGGTCGCGAGCAGCCTCTCCTCGTTGTCTACTGCGACAAGCAAGAATTAGGGTCAACCCATCGAGAGAGGCGTCGCTGGTTGTCGTTTTTTGGACGTGGAAATTGTAATGAGGTTGGGCGTCTGTTGGGGATTTGGATATTAGTTGAACAAGTAGACGCTGGCAAATTCCCAAACCAACGCCGCTATGTGTATTTCAGTAGAGACCAAGTTATGAACGACTTGGTTTGCTGCACCTGTTTGCACCTGTCACAACGATAACTGGCCACGACATGACGTCCGGGGAAAGATGTGCGTGAGATGTTCCTCGTGTGATTACCGGTGACTTAAAATCATAGTCGTTACACCAGATGACAGCGAGAAGATCATTCCAATGATATTCAAAATATTGTATTTAAGGCGAAGGCTAGAAATAAAATCCGACTACAACTCTCATGTCACTCTGACAGACTACACCTCCGTCTTCTTTTTCTTCTTCTTTGGCGGGTCACTGTCCACTTGAGAAGCTGCCGCAGCAGCAGCAGCAGCCTTTTCAGCCTTGCGTGCCTTCTTTCTGGCTTTGCGTTCCGCTTCCGTTTCTCCATCCTCCTGCGGTTCATTGGTATTGGTCGAGTTGCAGAGATGAGAACATAAATTTGCTTACCTTAGGAGCTTCGGAACCGTTGACCTCGCTTTCTCTTCTCTTCCGTTTCTTGTCCTTGGGTTCCTCCTCCTCGACGTCCATTTGGTCATCATCTGACTCCTCCTTCGCCTTCTTGTCTTTGTCGGCTTTCTTTTTCCCGCGTTTCTCCTCTTTCGCCTTCCTCTTCTCCTCCTTCACGTCGAGAACAGCTTTCACTGCTAGCTCCAGAGGGTCGCGTTGTGCTGGAACCAAGTCCACAGCATCCGCATCCGTATTGTATGTCTTGGTCTGACCTTTCATCTCGAAGCGTTGCGGTTGTTGATTGTTGTCTGCAAATCTTCGCACACCAGACAAATCGTTTTGGTGTTCCAAGGCACGTAGGCGAGACTCCAATTTTGCGCGGTTTTCAAGCCCTATTGAAGGAGCAGTCTCTTCTGATTTTCCATCAGCGTCCGTCAATGCGTCGACACGGATTGAAAGTGCGGCTTTTGTGGCAACCATACGGGCCATCTCAATGGCAATATGTCAGCCTGACGAATTCTTTGTGGTTTTCGAAGTAGTGAATTACCTTGCCCTTCAGTTTTGGGGGTGCTTGGCCAATGAGAGAGGCCTATGCAATGTAAGCGAGTTGGACAGACGAGAACGATCGGTAACCCACATGATAGATGAGTCCGTATTTTGGGGTATCGTGCTTGGTCTTGAGGGCACGGAAAAGTGCTTTTTCTGCACCGAGAATTTGTACCGTACTAGCTGGGTGCTTCGCTAGGCTCAATAAACTTCCAGCATGTGATATAAGTCGTGCTCCAACAAGGTCGCCGACTAGTGCGGTAAGATTTGGTGCCACTGCGTTCATGCGATTCCGTAAGTACTCTGCAAGTTGCGCACGATATGCAGTTATGGATATGATTTGGTCACATAGTGCATGTATATGCTGTATATCGGTGTCAGATATCTCGGTTCCCATGGATATTTCAGCAGCGGCTTTTAACACGGCTTCGAGATCTTCTGGCAGTATGGTTTCAAACGCTGTCGTAGCGGCATTCGTGCGGAAACCTGGACCAAACAATATCAGCCAAACGGTGGGTTGAGGAAGTATGCTAAACTTACCCATTATCCGTACAACCTTGGCATAGGCAAGGTTATCAACGATAATCTTCCCCATTTCGGGGAAATGCCATCCATACCACTCCTAGACGCCAAATGAGATTTCGATTATTGAAATTCGATGAACTCTCCTACTTTGACTCGCATGGAATATATATTGATCTCTTTATCAAGATCATCCAGTAGTGCAATAGCTTGCACAATCATTGTGTCGACTTTATTGGGAGAGAACTTGAGTTTAAATCTGCCAGAATATGTTGCAAACACTGCTTTTCACAATTTGACTCCATAAACTCACCGTGAAAGTGAATGGCTAAGACCTAAGCTCATGGTAGCAAGATCTTTTGGGTCAAGGCCGTCAAGCAATGAGGCAATTTGACTTCGGATACCCCTCCATAAGTCACTATGATCTTCTGGTGGTGAAGGAGAAGTGACTTGAATGCTCAATTTTTTTGAGATGGAATGGGCTTGTCACGAGTGTAAGATGACATGCATGATACTGACACAGATAACGCAACACACCAAGTTTTGGGTCGACCACTACCAAGGTTTCCTTCCGCTTTGCTTTCTCCACCACCTGTTCAGTTAAGAATTTCTTCAGACCCTTCCCCAGTTTACCTTCCTGCACGGCAGTAAGATCTTCTACTGCGTTTGCAGTAGACGTAAAACGGTGAAGTGCTTTTAGCTTCAACCTTGTCCATCAAACCAGGTTGAGTTGTATCCAGTACATGAACATCTTGAACGTACAATTTTGTCGCCTTCTCTGGCGTTTCGAAACTTTTATACAGATCTGCTGACTCGAGCTTGGCCGAGTCAGACAGTTTGAACAGGCAATAGCCCATCGCTGTCTCGTACAACACCAGCATTTTGAAAGAGTGGGATAACCAGAACCAATCGCAAATCTTTGCTGCAGAGCTCAATAAGAAAAACTGAAGTGTATAATTACACTAACTGGCATTTGCCGGACTGCAGTGGGAAATCTGTGACGATAGTGTCACATCGTCGTGTCACGACTCCGCATGTTGATTTTATATTTGGCCATCCACGCTCACATAAGCTCAATGTCAAGCAAATGTCCATGTCAGATGCTTCAAGTTGACATGTGCAACTTCCCTCCCCTGGTTAGTCCGTCGGAGTAGTCTCGGTTCCAGATATCTACATAAATACCGTCCGAAACCGAGACTACTTCGCTGCGTTCAAGACTCATCAATCAGACATGCTTATCAGGCCAGTGGCTCTACTTGCACTAGCTCTGGGCATTGGTGCTCACAAGCAGACAAATTTCACGGATGATAAGCTCCGTCATGATAACGAATCAGCTCCCAGCGCTCTTCCAATCGTACCAGAAAGCCTGGCCTCTCTTACATCTGTTGACTCTTTCGCAACTTTGTCTCATGCCCGCTTCCCTCACCACGCCGTTCGCATCAAAAAGTCAGACTTTTGTGACCCCACCGTTTCGTGAGTGCTTTGATTTGAACGAGATATGAGTGGAAGAGATTCATGCAAATGTTTGTTTAGTGCGTACACTGGCTATCTTGATGTCGATCAGGGAGCAAAGCACTTGTTCTTCTACTTCTTTGAAAGCCGCAGGAACCCAGAAACTGGTGCATGGTTTATTTTTTTGGCGTCTTGCATATTATATTAATGGCATTCTATAGATGATGTGATGATGTGGATCAATGGAGGTGTGATGTGTCGTGTCGCTAGGTCTTTTCTTCCCTTCATTACAACTCCACAGGTCCTGGGTGTTCTGCCGGGCTTGGCTTGTTATTTGAACACGGTGCGGGCATCACTCTATATGATGTGATCCATCTAACAGTTTGAACGCTAGGGCCATGTAGCATCGACGTTGACGGTTCATCTCTAAATGGTACCAACTGGAACCCATACTCATGGAATAAGGAAGCCAATATTTTCTTCCTGGACCAACCGTAAGTTCATATGTTGGATCACTCACGTTTGTTTTTGATATTGTGAACGTAGAGTTGGGGTAGGCTACTCATACGCCGACTTTGGTGAAACAGTTGAGACGACGGAGGATGCTGCTCAGAACGTGCATGCGTTCATCACAATTTTCTTCGAGGTTTTCAAACAATTTGAGGGTAGACCATTGCACCTTGCTGGGGAATCATACGGCGTAAGTAACATATCCATGATCTTGTATGATTCTGATAATGGTGGATTCAAGGGGCGTTATCTTCCTGTTTTCGCTAGCGAAATTTATGATCAGAATGAAATTGCAAAGGCAGAGGGACGACCGACCATCAACCTTCATAGCATCTTGATCGGCAACGGTATCACTGATATCTCAACGTGAGCGAATGATTTTACTGTAGTTTCAAAGTTTCTCACGAATCCTAGTTTATACCAAGGGCGTTACGAGATTGAATGCGGCATTGCTGCCCTAGAAATACCATTTCAACAAATTAGCTCTTGTGTGCGCATGAAGTCGGCGGTGGGTATTTATCCTAATTCGTTGTCCCTCAGTCTTCCGATGACGCATCTCACAGCTACCTCGGTGTCAAGCTTTGATGCGTGATGGGTGCATTGACCAATTTGATCACATGAATTGCGGTGCTGCTGTTGCCTTTTGCGACGCGCAACTTAGTACCGCAATGTGGGAAAGCGGTCAGTCGAACCAGGATTCGCTACAGATCACCGCTAAATTATTTTTGGATGTAAGGTCGGAATGTGTACGATGTCTCAATGGTTGGTGGTTTCTTGAAGTATTATGACGTAACCTGCTTACTTCGCTTACTTCAAGACCTGTGAAGACCAAGAACTGTGCTACGCAGAAGAGGCTGTTATCCGAGATTTCCTTGATGCGCCAGAAACACGGAAAACACTTGGTGCTGAAAGCCCCGGTGAATTTTCTCTCTGCTCTGGTATTGTCGGGCGGAACTTTGTCTCTCACCTCGATAAGTGGGCACATCACACTCAAGACTATGTTGCGGCCCTCTTGGAGAGGAACATTAGAGTGTTGATTTATGCCGGTACTCATGACTGGCAGTGCAATTGGATTGCAAACAAGCTGTGGGTAGACAAATTAGATTGGACGGGACGTTCTGCATACGTGAAAGAGAGCTGGAGGTCTTGGCACGTTGATGGAGAAAAAGCGGGTGAAACCAAGAATGCTGGCCCTCTGACATTTGCTACGGTGCTGGGTGCCGGCCATATGATGAGTCCTTCGTTACTCTGGCTCCACCATTCTGCTAACCCCTTTATACGTCCCTCATGACAAACCTGCAGAAGTACAGGCTCTAGTTTCCAGATGGCTCGCCAATCAGGCCATCTAAGTGTCAAAGACATGCACACAGCCGACACAGCCACTTAGCGTGCAACAATGTTGCAAGTCGCTATTTTGGTATCGAGAGATCGAACCGTTGTTCTTTGTGTAGCTGCATTGAATCTAATTTGAAATTTGAAGTGTTTTTTTTTCGATCATGCCGACGGGTAACCAAGCTATTGATGGCAACGAACGCTGCGCAGCCAAAAACAGGTCCATCGCCTGCAACAACAGCGCCTTGTAAACACAGCCAATCACCTTGAGATAAATCTTAAAAACATCGTTCATCGATGGTGCATCGGTGTTGTGTTGTCCACTACTTCTGCAACCTCCGTTCATTGTTCGTGGGCTTTCCCTAGAGGTATGTCTGCCGCATGGATTCGAATGAACATAACTCACGAATTGTTGCGCTATCCAGGATCCCCTATTCTATCTTAACTTGGGTTGCACAGGTGCACCTGACTATTTCGTTCATATCTTTTCTTGCGCCTCTTCGTATAACTTCCATTTACTTTCGAGCTATGGTTTTTACTTCACTATACTCGCTCTGTGGCGCTGGCTTCGCCCTGCTTCAGTTGCTGGCTCCAGTCACAGCACGTCCAGTAGCACGGTCTACAAGCTCTTCCACATTACTAGCTCTTCGTGAGTGTTTTTATATCATTCTAGATCAAGCGCTCATGATAGAGCAGAGTTCGCCAACGTGTTGGAGCAGCTCGAGTCCACTTTTTATGCACAGGCCCTTCAAAAGTTCAATCAGTCAGATTTCACGGCAGCAGGCTTTGCTTCGGCCCAGATTCCCTTGCAACAGTTTCAGGCTATCTTCAAAGATGAGTCCACACACACAACTACATTACAGGTGTGTCAAATCATATGTAACATCTTTGAGTATGATGTTAACACCCACTCAGTCGGCTATTAATTCGTTGGGCGGCAAAACAGTGTCAAACTGTACATTCAACGTTGCTTCCTTGCTCACAGACGTACCCACTATGGTGGCGGCAGCGAGACTCGTGGAAAATGTTGGTGTGAGCGCCTACCTTGGCGCCCTAACCTTGATCAACGACACGGTCCTCTCCACCGCAGCTGCCACCATTATGACGGTTGAAGCGCGTCACCAAACCATTCTCAATGTGCTGGCAGGGGCCACCGCGATACCTCAGGCATTTGATGTCGCTTTGAATCCGTCTGAGATTCTTGCATTGACGGGAGGGTTAATTTCTGGATGCAATCTTGGAATCCCAGGTACGTACATGGTATAAATGATTGTCCTCTCGTTCACCTTGAAGCACCCTCGTTTAGCGAATGTTCCGCTCCGAGTGAATAATTCTGGTTCCATTCAAGCAGGAACAAAATTGACCTTTACCTCGGCTGCACTGAACGGAACTATTCCGATAGAGGTGTGTTGTCTACATTTCTTGGTTTGTCGCGCAACAACTTACGCGTTATCTACTCCAGGAACTGTCCTGTCAATTCCTCGCCGGCGGCTTCCCTGTTGCCATCTCACAACCACTATCTAACTGCAGCGTCCCGGCGAACGTAACTGGTCCTCTGTTGGTGTTCGTGACCAACAGTAGTCAGCCCCTCGCGAATAACATTCGCGATGCTGCAACTAGCACCATCGTTGCAGGTCCGACGCTCATCTTCATCGACAATCAACAGGATGCGCTGGCGATCGCAGCACGTCCTGGTCTCAACTCCACTGTGGCCCCTAGTGGCACCTCGAATCCTATAACGTCTTCCACGACAATCACTTTGACCCCAGTCACTTCGAGCACTACGAGTGGTCCCGTCACTTCAACCGTGATGTCTACTTTGACTCCAGCCACTTCGAGCAGAGCTATGAGTGGTACCGTCACTTTAACCATGGCGTCTACTTCGACTCCAGCCACTCTGAGCAAAGCTGCGAGTGTCACTTCAACCGTGACGATAGTTCCCACTACAGTCAGCAATGATTGGACGGCTGTAACCAAAACGATCTCGCCATCCGAAGCTAGTGGTATTCTCGCGAGTGCTGTGCCATCTATGAGTTCGGGATAAATGTCGAGAATTAATACGAGATGCTGGATCGAATTATATTGCTCAGATATCTAAAGTACAACAGAACAGAACAGACGACTTCAAGGACTATTGATAGTGGAGGACGATATCCATAGAGTATAAGTTGTACAACGATAGAACGTAATGCAAGGAATGGACTCAATCTTCATCACTATCCTCGCTGGATGATGTATCCTCTTCATCCGCACTGAGTTGACCGCCTGCGAATTGATTGAGTGACATGGGCCGTCCAGAGACATTTGCCACTGGTTCAAGATCTGGAGACATTGCTGCCGCCAATATATCATCGTCCGATTCTTCTTCGAGTTCTGCTTCCATCTCCCGCCCGAAGGCGTCAAGATCTATCTCTTCTTCTACTGGATCATTGTGTGTAACTTCATCCCAGTCTTCTTCAGAGTCCGATTCTGCTGCTGCCGGCTTTGTGGGAAGAGCAGGAGGCACGAAAGAAGGTGTCGTCCCTGGCAAGGCTAGTCCGATTGAGACAGACGGCTTCGGACGTTTTGAAGGGCGAGCGGGGCGACCAAAATCAAGAACCTCTTCCAAGTCGGAATCTTCTTTATACGAATTGATTTCTCTTTTCGCCTTCGGCACTTCCTTGGGTTTGGGTTTAGGCTTCGGCTCGGACTCGTGCTTTTTCGGAGGTGGAGCGACATGACGAGACACTTTAAGTTTTGGAGGTGGCGGAGGTGGCGAAGGGGCTTTGCGAGGGGGTATTTCAATCTCCTCACCCTCTTCTTCCTCTTCCTCCTCCTTTTGCCCCGTGACCTTCGCCAAAATGTCATCGAAGTCATCCACGGCCTCACCATCAGCGTCTGAGAGCCCTAAAAGATCATGTTCCAGCTCTTTCTCCAAATCTCTTGTGTTTTTAAGCTGTGTTTCCGGAGGAGTTGTTGCAGAGGCTGAAAGTCATCGAACATGAATGACGATACCCAATCAAGCACCGGGTAGACAGCTTACGAGACTTTCGGGCAAAGCTGGAGCTGGAAGAAGAGACTTTCTTATCGTATGTAAAGCCCATGAAGCACTCTACCTTTTCAAGAGTGAATGTCTGAAGTAGTGTTACAGGCTGCATCCAACAAAATACAACAGAACGATTACTCACTCCTAACTCCTCATCATAAATTAGGACACAATCATACTCCTTCACCGGCTGTTCACCCCCCTTAAAAAGATGGTTCTCGCCCGGCTAAAAAAATCATCAAAGGAAGTTCTGAAACCTTAACATAGCATATGAGCCGCACCTGTGTACTAGGGCGTTCTAAAGTGACGCTGGTAGAGTCTTTCCCGCGTTTGACTTCAACCGTTCCAGACCTGCTGGGTTCTATTGACTCTGGCTTGAAATTATCTGCCTCGTGTCTTTCAGCACGCTCGTAAACTGACAGTAAAAGGCTTCGTACACCTGAAGGAGTAGAAGTCCTTGTCGGGGAGATTAGAGCGCTTCGGCGGAGCTACGCCCTTGCGGGCCTTGAGTGCGCGCCTCAGTGAAGTTCCTATTGCTACTGCGTGTCGGCCCGTTGTGGGCATCCATTGGGTATCTGTAGTCGCCATCGCGAGTCAAGGAAGCAAACGGAAAGACTGTCGCTCGGGTTTGTGTTGATGCCTGAGCGCTGAACTTGAAGGAGCGCTGAAGTAAGCTTGGCAGTGTTCATTGTTTCCAACTGTTCTTGTTGTTTCCCGCGTTGTGGACAACACACAGTTCGATTCAGGTGGACCCTTTAAACTAAGTTTTTACACTGCCAGTAATACAACACACCGCCCGATCATGATCAAATGTCTTAACTTGATCGCGAGCTCAGATATTACCAATTAATGACAGGCGTCGTTGATATCGTCATGTTGGTTGAAACGCTCGAGAAAGCCTGGGTCCCTACTAGCTTGTCTATCCTTTCATGCCCAACGGTACGACAAGGGACACGAAGGAACAAGGATGGCCGGAATGAGTAGTGGAACAAGAATTGGGGGTATCAAGGGACTCGGCGAAATTCAGAAATTCAGGTAAGTGAGACTCGAGGACTGCTGTGTACTTACACTGAGCGCTGACTCGGACATCAGTATGACCTTCAAGTCAAAAAATTAATACACAACGTGGTTAGCACCTTTCCGGACTCGTTGTAATCTCATCGGTGTTGCAACGTTGTACATCCAGTTATGCACATAATTTTTCGTACTCAATATAGGCCCAGGGTCGTTCATCTCGCCAAGAGGACGCCATAAATTCAGGCCGTTTCTGAGGTATTCATCATGAGTTTCCTCTATGCAATACCAGTTATTGCTAACTTCAAGTTAGTCGATGCGCCCGTGCACCGCTTCGACAGGCCTCAGGCACTATCATGATCAGTTGAGGCCAACCAAGTGAAGGCCGTGGAATAGATCCATCAGTATCTTGTTGGAGGCTGAGGCCATCATGAATTCATCATTAAGTGCCATGATGAATCCCCGTGCATCTAGCAAAAGCTATGTACGACGCAAAATGCACCTCCGAGTCGTGTTTCTCTTTGTGGGTGCCATTAATCTCACTCTGTGCCAAGGCCAACTTACTTATTGCCGATTCTTTCGATAGGCTCGGGCCTAGAGTTTGTACACGTATGACATAGGCAACTCCGATAGACCAATAATAGCTAATGATGGAAGACCATGATGGTACGCGATGCGAACTTCATAAGGAGTGTTCCGTTTTCCTTCCAGCACTAGTACAGTGAGGCTGTGTTGAAGGGGTATGCTCCTTGTATACTCCCACTTACATACTTATCTGCACAGAAACTACACAGTCCGAATCACATCACAGATCTAGATCTATGCCACCTGCTGGTCTCGTGTTCTTTTGTGGCTGCGCGATATATAGTACGGCGCAAACATTGCTTTGCCTGGAACGGGCTTGAGCCTCAGTCAACATCAATGTCTTCCTCAACGCAGAACCTCATCCCACAACTTCACCTCGGGAACACGTTTGGGGCACTGTTTATTGGGGTCACCCTTGCAGCAGTGTTAGTAACCTATCTGCTCACGAAGCTTAGCCGAGTCCTGTCGTCCTAACATGTCTCACGGAACAGTCTCTTTGGTCTAAGTAACATTCAAGCTTTCGTCTACTTTCAGTCGCACAAGGGCACAGGAATATCGTTCCTTAAGCTAGCCGTACGTTGATGCATTCCTCCTCTCAGTTCAGTTGTTGATGCTGCATTAGGTTGCCTGGCTTTGGTATGTACTCTTCAGTTGTCATTGTCGAGCGCGACGAGTTTACGCCCTCCCCTGAAATTTTAGGATACTCGACGCTCTGCACCTGTTCTTGATAGTCCACTGTGTCTATTATTATTTAGTGGCTCACTACGCAGATATCAATGCACTAACGGAAATTGTGTGGAGCTTCAAAGTAAGTGTTGTTGGGGCCTCTGTTGTGCAGCTTCTATTATGATACTAATGGACTCGTGCAGCTTCAAATAGTCATCGATGTAAGCGGGGTTTCCTATGCACTACGATCCGCCTACACATCCATTACAGGTGATGATTGTTTACGGGGTACATCTGTGAGTCAAAAATGTACTGTTGCCTACAACTTGATGGATTTATGTGATGCTTTTATTGGTTTGTAGTCTATACTTTCAGCGCATATGGATAAGTATGTATTACTCTATGAAGCCAATGGGTTTCTACGACTAATAATGATGTATCAGTCGCCAAGGGCCGATCAAGAGTACTCCCTATAGCCGTGGTGGGTTTAAATCGATGATCACGTATCATGGCATTGATTTTAATGATGTAATATCAGGGCGTAATCGTAATTTCGGGTTCAGGTGAGTTTGTCATTTGGTATTCCTCTTCACTCGATCTTAGAAAATTTCTTCAGGTGTTGCTATCGGTAAGACATCAAAAACTCGGTACTTTTGACAATAGTCGGCTCATCATTGTAATCCAATGACAGCTCTTATTTGGGCCATGTGAGTAAAACAACCTGTTCACTAATTATATGAATCGCTGATAGCGAGTAGATATCAGTGTCATGTGTTCTCGGATCTGATTAAAATCGAGTGGGCGACATTTATGGCTTTGGGCACGATTACTTTCGTCGATTTCATCATCGCATCATCGCTATGCTATCTCCTCGCTATTTCCCGTACTGGATTCTCTAGGTGAGGAGCGGTCTGTTCACGCCGAGGGATTTGACATGTTAATATGGAGTACTTAGCACCGATTCCATGTTAACAAAGCTCATGGCTTACATTATTAACACGGGCTGTCTGACAAGGTATTCCTCCTTAGGCTTCCAGGCTAGTCTACATCTTGACTCATGTTTCATGTAGCATGTGTTCACTGTCGGCTATGATTACAGTAAGCTTCCAGTGATTATACTGTCCATCTCGCCTCTGATGTTCCTACAGTGCGCAGTGATGCCGCACAACTTCATCTTCCTCGGCGTTGAATTTTTGGTGGCTAAATGTATGACCCAAAGCATTCTCAGAATGTTGTGTTGACCACCGGTCGTTTTCAGTATACGTCAACTCGTTCCTCGCACTTCTGAACGCGCGATACTACTTGCAGCCCGCTACAGAAACTAACCATTCTACCGAAGTCCATATGCACCACGGCATCTACCGCCCAGAACTGAACGTTATAGCGTCCCAAGGCGAGGAATTCCAGGCATCCCGGAAAAGCACGTTTAAACACCCCGGCGATGATGTTATACATCTTACTCGATCTGCCATGGTAGGTAGCTGCGTTACTGGCGACGGAAGAGTGCTGATTATCACACTTTAGTCACGTCGGCCCATTGAGGTGACGGTAGAGACGAATTCCTTCTCATCAGTGTGATGTATGAGTACTAGTATGCATGTATCATGTGTTATCTGCCTCTTCGCGAGATAAGACTTGCGAGTCTTTATTAGATCATCGCACAGCCGGTGTTGGAACAAGAATTTACATTGTCCATTATACTTCCATTTGTGGTTTTCATATATCACTCTACTTAGAACTACAAGGGACTACTATTTAGTCATTCGGCAAACTATGCGCTTGGACGCACGATACTAGTCTAGTGACTTGCCATTCACCACCTTGTCCAATACGTGTCTCACGCCACCAAGCCACCCATACTAACTTGTTGTAGACAAAGTCGTTGGCTTTGTGTCTGGATAACAACCTCCACCACCAGGAGTCCTTGTGTGATTGAATACATCAAGGAATAGCATACGACCAATCATATTTGCAATACGCTTCATACTTTGACATCCTCAATGCTCCACTTGGCACGAAGGTTCACCGGGTAGTCATCATAAGCGAGGAACCGATGCATCAAAGCCCACACAATCATCGCCGCATTGTCTGTATTGAATCTCAAACGCTGTGAACTGATCGGCGTATTGAAGCACCTGTGCATACTTCTAACGGTGGGAAATGGAGCAAGATGCGCTCATCAGAGCTGTACTCATCCAGTGCTGCTCGGAGCCCACGGAAGTTAAGCAAACCGAGCTTGAAAAAGCCACCCTTCACGTAAAAAGATGTTGTTGGCAACCCCACCGCTAACGACAACATCCATGACGATCATGTCTTTCAGCTTGAGCTTTTGAAGGCTCCTCGTAAGCTTAGCACAGAGTTGACGGGCTGCGGCTGCCTGGAATGCACGAGCCAAAGTAATTTTATGTGAACTGGATAGATCCTTCCATGCGAGAATGTAGCGCTCTACTGAAGATTGTGGAGATGTAAATGAAAATGCAAGTTTTTCCCGGCATTAGTACAGTGAACGGTTGTATGTCGGGTAGGGATTCGAGTCCATCGTTTGTCATGCGGCAAAGCTCCTCGAGTGCTGTACCAGGGCCTCTGCTTCCCCAGGACAAGTCAGGTTGGGTAGCCAGCTCGTTGAAGCTCTTCAAATCCACGTCCTTGATTATCGAGTATGTAGTCCAGCTGGTCAGCCTGCGCAAACTCGAAGTCATGGTCATGGGCCATCCCGTCTTCATAGTGCTTGCTGCCTATAGAATGAATCACGCATCCACCCTACCCAAAGTATTTTAGGCATATGCTGCGTGTACAACGTAGGGCCCAAGGCTTGTGGCAGAAGGGGCTCTCATATGGCGAGTCCTTCCTGCGCATCCGCTTCCCATTCGAGGGAGGGACAAAAGACAAGGGTGCCAGCTGCGTCTAACTCGGGCTGCATTGGCAGGCCAGCAAAGGATGATGGCAACATATTCGACGGTCCACTCAAAATTGTCGGCAACTTGCTGGAGGAGGGTATGGTGGTAAGAGTATTGGGGTATCGCAGCAGCTCAAGGAAGAATTAAAAAAAGATCACTGTGCATGCTGGTGGAGACGTGTCGATACATTACTGCAACATAAATTGATGGGAACCTACCCTTGGCATTGGTTTCCCTGCATTGCCACATGTGTAGCTCTGACAGATGGTGAGCGAGATGGTGAGACCACAGTAGGTATAATCAACGACGAACCCAATTGATGATACCGCAGTATGGCACCTGGAATACTTGGCAAATGTGGAGGTCCAGTCAAAGAAATGTTGTCTGTGGGCACGGTGGGCAACATGAAAGGCAATGGAACGAAGGATTAGTAATGAGAGGCTGACAGTGGGGATGGCAGGAGAGGTTGACGACGGAATGGCAAGAGGTGCTGACGGCAGGATACGGTGAAACCTTTGACAGACTTCACCGCTGCCGCTTCCCAAAAAAAAATTCCCAAGAATTCGAAGAAGGTCAATGTCCCACAGGGTCCTACGAACACGGAACGGAGTCTGAACAAGATTACTGCCGCGTCTGAATCACTGCTGCAGCATGATGTTGACCTAGGACTCCATCTTTTGTGGCATCATGTCAGTCTGATCATATCGATGCGTCGATAAAGTTGAACAAGACTTTCGTACTGATACCATACTTCAGCTTCAGCGTTCACGCTGAAACTTTGCCAGCTAAAGCTTGCAGCTTGCGCCAAAATGAGGCCAATTGGTATTGCTAAATCGAAAATATTATCATCCAGCCGAGTACTCCTAGCTGTTAATGGTGTGTTCAAACTCACAACAATAATCTATTGTCCTGCATGGAAGCGCAACGAGCCCGGATATACTGTCTCTGCGAGCTGCGGCATCGGTCGCTGAATTCAAAAACTTGAATAGAATTCACATACAAGTGTTTTCAGGACACAACACTGATGTATCGCGGAGTACAAAGGGCCCTCGAGGCCTCAAAACGCCACATCAGTGATTCAGATACCATACCCTTTATCACCTTGATCCACCATGTCGTCGGAAAGTACTATCGCAGTGACAGCCATCTGGACAGACGATCAAAACACAATTAAAGGCGACCTCCTAGGCTCAAGCAACACGGTGGCAATGGCTGTGGGAATTTTGGGAAATCACATCAGCAAACATATGACCAAAGTATACGGCCTCGACCCTCCATTGAACCCACTCGCTATGCGAGCGAAGTACTTTCCAGGTAAGCCTCGATCCATATCTTTTGTTTGCTGCAGAGACTGACTTATTGTTCTCTTACATAAAGATGTTAAGCCTTCAGATATGCTCAACGTCTGCCGCCCCAATGGTTTAACAGCAATATTCAGTCCTAATGTCGAGACGACTCGTCGTATCAAGACCCAATTAGCCCAAAAGGCACAGGCAAATCAGATATCCGTGGAAACCAATACAGCGTTGGCCACTAATACCGCCACAACCTCTCAGTCAAGCACACAAGCAGCCCCATCTCGCAGATGTACGTTGTAACACTCAAATAGTCTACAGATACTGATTAGTTTTCCGCAGCCAGGAGATCTAAGAAACGAAATGCCGCATCGGCGGCCAATCCTGTGTCGACAGCGAATCCCGCATCGACGTCCAATCTCCCTCAGGTGACCATGGACGACCAGCTCAAGGCGATGCTAGCCTCGATGCAAAGCGAGATTGCGGAGATGCGGGGAAAGAATGAGAGGATTCTCAACGAGAACGAGAGCATTCGCAACAAGAACGACAGGATTCTCAATGAGAACGGGAGGATTCTCAATGAGAACGAGAGGATTCTCGATGAGAACGGGAGCATGCGAAATGAGATCGAGACCATTCGCAATGAGAACGAGACCATGCGAAATGAGATCGAGACCATTCACAATGAGAACGAGAAGATTCTCAACGAAAATGAGAGCATTAACAATGATCTTGCAAGTGTTCGCAATGATCTAAATGCGGCGAGAGTCAAACATAGCCAGGACGTTGAAGCACTTAAAGAAGTAAGTCATCCCTCTTTCCGGTCACCAATTCTGACAAAAATCTCCTTAGGTCACCATGTTATTGATCCCTTTGCATCTTCGCGTCCTACTCGACCTTGCGCGCAAAAAGGTTTTGGAGCACCTCGGCCACGAGACCTGGGAAGACCTTCGCGCTTCCCGCAGTGTCTATCAACTTGCAGATACCATCTGCAATGATCTCAAACGAAAGGGTGTATCATATCCCCCATCATCCGAGTCCATCTTTTTCTTATGTTCATATAATAACATCAGGAGGGCAGGAAATACAGCTGCTCACAGCGCAAAGGAGGACGACATCAGACATGCAGTGTTAACGCAGTCGCTGGAGTCCCGTGACCGAAGATGCTTGGAAAGTTTATTTGCATATGCGTACAACGGGGTGCCAGTCTAGCAGTGATCATGACATTTACTATACCACCAATATTTGTATACATGGCTTCAACTCAAATGCACTTTGCTACGACTTCAGTGATGATTTCATGCACGTACAAATGTCGTTGATAGCAGTGTCCGGTCGACCGCTTGAGAAGTCCAGGGGGCGACACTGCCACCGTCCCGCAGCAAGGCTAAGCTCGAATGTTCGAAATTTGAAATATGACAGCCTGGCCCCTTGAAGTGCCAGTCCCCGACTTCAAGAAATGACGAAGGATTAGCAAACAGTCCATTGATATGGCACTTCACAAGTTTCACAATAGCATCTGAGTCTAATCATCGCCAGTTTCCAGCTGCGAGTCGAAGATGTTATGGCTCTTTGCGGCACCATATCGCCAATTCTTTCTATCATGAGCTATTTGTACACGTATGATGCAGACAATATCCCAGTAGGCCATGATGGAAGACCATGATGGTACACCGTGTGAACTTCCTAAAGAGGTATGGAAAAATCGCCAGGAAAGAGGATGAGATAGGGGAAGCATCGTAGAAGAGAAATGATTCAACTATGCGAAGCGGGTTGGATGATGATTTTGATATGTTTATTGGAGCCGATTGACATTCTGAAATGCGTTCTGAGTATGTAGGTGGGTTATGCGAAACCGTAAAGCGCACGTCTTCTGCGCCTAATTCTTTGGACCTAGAAGAATCGTGTTTCTGCGCCGTTGCCGGGCCGGGCCGCAGGGGCTAGCTTGCGCGCCGACTAGCTAACCTTCCAATCGACGCTGAAAAAGAGTGACGCAGGGCAAGGGGTCGAGAGAGAAAAGTCTCAGCGCCCGCAGGAAACAGCAAGACCTTGATGATGATTTGAGTTAGACGCTCAAGCTTTCCAGAACGAAGATTGGATCAATACCTTCTATGTGGATCACCATCATGCATCATGCATTATTCATATCTGTGGTACGCACGTTGTTCATTACGTCCTTGATTCCCAGCTAAGGACGGCCCTCATCCTGTCTTTGGACTTCTTACCGCTCATCACATATGTTGTATCCCAGTGGTGTATAATTTAAAGGTATAGCCCGGGTATACCCGCGGGTACACAAACAAGAAATAGTAACACTACGTACGTAAGTCCAATAAACTCAACCACAATCTCAGGCTGGTCCTCTCTATCAAGGTCCATACAGACGCGAGCAACAAGGTCGCGTACTTAGATCAGCTTCAGTGTCTTGTTCGGTGGCAGGAGGTGCATCATTTTCAACATCGTCATCAATTACTTCTGTTCTGTTCAAGTTGCACAGGGCCCACATAGAATGTGTCAGTGCGCAGTCCTAAACATGTTGAAATGAGCTCACTAGCGAGAACGACATGACGAAAGTTTGTACGTTACTTTCCTGATCGCAGCCTGACCCAAATCGTGTTCGCAGGGTTAATTTGGCGCAGTGCCACCGTCGCATTCTAGAACGCAACTCGACGGACCGAGCAATCTTCAGCTACATTTCACTTGCAAATTGCTCTTATTTTCAGCCGGACATGGCTATACACCACCTGCACCTTCCATGGCTTGGAAATCTGACGGTTACGTTGCGTGACTCAGCGGTCTTCGTTTTTATCTGTGGAGCTAATACAGATCAGGAGATATCGCACCAGTGCACCCAACAATTGAACACAAGACTACTTACTAAGGAACAATAGTTACTGCGCCTCCGATCTCAAGATAAGCAATGTCCGAACGTCATCGGCGTCACGGGCCACAGCTTGTATAGTGAAATCACGAAAACTCGTTTCCCATACTAAAGCTCGATAACAAAATTATGTCATATAGTGCGATCTACCGTCGAATTTCCTCACTAGTTCGCTGATGCGGCAGCCACATGCACCAGAGGCTATGGTCATAAGCGAAATATGTTTAATCTGCGTGTCTATAATACGCTGGCCTTCCTGTCTCTGCCTCCCATAATGATGACAGCTTCTTCCAAACCGACAGAAGAAAATTCGCGTCCATTCAGCCTTCTTGCATACAGCGCACTCCCGGGTTACCAGGACTTTGACCCGACAATATCTGATGCGAAGCCCACTGCTGATACTAGAACCGATTTCTACGACCGCAGTCTGACGAGTCGCAGATATGCCCTTGTCGGAATGGCATGTTCAAGCATCTTCAGCTGCTTATGCATCATTACAGGTATTGTCACTGTAGCCAGTCACGGAATCATGGGGGTCACCCCGCTCAACATGGTTATTATGAATGGGTCTTCTCCATTGTCGCTGCAGGCAAATATATCGGCCCTGATGCTTGACTTAATCGTCATGTTATGTACCGAGTCCACAGGCTTCGTACACGGCATCTCATTGCGCTCTGCGCTAGCATCAGAGTCTCGGCTTCGTTTCAACACCAATCTGCGCCTTCTGACCACAGCTCGTGGATGGCATAACCCTAATGGCGCCCTGCTTAACGTTATCTCGGTTGTCCTCCTCATTATATCCTACAGCTCGGCCTCAGTCGTCGTATGTCTGGACTGGAAAAATATGAATAGCTCAGAGACATCCCCAGCATTTTATGAGGGTGTTGCCATCACAGGAATACCTCTCCTCATACTGGGCATCGCACTCCTCCTCCAGGTGATCATCGCATTGTCAGCGATGCGGGCTGTCAAAATATTGACATGGAGCTCCTCACCTTTCGACCTGACCACCGCACTCGTCCACCACACGCAATTGACCCCTGCTACTTTCCGGTGCATGCGTTGTGTGTCTGACCTAGATACGTATGGAGGCCCAGCGAAGCCATCAGAGACACAGCCCTCTGCGTGGCATGCTCACCCTAGCATCCGGAAAGTTGACATTTTTCTTTGGGTTATCGTTGCAGCATGCGCTGGATGGGCCGCACTCGTCATGAGTATTTCGGACCACTCTCTGACCCTACAAACGTGGTCGTTCTCCCAAAATTATGAGGGCCCTTGGATGAAATATTATCTACCGAGTAGCAGTCCTGAGGCGGCGTGGATTCTGCTCTTTGTCAACATTGCAGCAGTCCAGGGACTGTTGACGCTTGGGCTGCATTGCTCGGAGCTCATCGTGAATGTCATTCGAGACGAAAGACAGTGGAGATGCGCTACCAGAAGGCAAGGACTTAAAGTGGCGACGAACCCGCTGAAGTCGATTTTCACTCATCCACTCTGTCTCATACTTTTTATCGTGAAGCCTTTCCTGCGTGAGTCATTCACGCCTAGTATTTTGTTGTGTTATTGAACACCGATCACAGACTGGATGTTTGGGCTTTCATTCAACATACTCACAGGCGCCTTTAACGAATCCCTAGAACTTGAAGGTTTTACGATATATATGTTCGCTGCCCAGGTTCGCCCTTAGTTCCCATGTAAAATTGTTACAACATTCTCACACATTTGCAGATCTGGAACTTATGCATTGCGCTATTTATATTTGCCTGTTCCTTCACCTTCGTCGCACTGCGCCGACCGTGCGGTCCCCAGCCAGCTGCATATGGCCACCTCCAGACGCTCGCCAACCTCATGGATGAGTGGTCGCCTGTGATGTGGTGGGGACACAAGGAGGATGGAATTCCGTACTGTCATGCTGGTAGGGTACTTGCATACTCGCGATGATGCTGCATTGACACGTTTGAAAAGGAACAAGCGATCACCCACTGCCGGATGTGAAGATGGACTGCGTTTATGCTGGTTCTGTTGCTGGGTCTCTGGTAGCCCTCTCATGAGAGGTACTTGCCTTGTTACTTTTTAAAGGGAATGTCTTGATTTCTCTTTTTAAACAGAGAAGTATATCCAAGTCAGGCTAGCGATGCATTCACGGTGCACACAATCAGCCATGCCATTGAACGAGACATAGATTTTCATGCTACCTACTGCGTTCTAGTTGGTTCTTCTTCTTATACCATTCATACGAGTCTGGGACAACTTTTAGCGGACACTTTCGATTGGACCTTCAAGCAATTGCTGAATCATTGTAATTTGGGTAGATCATAACTTAAAATCATGTAGCTGATGGACAAGTTTCCTCACGGGATCGGACCTTACTTACCACATCATCATACGATGAAACCGTTCTGTGGGATTCCACTCGATCTAGAGCGTGTTGCACCATTCGACTATGTAGGGAGCATCAAAGTGTACCTTCTCTGACACTGCCCAGGCAAGGATGCCAAGGCGCGCGCAATTTCAGCTTGCGGAAAGTGACTGACACAGAAATCTCTCCCCGTTTGATCCTGAAGCACAAGCTCACGGATGACGATGATGATAACGTCGATATGGAAGAAGGTGAAGACGAACGTTTAGCCTTTGTATTTACCATACAATTCACTCTGCCTACCCAACGTTGCAACGTCGACTCTAAGAGCCAATGCTCTGCTACTCACCGGCACCCCCATTTCCCACCTGCCCATCGCTCACATCTTTGCGTATGCCATGCATTTCGACACGTACCCCATGGGCCTTGAATAACTCGACGATGATAGCTGAATATTCGTTTATCAATCAACCGCCTCTGCACGTACTGCCATCGGTACTTCCGAAAATCTGCTATAGAGGATATTGACGCAAGACGGCTTCGGGATGGCAAAACCCACCCCAACCACCTTATGGCCGGCAGAAGGGCGAACTAGTACCAAGAGCCTGGCTAAAGGCCAAGGGCTGAAAGGTGTCATACATGTGTTGGGATAAGGAAGACAACTCACGTCAAGAAGAAGGGCACAAAGGAAAGCAAGTTCTATATAATAGGTATGGAAAAATCGCCAGAAAAGAGGATGAGGGAAGGGAACCGCTACAAAAGCATCGGCCGTACGTGGTGGCTATACACCTGCGCTTGGAAATCTGACAGTTACGTTGCGTGACTAAATGGTCTTCGTTATCTCTGGAGCTAATACAGATGAGGAGATATCGCACCGATGCACCTGAACAACACAGACTACTTACTATAAGGAACCTATACTTAGTGCGATCTACCGTCTTATTTCCTCACTAGTTCGCTGATGCAGCCACATGCACCAGAGGCTATGGTCATGAGCGAAAGATATTTAATCTGCGTGTCTATAATACGCTGGCCTTCCTGTCTCTGCGTCCTATGGCTTCTCCCAATCGAACAGAAGAAAATTGGAATCCATCCAGCCTTCTTGTATATAACGCACTCCCGGGTCACCAGGACTTTGACCCGACAATGTCTGATGCAAAGCCCACTGCTGATACTAGAACCGATTTCTACGACCGCAGTCTGACGAGTCGTAGATATGCCCTTGTCGGAATGGCATGTTCAATTATCTTCAGCTGCTTATGCATCATTACAGGGATTGTCACTTTAGCCAGGCACGGAATCTCGGGAGTAACCCCACTCAGCATGGAAGTAAACGTGGGCCCATATAGCGTTTCTCTCAATGGTATACTTTCTCTATTGCCACCACTGCAGGCGGAAATATTGACCCTGATGCTTGACTTAATCGTCACGTTATGTACCGAGTCCATAGGATTCGTACACGGCATCTCATTGCGCTCTGCGCTAGCATCAGAGTCTCGGCTTCGTTTCAACACCAACCTGCGCCTTCTGACCGCAGCTCGTGGATGGCATAATCCTAATGGCGCCCTGCTTAACGGTATCTCGGTTGTCCTCCTCATTATATCCTACAGCTCGGCCTCAGTCGTCATATTCCTGAACCAAAATGTCAATTACTCAGAGACAATCGCAAGTATTGCCATCGCAGGAATACCTCTCTTCATATTGGGCGTCGCACTCCTCCTCCAGGTGATGATCGCATTGTCAGCGATGCGGGCTATCAAAATCCTGACGTGGAGCTCCTCACCTTTCGACTTGACCGCTGCACTCGTCCACCACACACAATTGACCCCAGCTACTTTCCGGTGCATGCGTCGTGTGTCTGACCTAGACACGTATGGAGGACCAGCGAAGCCACCAGAGACACAGCCCTCTGCGTGGCATGCTCACCCTAGTATCCGTAAAGTTGTCATTTTTCTGTGGGTTATTGTTGCAGCATGCGCTGGATGGGCCGCATTCGTCGTGTCTGTCACCTGGGACCAACATCTGACCCTAAAAACGTGGTCGTTCTTCAACAATTCTTACAGCATTTACATGACATATAGTCTACCGAGTGGCAGTCTTAAGGGGTGGATTCAACTTTTTGTCAACATTGCAGCAGTCCAGGGACTGTTGACGCTTGGGCTGCATTGCTCGGAGCTCATCGTGAATGTCATTCGAGACGAAAGACAGTGGAGATGCGCTACCAGAAGGCAAGGACTTAAAGTGGCGACGAACCCGCTGAAGCCGATTTTCACTCATCCACTCTGTCTCATACTTTTTATCGCGAAGCCTTTCCTGCGTGAGTCATTGACGCCAGTATTTTGTTGTCAGTGTTATTAAACACCGATCACAGACTGGATGTTTGGGCTTTCATTCAAGATAACCACAAGCGCCTATAACGAATCCCTACACTATTTTTCGGTAATGATGTTCACTGCCCAGGTTCGCACTTACTGTATGTAAAATTGTTTCAACATACTCACACATTCTTGCAGATCTGGAACTTATGCATTGCCCTCTTTATACTTGCCTGTTTTTTCACTGTCGTCGCACTGCTCCGACCGCACGGTCCCCAGCCAGCTGCATATGGCCACCTGCAGACGCTCGCCAACCTCGTGGATGAGTGGTCGCCTGTGATGTGGTGGGGACACAAGGAGGATGGAATTCCATATTGTCATGCTGGTAGGGTACTTGCATGTTCACGATGATGCTGGATTGACACTTTTGAAAAGGGACAAGCGATCACCCGCTGCCGGATGTAAAGATGGACTGCGTTTATGCTGGTTACGGTGCCGGGTCTCTGGTACCCCTCTCGTGAGAGGTACTTGACTTGCTTTTTAAAGGGAGTGTTCTGATTTCTCTTTTCAAACAGAGAAGCATATTCATGTCAGGCTGACGATGTATTCACGGTGCACACAATCAGCCATGCCATTGAACGAGACATAGATTTTCAGGCTATCTACTACGTTCTAGTTGGTTCTTCTTATACCATTCATACGAGTCTGGGACAACTTTTAGCGGACACTTTCGATTGGACCTTCAAGCAATTGTTGAATCATTGTGATTTTGGTGGATTATAACTTAAAATCATGTAGTTGATGGACACTTTTCCTTACGGGATCTCTGCGCCGGACCTTACCACATTCTCATACGATGAAACCATTCCGTGCGATTCAATGAATTTCAGCTTGTGGAAAGCGACTCTGACACAGAAATCTGTCCCCGTTTGATCCTGAAGCACAAGCTCACAGGGGACGATGATGATAACGTCGATATGGAAGAAGGTGAAGACGAACGTTTAGCCTTTGTATTTGCCATGCAATTCACTCTGCCTACTCAACGTCGACTCTAAGAGCCAATGCTTTGCTACTCACCGGCACCCCCATTTCCCACCTGCCCATCGCTCGCATCTTTGGGTGTGCCATCCATTTCGACACGTACCCCATGGGCCTTGAATGGCTCGACGATGATGGCTGAATACTCGTTTATCAATCAACCGCCTCTGCACGTACTGCACATCAGTACCTCCAAAGATCTGCTACGAAGGATATGGACGCAGATGGCTTCGTCACAGAAAACCCATTCCAATTACCGTATAGCCGCCATAAGAGCGAAAAACCAAGAGCCTGGCTAGAGGTCAAGGGCTGAAAGGTATTATACATGCTTTGGGATAAGGACGATGACTCACATACAGAAGAAGGGCCCAAAGGAAAGTAAGTTCTATAAGAGGTATCGCCAGGAAAGAGGATGAGGGAGGGGAAGCACCGCAAAAGCGAAATTAACTGTGTGAAGCCGTTGGATGATGATCCTGATGCGGTTCTTGGAGCTGATAGACCTTCTAAAATGCGCTCCTACTCGGAGTATGCAAGTGGGTGATGCAAACCGTGGAGCGCACGTCTTCTGCCAGTGCACCTAATTCTTCGGGCCTAAAAAATCCTATTTCTGCGCGAGGAGTCCCGAAGACTGGCGCAGAGCGAGGGTTGAGGGAGAAGAGTTCCAAACCCACAAAAAAACCTTGAGGATGAGCTAGAGGCTCAGGTCACTGCTACCGTCCCGTGACGTCAGGGTTTGTTCGCTAAGCTCGAAGGTTCGATATTTGAAATCCGACAGCCTGGGCCCGGGAAGTGCCAGTCCCCGACTCCGGGGCAAGAAATGAAATGACGACAGGTTGGCAGCAAACAGCCAATATTGATCTCACTTCACGATACCAGCATAGTTTACTTATCGCCAATTCTTTCGATCATGACCTATTTGTACACGTATGATGCAGACAATCCCAGTGGGCCATAATGGACTCGGAAGACCATGATGGTACATGATACTTCTAAGCAGTGTTCCATCTTCCTTCAGGTGCTGTACGAGACTGTGTTTCATCATTTTGAAAGGTATGCTGCTTAGTACATCATCCGATTTACATACTTATCTGCACAAAGCTGCACAGTCCGAATCATATAACAGATCTAGATGCATGCCATCCGCTGGCCTCGTGTCCTTTTGTGGCTGCGGGATATATAGTACGGCGCAAACATTGCTTTGCGTGGAATGGGCTTAAGCCTCAGTCAACATCGATGTCTTCCTCAACGCAGAACCTCATCCCACAACTTCACCTCGGGAACACGTTTGGAGCACTGTTTATTGGGGTCATCTTCGCAGCAATGTCAGTAACCTATCTGTTCACGAACCTTAGTCCAGTCCTGTCGTCCTAACATGTCTCACGGAACAGTCTCTTTGGTCTAAGTAACATTCAAGCTTTCGTCTACTTTCAGTCACACAAGGGCACCAAGGTATTGTTCCCTAAGTTAGCCGTACGTTGATGCTTCCATCTCTCGGTTCAGTTGTTGATATGACATCAGGTCGTCTTGCTTTGGTATGTCCTCTCCAGTTGTCATTGTCGAACGTATCAAGTTACGCCCTTCCCTGAAATTTCAGGATATTCGACGCTCTGCACCTGTTCTTGATAGTCCACTGCGTCTATTATTATTTGGTGGTCCACTACGCAGACATCAGTACACTCACAGAAATGGTGTGGAGCTTCAAAGTGAGTTTGTTGAGACCTCCGTGCGGCCTTTACTATGATACTGATGGACTCGTGCAGCTTCAAATAGTCATCGATGTGAGTGGGTTTTCTATGCACTGCAATTGCCTACACATCCATTGCAGGTTGTAATTGTCTACGGGGTACATCTGTGAGTTAGAAATGTACTGTTGTCTACAACTTGAAGGATTCATATGATGCTTTTATTGGTTCGCAGTCTGTATTTTCATCGCATATGTATATGTATGTATTTCCACATCTATCTAATGGTTCTCAACGACTAATGCGATGTATCAGTCGCCAAGGGTCGATCAAAAGTCCTCCCTATAGCAGTGGTGGGTTTAAATCGATGATCACGTATCATGGCATTGATTTTAATGATGTAATATCAGGGCGTAATCGTAATTTCGGGTTCAGGTGAGTTTGTCATTTGATTATCATTCCTCTTCACTGGATCTTTAAAAAAATCTTCAGGTGTTGGCATCGGTAAGAGTTCAAAAACTCGGTACTTTGACAATGGTCGGCTCATCATTGTAATCCAATGACAGCCCTTATTTGGGCCTTGTGAGTAAAACAACGTACTCCCTGACTATGTGAATTACTGATAGCGAGTAGATACCGGTGTCATATGTTCTCGGATCTGATTAAAATCGAGTGGGCAATATTTATGGCTTTGGGCACGATTGCTTTCGTCGATTTCGTGATAGCATCATCGCTATGCTATCTCCTCGCTATTTCCCGTACTGGATTTTCTAAGTGAGGAGCGGTCTATTCACGCCAAGGGATTTGACATGCCAACATGGAGTACTTAGCACCGATTCTATGATAACAATGCTCATGGCTTACATTATTAACACGGGCTGTCTGACAAGGTATTCCTCCTTTCAGACTAGCCTACATTTTGACTGATACTTCATATAGCGTGTGTTCACTGTCAGTCATAATTACAGTAAGCTTCTAATGATTGTACTCTCGCGTCCATCTCGTCTCTAAAGTCCCTACAGTGCGCAGTGATGCCGTACAACTTCATCTTCATCGGCATTGATTTTTTAGTCGCTAAATGTATGACCCAAAGCATTCTCAGAATGTCGTGCTGACCACTGGTCGCTTTTCAGTATACGTCAACTCGTTCCTCGCACTTCTGAACGCGCGGTACTTCTTAGAGCCCGCTACAGAACCTGACCGTTCTGCAGAAGTCCATGTGCGCCACAACATCTACCGCCCACTGGCAGAGCCGAACGTCATGGCGTCCCAAGACGAGGAATCCTAGGGATCTCCGGAAAGCATTTGAAACATCCCGGCGATGATGTTATGGTACATTTTACTCGATCTACCATGGTAAGTAGCCGCATTATTGGCGATGAAAGAGTGCTGATTATCGCACTTCAGCCACACCGGCTCATTGAAGTGACGGTAAAAATGAATTCCTTCTTATCAGTTTGATGTATCAGTACTAGTATGCATGTATTATGTATCATCCGCCTCTTCATTGTATTAGAAGGAACAAGAATCTACATAGTCCATTATACCTCCATCTGTGGGTTTTATATATCACTAAGTACTGACTAGAACCACGAGGAACTATTAATTCATTCGGCATACACGAGTCTCCATGCGCTTAGAATCAACGAGAATCTCGCGCATACCGCTAGTGGACTTGCTATCTGCAACCTTGTCTAATACGCTGTGTCACACGCACCAAGCCACTCATAAATTGTTGTAGACAAAGTCGTCGCTTTGTGTCTGACTAACACCTTCCTCCACTAGTAGTCATTGTGTGATCGAATACATCGAGGAAGGGCATGCAACTAGTCATATTTGCAAGACGCTTCATATTCTGATATCCTCGATGCTCCACTTGGCACGAAGGTCTACCGTGTAGTCGTCATAATCACCAGCGAGGAACCGATGCATCGAAGCCCATGCAATCATCGCCGCATTATCTGTATTGAATTTCAGACCCTGTGAATCGATCGGCATATTGAAGCACTGACCTGTGCATAATTCCAGCGGGGGGAAGTGGAGCGATATGCGCTCATCAGGGCTGTACTCATCCAGTGCTGCTCGGAGTCTACGGAAGCTGAGCACGAGAAAGAAAATAGAGTTTGAAAGACTCACTTTTCGCGTAAAAAGATATTGCTGGCAACCCCGCCGCTAACGACAACATCCCTGACGATCACGTTTTTCAGCTCGAGTTTGTGAAGGCTCAACCTCAGCTTGGCACAGAGTTGACGAGCTGCGGCTGCCTGGAACGCACGAGCCAAAGCAATTTTATGTGAACTGGATAGAGGTTCTTCCATGAGAGAAATGTAGCGCTCTACTGAAGATTGTAGGGATGCAAAGGAAAAGGCAAGTTTTCCTGGCATTGGGACAGTGAACGGTTGGATGCCGGGTAGGGATTCCAGTTCATCATTTGTCACGCGGCAGAGCTCCTCGAGTGCTGCACCAGGGCCTCTGGTTCCCCAAGACAGGCCAAGTGCTCGAGCTGTCTTGTCAAACGCGCGTCCAATACTCGCATCTGCTGTTGTTGCAAGGATCTGGAATGAGGTAAGAGATGAAGCTAAAAGTAGAAGCGTATGGCCTCCAGAGATGAGCAGTGTCAAGAAAGGAAACTGTGGGAGATCTGCGGTTGGAGTCGTGAGCAGGGGGGTCAAGGCGTGTGCTTGCTGAAATCAAACGAATGAGTGTAGTGCTCAAAAGAAAGTGTATATGCGAACGAACCATGTGGTGGACACCGACGAGAGGCTTACCGAGGGCGGCGGCGAGGGACTTTGCGGCATTCGAGCCCACACTAAGGCAGCCTCCAATTCCTACAGACAACTTATGGGTGAGGAACGTTTGATGCAGATTGAAGAGAATACATAGATACCTGGACCTCGCGTAAATGCAATCCCGTCGATGTCGTGAATGCTAATACATGCCTGTTCGAGAGCCATTCTGACAGCACCCGGCTAAAGACTTAAGTCAAAGCAAACAATTCGAGAGAAAGGAACGCATTCACCATGTTACGCTGGTGTGCTTCAATGGCTACAGATGGATGAATACCACCGAAACCTTCGTGGCTGATTGATTTGGGATCAAACAGACATACGCTGGACACAGAAGGGACTCACAGATCATGCTGCTTCACAACAACGTTTGAAAGTATTTGACGCGAGGATGTCACGACGGCTGCACAGGTGTCATCCGCTGAGCTCTCGAAGCCAAGAACAGTAAATGTTCGCCTTCCCGTACGCGCTTGGAACGTCCTATGCGCTATAACAAAATTTTGTTGGTATGGACTCGGAGCGACCAACGATATAGTTTCTTACCAGTAAGAGGAACATCCCTCAGTCGTCGAAGTAATAAGACATTCTGTCTGCAAAGCCCACTTCCGAGAATGGGCATGAAAAATGGTGTCGAAAGCGTCGAAAGCAGCGTCGTCGGTTTGCTGCTGTTTGTCTGCGTCGGTCGCACATTAGATTCTTTGCTTTTGGCTCTCTTCGTAAACATTCGTGACGATGCGCCCAGTGGCAACGTTTAACGTGTCGAGGTGCTCGCTGCTATCATGTCCTCCTCAACGCATACCTCCATCCTTTGTCGCGCTGAGACGCGCGCTTCCAGTCCTTGCTCGCCGTGCTAACAGTTCTACTACTGATGAACGAACAGTCAACCAGAGTGTAGCGTTACTCGACTCTATAATGGGATCTTCATCAACCCTCGACTTGAAGACTTCATCGCTGTCAGATATATTATCTCCCCCCGCACCCCCAACCCAGAACTCAACTCCAGACCCTTCACAAATGCTTATTCCGCCAGCATCCGACCCCCTTCTTCATTTCCTCGCATCTTCCCTGCTCAACCACGGAAAACGTGCAAGGGCAGACCGCGTCGTCTCCCGCACACTTCTTTATATTCACGCTCTTACCCGCGCGCCGCCGCTACCTATCCTCCGCCATGCTCTCATCACTGCTTCCCCTGCTGTCAAGTGCATATCACAGAAGCGCTCAGGAAAGAACGTTGTGAGACCTGCCGCGCTTACAGAAAAACAGCGCATAAGGGCGGGTATTCATGCTGTATTGGCTGCCAGCAAAAATAAAAGTGGCAAGACGGTAGAGGAGCGTTTAGCCCGAGAGATTATTGCTGTTGTTAATGGAGACAGCAAAGCTATTGCTGACAAGGAGCTAGCACACAAACAGGCTATGGTCAATAGGTATGTGCAACATTGATGTTGGGTAACTCTTATTGACATATCGCACAGGGGCAACGCGCTCGCGAAGTGAGGACTTGCATGTTTACCGTATTCTCCCTTCCTGTAATGGATCGCCGAATTCAATGCAGTCTAATTGCGTGGCTCTCCAACCTCTTTGATATGATGTAGCGAATACTACACTACTTTCAGTCCTTCTGTTCTAACATTCGAATAGTCTACAGTTGCGTTGACTAATTTTCCGCAGCTAAGAAATCCAAAAAACGAAATGCTGCATCGATGACCGATCTCCCTCGGGTGACTATTGACAACTAGTTCAAGGAGATGCAGCAAAACGAGATTGCGGAGATTCAAGGAGAGAATGAGTTATTCGCAACGAGAACAAGAGTATCAACAGTGATCTTGCAAGCGTTCGCGATGATCCAGGTGCGGCGGGAAACAGACGCATTTAGGACGTTGAAGCACTGGAAGAAGTCATCCCTCTTTCCCGTCACCAACCCTGATAACAATTCTCTCGGGTTACTAATGCCTTTGCATGTTCGCGTCCTACTCGATCTTGCGCGCAAAAAGGTTTTGGAACACCTCGGCCATGAGACATGAGAAGACCTTCGCACTCCCCACAGTGCTAGTGTCTATCAATTTGTAGATGCCCATCTTCAATGATATCAAAACGGAAAGGTGTATCACACTCTCCATCATCCGAGTCTATCTTTATCTTATGTTCATCAGGCGGGCAGGAATACGGCTGCTCACATGCACAGCGCGCGATTACGAGAGCTGCCTCTTGTTTGGGATGAAACACAACATCACAGTTGCCTTCACAGATTGTCAAGGAAGGTTTTAAAATTCACGTTTCTACTTGGGATGTCTCTTTTCTTTGTTGATCGGTTGCTCCCTTGAAGCAGCGGCCATCGTTGCGAGTAAGATGGAATTGCTTGAAAGCTGTCATGGTAAATAATGGTAAGGTCACTACCGCGCACGTTCCACACCTTGTCGCGGAATGCTTATCCCTCGTCCTGATCCTCGTTGCATAGAACCCTAGTCAGCTGCCCAAACCCTCGAATAACCTTCCGATACTAGTAATATCCATACAGCGAGGATTAAGGCGAGGACACTCTGCAATAAGGTGTGGAACGTACACGATAATGGTCAAATCAGGAAAAGGCTTTACCAGTGATCAGTAATTGACGTGTTCAGGGACTCGGCCCTATTGGGAGCCAATCTACTTCAGAATGGTAACAGGTCGTCACTACACACTAAATGAGCCGCTTCTATATAGATATCGAGCACGCATACCATGCTGCGTTCAAGAAAAGGACTAAAAGAACAGTTTTTAACTTTCAACGACACTTCCATCCACGAACAAGATCCAGTACCAGCCTACCAATGGTCTGAGGAAACCGCAAACTCTACGTCGATTCTGGTGGTAAGGACATCGGGGCTAGTCTCGGCAGGGGTAGAAAAGATACCAGTGTCGACACATCCGTGCAGGTTGAGCATCAGGCGAGAGATGAGAGTAACAGACATGCTGAGGGTCGTGATTAGGGTCGTTTTGTGTCTATCCCATCAACTACTCACCAAGTAGTAAATACACTCAGGCTGCCTCTGATGTTTTCCTTGCAAATTGTCAGAAAATAGTCAACCTGGTGAAACATGCGGGTATGCTCACTGAACCACACTAAATCATGGTGTGAGCATGCGACTGAACTATCCTTCATACGCTGACTTACGAGGTGCGTCAGAATGTTGGGTAAATTGACTAATGTCATTCCTCTGAGAGAAAGCGGATCAGCTTCACTCGTACAGTTTCGCTAGCACTCTCACACGAAGTACATCACACCTGCGCTCGGTTGGTTCAGTGTTTACAATACCGGTGCGACGAAAAATACCATCTTGGAATATGACATCAAGGATATCTCTCCTGGATAATAGGGAGAACCGCAATCCTCTAGTTTTCCAGGCCCTGAAGACTGTGAGGACAAAGATGAGTAATTCGTAGATAAACATTGCCATCCAAGCCATCCCATGATCTGCGATTGGATAATTCCGTAGTACCATCAATATACATCCAGATATGACTTAGAATGCACTGACGGACAGTTCTGGCAGGACTTTTGAGCAGGCGTGTGGAATGACGAAGAGAATGACATACGTTGCTGTCGTGTATATTTCATGGCAGTCGCCGGCGTCGACCCCAGCATCTGAGTCATCTCCAAAAGTTACCGCCTAAAACTTGAAGTTCAGCAGACTCTCAAGTCCAAAATTCTTCGTGAACACGTACTAATGCTCCTGCTATAAGAACAAGTCCGATGATCCCCATCCATTTAAGCAGACGCCTGCTGCGGCCGTAGAGAGCATAAGTGCGAAGAGACAGTGTGACTGAAAATTTGAAACATTCAGCGTGTCTTTCTCGCGATACACTTCTAACTCACGACAAATAAAAATTTGCTGGAAAAAACGTAACACCTGTACGACTAGCAAGTACTTCGAACAGCTAAGTCTTTGTTGAGCAAAATCATAGATATTCAAGAGAATAAAGTTGAAACCTCTGCGGAGATAAAGTGAGCCTGCCAGTCGAATACACGCACAATATTAATGTAGCACCTTAGGTGAAACGGGTAGGAAATTGCTAATTAGGACAACAACACCCCCGAGCACGGCGAGATAGCGATTGATGAGAAATAGCACTGCAGATGTTGCTTTCGGGCGACACCAGATCAACATGATTTCTTCTGGGAGGGTCGCCATGTGGTCGTATATCAGGAGACCTAAAGTATTCAGTTATCATCTTGAGAATCAAGATGAAAAGTCGTAGTACTGATTGATGCGAAAAGGATGTACAGGTACACCGACCTGGCAAATTGGAATATTAGTTCGCGATCAGCATACATAGTAAACCAATGGGTTTATCACTCACACATGCTGCGCTTCCGAGTCAGTAATATACATTAGAAAGACGATATAATGAGAGGAAGGGGTGTTGAGACTTGAGATTGACAGGAACGTTAACGGTTTGATATTGCTGTTGTACTGTATAGCCTACCTCCTCCCCAATTATCAATCATCCACCACTAATCCACTGTACCCAGCAAGGGCGGTCACACTCGGTAAACTGAACGGAAATGGGCGGAGATGGCCTAATCTATTTCCTGTCCATGGCGTTGATCAAGGTCCGAGGCCAAGGGGACAAAATCGACTGTTTCGGTGATACGTGGGCCTGGACTACATAGTTAGACACTGGAAATGCGGCAGTGCAACACTGAGCACTACTAGCACACTGGTCGGGGGTCGGGAATTTGGAATCGGATAGTGGCATAGTATCGCCTTGTCCGGCTACATTCACCGGCCATTTGCCGGCCGTGTCATGCACGTTCTGTTGAAAATGATCACAGGTTCTTATACCCTTGGATATAGACTCGAACATGTCCTAAGTATATCAGGCTGGGCACTACCGCCGGCCCAAAAAGTTACCCAATTTGGTAACAGGTGCGGTGTATGCCCATTGCCTCGTGTATTAGCATCCTGAAGTTCGGCTCATAGCAACTAGTTTTGTTTCAAACACCATGGACAATCTTCCTGACGGGGTCTCTGCTCCAGAACTTACTACATTGTCATACGATGAATCCGTTCCCTATGAATCACAAGTTCCTACTCATTCATCCAGTGATCCAGAGCGAGCTACATTGCTCAACCGCATAGGGAACACTAAAGTGTACCTTCTCTCTGACACTGCCCAGGCAAGAATTGCCAAGGTGCGCTAATAGTATGTCAATTTCAGTTTGCAGAAAGTGACTCTGACACGGGAGTCTGTCCCTGTTTGACCCTGAAGCGCAAGCGCACAGAAGGGGACGATGATGATGACATAGATATGGAAGAAGGTGAAGACGAACGTTTAGCTTTATTATTTGTCATACAACTTACCCTCTGCTGCCATCAGAAACAACATCGAGTCTAAGGGCAAATGCTCTGCTGCTCACCGGCACCCCCATTTCCCACCTGCCTACCGCTCGCATCTTTGCATATGTTACCCATTTCGATACGCACCCCATAGGCCTTGAATGGCTCGACGATAATAGTTGCATCCTCGTTTATGAATCAACCGCATCTGCACGTACTGCACATCGGTACCTCCAAAAATCTGCCACAGAGGATGTGGATGCAGACGGCTTCGTCACAGCAAAACCCATTCCAATTACCTTATGGCCGCCAGAAGAGCGAATAACCAAGAGTCTGGGTAAAGGTCAAGGACTAAAAGGCATCATACGCATGCGTTGGGCCAAGGATGATGACGTAAAGAAGAAGGGCGCAAAAAGGGAAAGCAAATTCTATAAGAAGTATGGAGAAAACGCCGGGAAAGAGGATGAGGGAGGGGAAGCATTGCAGAAGAGAAGAAGGAGAGATGATTCAACTGTGCGAAGCCAGTTGGATGATGACCTTGATGAGTTTCTTGGAGCCGATAAACCCTCCAAAATGCGTTCCGACTACGTGGATGGGTCACGCAACACCGTAGAGCGCATGTCTTCTGCGCCCAATTCTTCAGACCTAAAAAATCGCATCTCTGCGCGGTTGCCACGCCACGCGAGGGGCCAGCTTGCGTACCAGTCAGTTGATTCGCCAATTGACTCTGAAGAAGACTGGCACAGAGCCAGGGGTCGAGGGAGAAGAATTCCACGCCCACAAAAAACGCAGCAAGACCTTGATGATGAGCTAGACGCTTTCCTGAACGAGAAGGAATAATTCCTGCCACGTCATCGTCTGTGGTACGCACGTTTGCTCATCACGCCCTTCATTCCCTGCTGGGGACGATCCGCATTTCATCTTGTCTTGGATTTCTTATTGCTTATTACATGTTCCCAGTGGTGTAAAAACATTCGCCTACATTGCGTATTGACTGCGTATAATTTATGATGTGGTGCATGTTCTGTGGTGACGTGGTGCGCAGTCGTAGCTCCCACCTGAAGACTGCAGTACTGCATGTCGAATACTAAACATGTTCAAATGAGCTCACTAGAACTGTCGAAAGTCCGTTCCTTTCCTAATTGCGGCCTCACCCAAATCGTGTTCGGCGGATCCCATCAAGATTTCAACTTCAATGCAGCGCCACCGTCGGGCTCCGTCAATATAACTGCGTTCTCGTAATTAATTGAACGCAACTTGGCCGAGCAATATTCAGTTACAACTGTGCTCATCATGGACCACGATGTTGACGACGATACCCTAATCAATCTGGAAGCGGGTCTACATCCTCAACAAGGTCGTACCCAAGATGCGTCCAACTCTGACTCTTGGTTAACCACTATGAATAGCAGCTTTACGCGACTCCTCACCCTTGGCATTTTTCAAAACCGAGTTTCAAGCCATCACCATGGTGTACCAAGCTATGCGGAGGATGTTGACAACGTTATGCACGCGAATGACGAAGACCTGACCGGGATGAAAATCATGTTCCAAATGGATTCCTTTCCGACCAACTTTGTCACTATGGATTGCAGCAAACAGACCGGAGTGTTTTGTGTCTCCCCCAGCAATGCAGCGCCCCCCAGTCATTTCCGTTTTGAATCACCTATCACATCGCCACCATCTGCGACTTCAAGCAATACCCCTCTGCTCACTCCGGATTCTTTCGTTGGTATCCTGGATTCTACGTCACTGGAGATCGCCGACACTCAGTCCGGCCTCGCATTTCCTTTGCATATTTCTCACAGGAGTCCGACGCTGTCCCTAGAGCATAGATGTTCTATCAATGATGGGAAAATGTCGGAGCGTCCTCGAGTGAGCTGTATTAAAATTACAAGAAATTCCGGACCACTGCTAAGACCGAGGTCATCTTTTGTCATAACTGTGACCGACTGCGACACGACTAATGTTACAAACGATAGATGAAAAGGTAAACGAATTCAGTATTTCATGGTGATAAAGAGAGGTTGATGGAGTGTTGCCTTCAATACTAGAACTGTACTCGGGTCTCGAACTTCTTGATTGAATCTTGAATCGCTTTCTGTCTCTCTCCCTCACACATCTCATGGTATGGCGTCGATCCCTGCCACCCTGCCCATGCCGTCTCGTTCAATGCGCCCCACCATTCGTCTTTGAACGGGTGTCCTGGTGCGCCAGCATAACCCCAAGGCTTGGATGTGTAAGGCTGCACGAATGGATTGAGCACCGTCACAAGACTAGGATGAACTGGTCCTGTGAAATGCACGACTCCAGGATCCTTCATGTCTCCCAGTGCTAGGATATCTCTATCAGCTGAGCTAATCTCTGCGTAGGTTCCGAGTCCCTGTGCATTCCAGCTCAGGTTCACTTCGGCCCAATCGCCAGCAAAGTGCACATTCAGCACGTCTTGGTCACGATAGCGAGCGTCTTTCATCTCACGCACCCGAGCCGCAAGCTCAGACAGATGCGTTCTTGCCTTTGCCAGGTCAATCAGGAGCATGCCTGCGTTGAAGTACCGCCTTCGTGAGACGCCATCATGGCCCATTGGGAATCCAACATCCATCGCTGCCCCAATAGAGGAGCCCTCCAAATCGGTGTTCCACAACTCTTCCAGGCTCCTGCGCACCAGCATGTCTGCGTCCAGGTATAAAGCCCGCTCCACTGGCAGGATCTTCATCATATCAACTTTCGCCCAAGCTACGCCTAGTTCTGCAGCTAGACTCCCAGCTGGAAGATCCAGGAATACTAGGGTGACATCGTGTCGTTTGGGAAGCGACGACTTGATCTTTTCTTTGTCTTCGGCACAAATACCACAGTCTACGATATAAATTGTCATACGTCCCGCGGTCTTCTCGATGGCGCTGCGAATCGTGACAGCGGCTGCCATCGCATATGAGGTGTCGATGGCGAGGACCAAATAGATCCCTAAGCCTAGAGCGCTTGCGAAGTCCCGCTCAGCACTCTGCTCCACGAGGAATCCGATTCGCATTTCACTGGTCTTCCTCAAAATCATCTGGTATTGCTCTGCAGTATTGGACAGATGCTCGTACTCCCCTGCATGAAGTGCAAGGAATGCATCGATTCCGCGGCGGGGATGATGCATACTTTCGACGGGCTGCTCGGGCCAATTATAGTCATCGAAGATGAATATACATCCGTTGCGCGCAAGGCGCCATGCAAGTTCTGCATCTAGGAGCGTATCATCTGAGCGGTGCGATCCGTCCACATACACCCAGTCAAATCCAGCGCTTGTGCCCCGTGCTATCTCCTCTTCCAGAAGCGCATATAGTGCGGGAACGCTGTACTGTGGGAGTATGCGAAATGAGCGACCTGTCCGTGGAAGATTCTGCGAGAGCTTGCGGTGGCGCTCACGTCCCGCAGGAGTATGCATAAGGTCGAAATGGTCGATGCAGACTATCTCACCGCCTTGAGCGCAGAGCGTGGTCAGCAGAAATACTGCGGAGCGCCCTTCCCAGGACCCGATCTCTAAGATACGTGGCTTAGGCGAAGTAACGAATGGGAAGAGGCTTTTCCAGGATGGAATATTATGGGTAAACCAATCTTGTGTTGGTGTAAACTCGTACTCATTTGTAGATGCAGACATGTTTGGCTGCAGTTGATAGTCAATGTGAGTATCTCAATATGTGCACGAGGAGTGAAACTGACCTATGGGCGCAGGTCTTATCAACTGGTCCTGGTGCTGTTTTGACGCCTTTCAAGATTGGTGATTTATACCTGTCTATGTGTAGCAGGAGTCCATCAGGTCGTCGTATCATTTTCTTTTCAATTAATCCCTTACTTTGGGCAAAATCTCATTACCTTTAGGTGGCAGATCTTTGTGGTCTCTGATTTGAACCTTAGGGCGATGGTGGTGCTTATCAGGTCCACTGGAATTTTCTATCAGCACTGCTGCATCCCAACCAGTACAAACAGGTATAAATATATTCGGGACCGTCGATCCCACTAATATATAAACCACAGAAAGCCCTCCTTATCTCCCATCTGTCTTTTGCAGTCTTTTGCCCACCATATCATTAGACGCGCTCGCTTGCGCTTTGTCTTGATCATCCTGTGATATATTTTCGATAGAAAAAGTGCACACAAGTTCCTCTCTGTCGTTCGAAGCAGCTCAGACTGGGTTATACACCATTGCTCGAGCTCGTGGGTATGTTTCCGAACCATAGCATACAGCGATGAACTCAAATATTGCAGTCAAAGAAACAATGGCAAACACCGGTGGCCCACGTCGGTTTCTCATCACCGGCGGGAATGGCTTCATTGTACGGGCTTTTTGTTATTTACATGGAACAATGTTAAATTTGATGTCCACTAGGGGTCATATATCGCAAAGGCATTATTTGAGAAGGGCCACTATGTTCGTATCGCAGATATCAAGCGGACCTCTTACTTCAATGAGCGCATCTCAAACGAGGTTCTCGTTGGAAACCTCTGCGATCTGTCATTTTGTGAAAGCGCTGTTCGAAGCATGGACACAATCATGCATTTTGCCGCGACGATGGGTGGCATGGGTGCAATCCACGAAGCAAATGATTTCGTGATTTACAATGACAATTCAATAATGACATTCAACCTCGTACATGCCGCTGTACACCAGGGTGTCCAGCGTTTCTTCTATGCATCATCTGCCTGTGTTTATCCGACATCATTGCAGCACCAAGGAACAAACCACATAACCCTCCGCGAGCACGACGTATGGTCTTCTGGGACCCCAAACCCACAAGGCCTCTACGGCCTCGAAAAGCTGAACTCCGAGCTGCTTCTGATGCAGTTTGTCGAGAAAATGCAGATACGCATTGCTCGATTCCATAATATTTTTGGCCCATATGGCGCGTGGGTTGGCGGGCATGAAAAAGTGCCTGCTGCACAGCTCAGAAAGGCGCTCGCTGCATACATGGATCCTACCACACAGCATGAAATCGAGATCTGGGGAGATGGGAAGCAGCAGCGAAGCTTCCTCTACATTGACAATTGCGTCGAAGCGATTCTCCTTCTCCTTGAATCCGACTGTAGCGAACCAATCAACATTGGATCTGACTGTTCGGTGACCATCGACGATCTCACGAAAATTGCCGTGCAATCTGCAGGCATGGACGTAGGAGATGTCTGTTTCAGATACATGGATGATTCTCGTCCTGTCGGCGTCCATTCCCGCAATTCAAACAATGAGCTCATCACGAAAACATTGAGCTGGACTCCAAAGATATCCCTCGAGGCCGGTATGATGAAGACCGCAAACTGGATCAGAGGGGAAATGGATAAGATGCTTAACGTCACCGATAAGACTACCCGAACAGAGCTTCTGAGCAGTTTCAAAACGAGCAAGGTCGTATACTTGAATCGGCCCACCATCACATTCGCTATCCTACTTCCCATCACATCCCGTGGTCTCGAGGGACCCGAGAAGAGCCTCGAAAACCTTCGAACCTTTGCAAAATCCCTTGCACGCACTACTTGGCGTGACACCCGCGAACTTGGACTCGTCCACTTTCAGGTGAAGATATACTTGGGAATTGACGCCGACGACGAATTTCTCCTGCGTCGTGCGGGAAACAGCGAAATGTTAAACATCGAATTACTATTATCAGAGGAGGGAATCACGGATGTTTCTACCGAGATCTGCAACGTACCCCGCGGTCATGTCTGCGCCATTTGGCGCCAGTGTGCACATCGGGCTTGGAAGGAAAAGGCGGACTATTTCGTTCTAATGGGTGATGATGTCGTTCTCCTCGATGAAGGCTGGATGAGAGACATCCATGAACAGTTCGCGCTGATTGCACAACACGAACATGTCCCTCAAGGTATGGGATGCGTCGCCTTCACAGATGTGACTTTTCCCGGAATGCCCACATTCCCCGTTATCCACCGCACTCATATGAATGCCTTTGGCGGCCAAGTCATACCCAATGTTTTTATTAATCAAGACGGGGACCCATTCCTTTTCCAGCTGTACCGCAAATGGGGCTGCTCCAGAATGATACCATCAAGACTTTGCAATGGCATCGGCGGAAGCCTACCTGCACGATATATTCAACAACATGCAGATGGATGGACGTTCGGTCCGTTGACTGAGGCAGCTTCCGCACTGGAAACATCGTTGGCGACATCTTTCCCGGCCGCTACTCGCAAAATGACCTTGGACATCATTATTCCAAGCTACCGGGTTCTGCTCCCTTTCCTCAATGTCATTCTTGCCCTCAAGGAGTCTCCAACTTGTGAAACTATGTTCATCATCATCATCGACAACCCGCACTCTCCTAAAATCACCGAGCTAGAAGCAAAATACGCCCATCGCCCAGACATCCGCATCCGTATCAATGAAAGTAACCTTGGCGCCTCGGCGTCACGAAACAGAGGCATGAAGGAATCTGCCGCGGATTGGATTCTATTCCTTGATGACGATGTCATACCTCAAGATGACATCCTGATCGAGGCTGAGAAAGCCATTCGCGCGAATCCACAGGCTGCTGGTTTTATTGGAAACACCTATTTCCCGGTTGCTAGCACTGTCTTCACCAATGCCGCTCATATTGCTGGCGTGACTTACTTCTGGGACATCGCTGCGAAAATGCCAGAGAATGAGAGTGACATGCCCTGGGGTGTCACAGCCAATCTCATCGCCCGCCGTGTTCAGGACGGTGTGGAATTTGACTTGCAGTTCCCGAAAACAGGTGGAGGAGAAGACATCGATTTCTGTCGGAAGAAGCGTGACTTCTCTGTTGCTCATGGGGGCGAAGGATTTTATCCTGCTCCTCGTGTCATCGCAACTCACCCTTGGTGGAACGATGGTCAAAGATCATACTGGCGTTTTTACATGTGGTCCAAAGGCGACGGGAGACTCGTGAAGCTCTACCCAAGTATGACGTATCTAGATTACACTCCCAACAGCGCAGAGCTGTTCCTGATTAGCACAGCATTGGCATTCCTAGGCGCGTTCACATACCTCTTCACAAAGGGCTCTGTCGTGTTCATTGTTTCAATGTGTCTCGCATTGGCGACCGTCATTGCAAACATAGCGCATGATATGTTCCGTCATTTGTGGAGAGATACGAATCGCACAAAAGCTCTCAGGTCTTCACTCAGAGGGCTAGGATGGGCTGTCGCAGTTGCCGAAAGTGCGCTGATCAGGATGGCAAGCGAGGGTGGGAGGTTGATCGGCCTGCTTGAGCGGGGAGACGTTATGTTCGTCGGGCATAGATTTGACTGGTTCACAGGTAGGGCAGGAGACGGTCCGATGAACGAGGAAAGAATGAATGGACAACAGAGAATGGCACTGGTTGCTCTCATTTTTGGTGTGTTGTGTTTCAAGTTTTGCTACTAGTGATGGGTCCGTCAGTTTGATTCGTGTAGGGCTTCTACTCATCCTTTCTCTGAGTCCGTGCGTCTGTTGTGATTGTTGTTGTACGATATGTATCATTCTATGAGTACCCTTTTTCTGAGTCCGCATGGCTGTCATGATTGATGTACCATATGTATCGGAATTTTAGCCAGTTGGATATATCGTTACTCCAGTATCAGGTGAACAAGCAGAGAAAGATCTAGTTCCATGCACTATGAAAGGTGTAGTGAATGAGCGCTGAGCTTGAGAAAGTGAGGAAAGGCGATTGACAGGCACCCAAACATCAGTGAATTGACGAGTCCTCGATATTGTAGCCGTGGGAAGTATAGCACGATGTAATTCTGCTGCCGCCAAATATTAGCTTTTATACTGCGAGCAATTTGAGTTGCACATATATACCCATGTATGCTTGTAAATCCAGCTTAACATGAATGATTTATGACAATGCTGGAACATTCCGCCTTTGCAGCCAATGAGTAGTGGTAGTATACCCGAGCCAATCGTTTTGAGCTTCGACATCTCACCTAGTCTCATTTTTTAATTACAATGTTATTCAAGGCCTTTTCAAGGAAAGAGCCTCTGGCATTTGTCAATTAATCTAGAATGCCATTAGATTTAGCCACAAAGCTATGACATTCCTCCTTTTCAGACGATGAGGGGTGGTAGTAGACTTATTCTAACTATTTCGTGTATTGCCGTTTGGCCCTATTTATTTGTCCTATTACAATGCTATTCAAGCCCTTCTAATACCTTTGGTGCTGGACATGTATTTTTGTAACACATCAGGTAAACATAATTCACTACAGAGTGCTACAGAGCGCTCTGTAGCACTCCGTAGCACAATCCAACCTGCTGATGCCAGTAAGTGCAGCCCTTCATTTTGCTGTAATGGGGAGCCGCAGAAATCAAAATTTCATTGCGGTCGAGAATGTACTAATTGATAATTTGATACATGCATCATAAAGGATAAAGGAATCGTGGAATATTGCAACCTGACTTAAGAAAGTTAATCGTGATAGCCAGAGAGCGTGAAAGCAAAAACGGGGGTAAGATCCAAAGCACAAGAGTGAGTATGAGTAAAATATCAATGAAGTACTATCAATGGGCTTTGCCATTGGCCTTCGTCGTGGTAGATGGTGTGCCATTGCTCTTGCCACCTGTAATGGGCCGAGGCTTCTCAGCAGACGTCGAGGCTCCCGCAGACGCTCGTGGTGCAGCTTCCTTCATCACCATTTTGGTATGAATGTCCTCCAATTTCGATGCCTTGACTTTCTTGGGCCAGAAAAGTGTTATGAAACTGCGGTCAAAGATGAACATCGATACAACTAGTCTAGGTGTTAGTACTCACGCCCAAAGATGTCGACGCCATCGCTCTCGGTCCTCTCCAGCGGCTTGTTTATTCTGAAGAACAATCTCGATGCGTCGTCCAATAGCGGCTAAAGAATCCTTGAGAATGGCAACTTTATCGTCTTATATGCCAGAACCTGCAGACATTTGGAATTAGATGGACTTAAGAGACCACATAAATGTTGACTTACTTGGAAGCTTTCCTTCCCTGCCCAGGCGTTGGCACCCAGATTTCTACACGCAGCTGTTTAGATGTGATGGCATCTCGCAAAAACGAGTGTGCCAGGGTGTGGGCTGAGCGTGACACTCGGAAGACCACTAGCCTTGCCTCCAGCACCTAGATACTCGAGGACGGAGTTGATACGAAAGATGTGTGTTGCGACATAGTGAGAATCCTGCCCGTGGACAGAGTAGTAGTCTGTGCGATCAAATAGACGGATCGTTCCAGTTTCAAAAGATTTCTTTGGGAGTTTGGAAAAGAATGCAATGAAAGGTCAGAGTTGAAATTTCTGTCGTCGAGCAATCGAAGACTCACTCGGTTCATGCTCTGCATCTTTCCCTTCCCATACACGAGAGCCATGCTACCGTTAAATCTTGACTTGATAATAGAAGGAAGAAGTGAAAGATAAAATGTGTCGCGTCACGCGTATTGAAAAAATTGCTCCCGGTCTCTTTTGCAAATCTGCTCGTGTATTAGTAAGAGTCTAAGACTTCAAGCGCTTTAGTGTCTGCGCGCGTTAACAACTCATGCCGTGAAGATCATAGTGGAGATGTTTTGAATGCTCGGAGACAAGTACTTATACGGATTGGCAAGACAGATTTGTAAGTATGACATCGAAACAACTTGAACACAATCACAATGCGCAACGAGGAACTAGTATGACTGTCAGTCCGATGAGATGAAAACATATGCGAGCTCGAGTCAGAGTAGATATCTAGTAAGGCAGGAGATATACTATCAAACACCCAGTTACCGTAGTGCACGATGCATGCTAATCAACAATGCCTCAAATCTCAAGCGTTCATCCTCGGGCAACATGCGTAGACGAGACTTTGTGAACGTGTAATAGACCTTGTTCTCCTCGCCGCGAAAGTCCAAAGCTGCAGACCAAGGACCCGCTAAGGCTTTTTGCAACGACCAAGCACGCGAGGTTACTGCAAGGGCGATGACATTGGTAAGGAGGGGTTGCCAAGACTCTGTATCGAGGGGAATATAACGAGAGTATTGCTTGCAGGATATGATGTGTTCTAACAAGTCAAAGATGGCTTTGTGGCCACATGGAATTCGACACAACCTGATTTGCCTGTCGTCCATGGTCACCTAAAATGTATAGAGTATAGTGAACACCGAAAACGTAAGGTTTGATCACAAAACTCGGACCTACCTCAACAATTTTATCCGCAAATAGAAAGTCTGATAGCAGGGCTGCAATATTTGCGACCCGTGCTGCTTGCATTTCGTCTCTTGAGAGAGATAGATCAAGGCTCAAGTCATAAGCTGATATCCAAGAGATACTGGCGATCTCCTCGAAGTCGCCATGTATCTCCTTCGGGATTGCTTTGAGCCTCGCGAGAAGGTTCTTAGTGTCCGGCCCCGATTTCCAACGGATGAGTTCATGCCCGTGGTTGACGTTATTGCTGGTATAGCAAGCAATCGTCGCGTCTAACGTGTTGTTGGCAATGGTGGAGAGTTCAGATGCAGACGGAAAGAGATTGTCTTCGAATAAGTTCTTGAACTTGTCGGTCCGAGCGTCCCCTTTGAAATCCTGGAGTAACATTGGTGTTAAAAAGACGAATGACGAGGACGCCTGTTCCATGGACAGGGATAATTCCTGGGTGACATATTTGGAATTGAGGAACTTCGTCCGGGTAGAGGTGGCACGTTTGGTTTTGCGGGAGGTATGCCTACCCCGGATCAACTTTTTCGTCACTTCAGGTATGGGGTCAAGGGGGGCCTGAACGTTTGAGTCGTCGGATCTCATGAAGTAGTAGCCATCGTTAGACATGGCGGGCTGAGAGTTGTTTGAGCTGTGGGATACCACGGAATGGTAGGTGTCAGGAAGGGGAGGAGGATCGTCCGTGCCATGTGATAGAGTGAAATTGTAGTTGTGACCGCCGTAGTAATGGCCGCCCCCATCATGCACTTGGAAAGAATGGGGTAGCGTCATTTGCACGCCCTGCTGGCTGCTACCTGAGGGCACCAAGTAGTTACCGTGTTAAACTTAAAGATCGTTGAAGTTAGAACGGCAGAAATCAATTATACACCAAATAAATACCGTTCAGGTGGCCACTATCGTGTGTTGGCACCTCGAGATGGCCGCCGGCAGAGAATTGGGAACCGGGCCCATCATACTGCTGGACTGGCTGCTCCAATTCAAAGTCGGCATTGCCTTGGGTGTTCGGGTAGCTGTCGTAAGTGTGATGACCTGCACTGGGTCCTGCGTAAACTTGAAGATCGTGAGTGCAGAAGGCTGATGCAACACGAAAAAACTTACCATCACCATGATCAAAGGCGGCGTGAGTCTGCCATTCAAAATCTGACATGTCCATTATGCGAGAGTCTGATCGATAACGACTTGTAAGCGGCAGTGGGTGAAAGTAGAGGGGAAAAATTGACCGTGATGCTTCGTATCCCCACCGGTAGTCAAATCTTCAAGCTCGGCATGCCGGACGCGATACCAAATCTATTGGACAACATTATTAAAACTTACAATATTATTATTTCGATCTCGTTGAATTAGGCCCCTGTAGCTCAACACAGCGTCCGATTGGAGGGACGTACTTATTTCCTGTTTGGGATGCCTACACATTTGACAAGTCGACGCGTCAGAAGGGCATCCTACATTAATTCCCGCTATCATAAGGTTTGGGGTGGAACAAGGTGCAACTCGTGTCGTCGCCAAATGGAGTTCGATTGCATTGCGCAGCCCTACGGCTAGTAGCTTCCGAGCCTCGCACCTATGAAATTCGGAACCTTCCACTGAGTCCAAATTAGTCGTGTCAGCCAATTTTGAATTCAGCGTCGGCTGCTGTCAACTGACTCGAACTCAGAACGCTTCTCACTACCATCCAAAGTCACAAGCACCCGAAACACGCCCTCTGAAGCGCGAGCAAGGACTCATCAGAAGTCAAAAAATACGAAGACAAGTAACAAAACATCCGATCACACGAAGAGAATGAGCACTACGAAGAAACGAGGCGTGAGAAAAGAGCACTCGATATATCCACGGAATTTGCAAAATACGATATAGCGGGAATAACTATACAGTAATTGTCTAGAGGGGCCTCCATTTATGTCCAACATCTTGATTTCCTGAGCCCCAATAGTTGACCGGTAATATTGTATTTACTGAGTCCGCTTCAGAATTAAAATCGACGGATAATCCAATAATCCAACTGAACTTACGTAATCAACTGAACTTCTGAAGTGCCGTTCTCGTTCGGCTTCACAACAAGTCGTCTGCAACAGCTGTAATAATGGTACATGTCATGTTATAAGCTATCGTAACAAATGGATGGCTGGGTGACTCGGAAGAGATAACTAATACTGACACAACTCGAATGAATGCAGAACAAATAAAAAAAGTGGGGCCTGGCGCCCCACATCATCGATGTAACTACAGGGGAAACTTTGTCCCAGCATCAGGGAAACGTAATTCACTACAGAGTGTTACAGAGTGCTCTGTAGCATTCCGTGGCACAATCCAACCCGCTGATGCATGATCCATCACAAAAACAAAAGTGCGATTCTACTGCTGCTTTCCTGTTGCTACAGCTCGATGATTGGCCTGTCGCCAACAAGGTCAGTGCAAAATTAGGTGACTCTGAAGGAATACTGATTACTTCAGCTGGCATCGGCAGAACCTCCCAACTTGGAGGTTGTTTGGAATCGGTCTTCTTCCGAGTTCGTAAGCGCAACGCCAGAGTCGTCAGAGTCGCTAGTCACATCTGTGACTTTAAGCTGGTCGTCAGCTGCAACATTACTCACATGATATAAAAAAAACATACGAGCATTTTCGAGATAATCCAGCTGAGTATCTCCAACAGAGAACAATGCAATATCGTCGCTATATGCTGTGACACTGCAGTCTATCTGTTCCTTGATAACCTTCTCATTGGATCTTACGAGCTCCTGGACTGATACTCCAAGAGGCTCTTGAGAAGCATTTGCGTATTCTTCCCCCTCATCCTTCAAAACCATGTGAAGGAACTTTAAGTGCTCCTCACTAGCATAAATTTCCCACGCCGTTGCCAGAGCAGACACACGCCTCCATTCAACGTCAGCGTGCATCGTAACGACAGCTTGAGCTGCAGCCCCAGGAGACAACCTTCCCAGGCAACGCTCAAGCACATCTTTGCTCTGGTATTTTTTTGTCAATAAGCAAGTTCTACATTTATATATCACAACATACCTTTTCAGCATCTTCCTGACTCATTGAGTCTTTGTGACGCAACTGATTGTTAAAAAAGCGGCGCTCCAATCTGGTAGAGCCATTCCTCTCGTAAGGCTTTGGGTTTGATTTTGCACGCTTGACAAAACAAGATAGATGGTGGATTATGGGAGGAGGAGTTACAGGTTCGTTTATGTCGCTGTCGGTTTCGTCTGATGATGGTGACCTTGCACGTTTGGTTCGCGGGACATGCCGACTGAAAGTTCTACCAGTCGTCATATCAAGAATTGGAGCAGGTTCATGTGTATCCACAGTCATGCGACGACTAGGCCCATCACTGCCCTCACACTCATGACTAGACCCTCTGGAAGAATGAGAAGGACTGTGAAAGGACATGCTTAGCGTGGGCAGGGGATCAAGAGGGAGGCAAGTATGTAGGTTCCAAAGGCTGAACAGTTGCTTATGAGTACGTGTACGTATAATATTAATATAACTGTAATTCCTATATTGAACCTACGTCGTATAAGGCAAAAAGATAAGCAATTTGAAATACGGATAGCATGAAACTCCGACTCGAACTCTCACTGGATGCACGTATATACCAAAGTGGAACGTTCGAACGTTGAAGGTCGAAGCTTCGGAACTTGGAAGCTCAGACGAGGCAGTATAGCCAGCGTCAGTAATACTTCATGTGGTTTTCACAAAAAGTACTTTGGATCCTGTTGTTTTTTTCAATGGTGTCTTGCGGAGCTCGAGGTTGCTCTTGGGAGAGAGCAACAGACAATCGAGGACTTAACAGACATCGCGCGAGCTGCAGCTTTTTCAGGAGGTCTAGTGTTCTTGCAACACAGAAAAGACTAGAGCGTGCGAGGAATGCGACTTCAGCACATTTAGCTGCAAATATGTCCACGAACGCTTCACAAGTGAGTCGATTGGTTTCTGACGAGTCAGAGCTGAATCACTAAACTTGTCAATGAAGAATCTTACCATTGAAGCCTTTCAGTGCCCCTTGTAAGCCCATGGCCGGGCCTAGGTCTAGTCCAGCAGCTCGTATGTCATCTGATGTCCCCAGCCCGAGTCTCGAAATTCCCGAGTTGCAGCACCCCTTTAATAACTCTGACTTGGAAAGGCAACAAAATGTTGACTTTGACATGGATGACAGGCTTAGTCTTGGAAATGGATGTCATCG